CAGTGCCCATCCTCCCCCACCACGGGTCCTAGCATCCCTTCCCCCCCCGTCCCCCCCCCCATCCCCCCCTGCCGCTGTGGCAGGGCATTCCCCCTTGTTCTCTCTCTCTTCTTTTGGGTACTGTGTTTTGCCAGAGAGGCATTGAGTGGCAATCATGTTTGGTCTGTAGACTACTTTTAGCATGTCTCTCCCACCCTGGGAGGGCCCTCACAACACCCTTTATTTGGTGCTCTCTTCTCTATCTGAGCTTCCTTTTCACCTAGCACATGTGGCTGGCCTTCAAGTCATGGAGCAAAATTCCTGGTACTAATCTGAGCCATTCCTGGGTGTTAGTCTCCCATTTTGTTGCTTTATGTTCCCCAGATGAATGCAATTTTTCTGTGTCTATCCCGCTCTTTCTGACTCATTTCGCTTAACATGATACTTTCCATGTAGTACCACTTGTATGTAAATTTCATAACTTCATCTTTTCTAACAGCTACATAGTACTCCATTGTGTAAATGTACCAAAGTGTCTTTAACCAATCATCTGTTCTCGGGCACTCAGGTTTTTTCCAGATTCTGGCTATTGTAAAGAGTGCTGCAATGAACAAACAATTGCAGATGTCACTTTGACTATACCTTTTTGCCTCTCTGGGATATATTCCCAGAGTGCTATAGCTGGGTCAAATGGGAGATCAAATTCTAATTTTTTGAGAATCGTCCATACTATTTTCCAAAAGGGTTGGACCAGCCTGCATTCCCACCAGCAGTAAAGGAGGGTCCCTTTCTCGCCACATCCGCGCCAGCACCTGTTGCTTTTGTTCTTGTGGATGTGGGCCAGTCCATTGGTCTGCAACTCTGCCTTTGTTCCAGTACCATGGTGTTTTGATTATTACTGCTTTGTAGTAGAGCTTGAAGTTAGGTAGGTTGATTCCTCCCATTTTCTTTTTCCCAAGAATTGCTTTAGCTATTCGTGGGGGCTTATTGTTCCATATAAATTTCAGGAGTGTTTGCTCCATTTCTTTGAAGAATGTCGTGGGTATCCTCATAGGGATTGCATTGAATTTGTACAGTGCCTTGGGAAGTATTGCCATTTTGACAATGTTGATTCTCCCCATCCATGAACAGGAGATATTTTTCCATTTCCTCGTGTCCTCTTTTATTTCCCGAAGTAGCGTTTTGTAGTTTTCTTTGTACAGACCCTTTACTTCCTTAGTTAAGGCGATTCCTAGGTACTTGATTTTCTGGAGCACAATTGTGATATAGGGCACTATTTTTTAAAAACAACTTTGTCACTGTGGTTTACAGTACTATTGCTGTATGGGTTATGGCTTTCAACGCATAACACTCTACTACATTTCAGTCCCTGCCCTCTTGCCCCTCACCCCTTCCCCCATCAATGCTGCAGGAAACACCTTTTCCCTGTTATATCCCCTGCCTGCCCCATACCACCTACTAGAAACCAGGTCTCAGGTCTTTTGTTTCTGTTACCTTTGGGCATTTCTTATTTGTTATCCCCCTACTATGCTTCTTTATAGCCAGCATAGGAGAGAGGATGATCTCCTGCATGTGAAAGAAGAATATTTTTTATTTTATAAAAGCTAACAAAAGTTATTATCCACTAAAAAAAAACACAAAAGATTCACTTTCAGGAAGAAGAAAAATATTCCAAGATAGTAACTGAGATGTAGGAAGAAATAAAAAGAAAACAATAGATGAATTGAATAAATATTGGCACTGTAATAATATTCTCATAATGGTCATAAGTAGAGAAGATTACAATACATAACATCAACAGTATATAGGGCAGAGGTGGATTAATGAGGTCTTGAGAATTCTTAAACTGTCCCAGAATAGAAAAATGTGCCAATTAATAGCCAAGGACACATATCATAATCTCTAGGAAGGAATGAACTATGACGATAAAATAACTGATACTTAAAAATGTGTTAGAAAGGCCAGAGAAATAATACAGCAGGCATTACTCACAACCAACCCAGAGATGTCCCTGGCACCCCACATGGTCCCCAGAGCCTGTTAGGAGTGATCACTGAGCACAGAGTCAGGAATAAGTTCTGAGCACTGCAGGGTGTGGTCCCCAAACAAAATAACAAAAAAGAAGCTAACAAAAGATATTCAATTGATTCAAAAGAAGGCAAAATTAAGATTTTAAGAAAGAGATAAATCTAATGAAAAAAATACAGTAGTGGTAGAAGGACATTAAATCTCCATTAATGAGAACAAAGCATAAATACCTCAATATCCTACCACAAAGAGAAATTTAAGATTAATTGCCATCGAGAAATCTAGTTTATCATAGGAAGTTAACAATAGTTTTTGGATAAATAAAAACACTTGATGGATATACCTGGTAGGCTAATTTCATTATTACCAAGTACACATAAAAGGAGCCCTTAGCAATGACCCTAGACATGTAACTCAGGGTTCCTATAGGAATGACTCCTATCCACAAACACCCTTTGTATTTATTTATTTATTTTTAATTTTTATTAGGGAAACACCATGAGGTACAGTTGTAGACTTACAAATTTTTGTGCTTGGGTTTCAGATATACAATGATCAAATACCCATCCCTTCACCAGTGCTCATTCTCCACCACCACTGATTCCAGTATCCCTCCACCCCCCAACCCCCCCAACCCACCCTGCCTCTGTGTCAGGGCATTCCCTTTTGTTCTCTCTCTCCTTTTGGGTGCTATGGTTTGCAAAAGAGACATTGAGTGGCAATCATGTTCGGTCTATAGTCTACTCTCAGCACGCATCTCTCATCCTGGGAGGATCCTCCCAACACCCTTTATATGGTGCTCCCTTCTCTATCTGAGCTGCCTTTTCCCCTAGCGCACAAACACCCTTTTTACCTAAGTTTCTACCTTTAGCCTCAGGGAACATAAAATAAGCACTTTTACAGGAATAACTTTGTGAATAATTCAGACAGACAGGCAGACTCATCCCATTCCTGGGTGATTTTTGTTTGGTCTTAGTTCAGAGACCAAATCTTTCAATATCTGCCTTCCGACTTCTCCAAGATTCACAGAGACTTAAGAAGCTATTATTCTTGGGCTGGAGAGGTAGTACAAAGGCTTAAGTGCCTGTCTAGCCTCATGCTAGACATCCCCCCTTCCCCACCTTCCCAAGAAGGAATTACTCTTTTATAGGCTACTGGGTTTTATTGTGTCCTCCAGTCATCGCCCTCTTTCAAACTAAACAATTTCAGTTTCTGTAGTCTCAGAGCATCTCAAAAATAGTATCTGGCCATCTGTTAGATTAGTGGAATTCGGGTTGATTGACAAAGAAAATCTTCATGGTTACAGTAAACTAGATGAGGAGAAAAAAACATTTTGAGGGAAATATGTGACTAAATTCATTTCTGTCATGTAAATTTTCCAGAGCATGCTGCACTTTTGATCAATCCGAAGCACAGTCTTCAAATCAAATTTGGTCCAGAGCAGGATGGAGATCAGTTCAGAGTGAGTACCAAAACTGTCTCCTCCTCTTCCAATATTTCTTCATCAGTCTCTTTTGATCTTTTAATACTAGTTATCGTTTGGTGGGTCCCATGTGCCAGGCACTTTACACTTAATATATCTAATCCATATGACATCTGTGCATAACACATTCTGAGACGATGAAGAATTAAATAAATTGCCCAAAGCTGGACAGAAGACAGCAAAGTTGAGACTCATTCATACCAGCATCTGCTCCACCCAACACGAGACCTCCTCTTTTGGGGGGGAGGGGGCAGAGAAGATGCACAACCAGTGGCACTCAGGGGCTATTCCTAGATCTATACTCAGGAGTTATCTCTGGCGGTGCTCTAGAAACCATGTATGATGCCAGAGATTCCAAAGCGTGTCAACTGAATGCAAGGCGAGGGCCTTCACCCCTGTTCTATCTCTCGCACAGAGACCTCCTCTTACTATATTCAGCCATCAATCAGTCCCCTGCAAAATCTAGGACAGGCATGGCATAACTTTGACGTTAATAAGATGGAGCTGATGAACCAGTGGGTAATCCTTGGCTGGGAGGAGGGAAAGCCATGTCTGCCGAAAATGCACATTTTTAGACACTAAGCTGGACAATTTTACCTTCTTGATTCATTTATTCCTCACAGTCACCTTGCAAGTGAGATGTTTCCAACCTCACTTTACAGACCTAGAAACCGAGGCCTAGAGAAGTGAGCGCAGGCACTCAGGTCACATAGCTACTACAGAAGTCCGTTGGACTCTCACCAGCTTCAAAGCCACGGACAACTCCTTTGTTCCTGCTCAGAGACCCTTCCTTTCTGGAAGAGTGGAGAAATGAGGAAGGGATAAAAGAATCACGGCAGGCCTGGGGTACTGGGTACTAGGTGGGTTAGGCAATTTAGTGCACGGAGTTCTAAAACCTCGATGTGGTCCCCAGAGCGCCCGGAGCAGCTTCGGACAAAAGTTCCCACCTCTACGCATCCGGTTCTTGGAGATGCGCAGGTTAGAGGAGCCAGCAGTTCCACAGCCCTTTCCTCCCCGCGCTCAAGTTCAGTGCCGCCACCAAGTATTCCGGGAGCGCGACCGCGCTAGCCTTCTCCAAGAAGCACAACGTGACCGTTCCGGGCCGGCCCGGCTTGACTCTCGCGGGTTCCCCGCGATGGTGGGTTCGGGGGGTTCCCCGGGACCAGACTTCGGAGTGCAGAAGTGGAAGGCGACTCTAGCGTTTCTCGCGCCCTGGAATTGTGGAGCATCGGGCGCCTCGGTCCCCTTCTGGCCTGCACCCAACTCTGCGAGCCGAGGGACTCTGCCCGCGTCTGCGGGGCAGGGGTGCTCCCGGAGCACCCCGGCCGCCGCCGCACGCGGCTCTCCGGCTTATCGGCGGCAGCCGGCTCGGCGGGGCTCCGGCTGGCGGCGCGCCCGGGTGGGCGGCGGCTGCGCGGGGCGCCCCCTGCGGCTTGGGCGGCGCGCCGGGCCCCTCGCCCGAGCCTGGCCTGGCGGAGAGTGCCGGGCGGGCGGCGGGAGCTGCTCCTGCGGCCCGGGGCCCTCGCCCCGGCGGCAGCGGGAGGCGTCGCTGGGGCCCGACGCGCGTGGAGGGCGGGGGCAGAGGCGCCGCGAGCAAAGTCCAGGCCCCCGGGCCGCAGCGCCCGCGCCCTGCCACTCGGCCCGAGACGCGCGAGGTCCGAGGTGAGCGAGGCCCCGGCACGCCGGGCGGCGGCGGGACAGCCCCGGGGCGCGGGTGGGCGCCGAGCCGGGGCAGCCGGGGCACGTCCACCCGCGTCCGCTCCGCGCCCCCCGCCCCGGCCGCCACCCCGCGCTCCGGCCGACCGCTCTCGGGGCCGCAGCGAGGCGCCCCGCCACCTAAAGCTGTGCTTTCTCGGCAGGCGGACATGGATCTCGAGGCGGGCAGGAACGGAACGGCCCGGCGTCCCCGGAGAGCGGAGGGTGACTTTGAACTGGGCAGCAGCAGCAGCAGCAGCAGGTACATCACCCGCGGCCGCGCTCGCCCGTTACGCGCGAATCGGATCCGCGGGGCCAGTGTCGCCTTCGCCAAAGTTGACCCGAGCCCTGGAAGCCTCTGGCCTTTGTTTGGGAGCGTGTTTTCGTTTTTTGTTTTTTTTTGGGGGGGGTGAGGGGAGGGTCTCGCTGGCGGCTCTGACTTTCACCTCCCCGCCCCCCACCAAGGAATGTCACTAAGGCGGAGGGTGGGCTGGGGCGGGGGGCGGACTCGGGAAGAAAGGGCCAGCTTGAAGAGTGCCCACTCCTCCGGGTGCTCGGCGAGTCCGGCGATATCGGTGTTGTATAACGTTCTTTGCATTATATAACTCAGAACTTTGACAGCTAACTTTGGGCCACGCGATCGCACGGCTGCCAGTGCCTATAGAGCATCGGACAGCCGCTGTGGACGGCCACGCTTAGGGAACAAGGGCAGCGAGGCAAAAAATATCTCCCCTTCCCCCCCTTATTCCTCTTCCTCCTGTCTCACCCCTCCCCCCGCTTGCCAGCCCCGGGCAGTTCCCTGTTTCTCCCCTCGGGGGCCCGGAGGTGGGGAGAGGGGCCTGAAGCTGCCCCCTCTCTCCCCCAACCCGCGCTTGCAATCCGGTTTTTGCAGCAGCGCGGCGGCTGCTTGCCCGCCTCTGGGCTCGCTGGTTCCCAGGGCCCCTTGTTTGGCGAACTTCGCAGGCCTGAGTGGGCGCAGAAGAGACCAGTCAATGGGGTGTTGTCTTCGCTTCCTCTTTTCACTGTGGGAATAATGAATCATTTTCGCCTTTTGCCTCAAATAGTTTATGAGGCTCTTGTGGTGTCTGAGTTCATGCCAGGCCAACCCAGAACAAATTGACCTGTGTCATCGACTAATCACCCAGAGGGACACATTTATCGGGTTCTTTCGTGTGTCCTCCAGCTGCACGGGGCCTGATTAGCCAACCGAAACCGTGTCTATCTGATGTTTGAACTGAAGCGTTTGTTTCAGTTAATGTCTTCACACAGTGCTCTGCGCTGGGCCTCCGGAGTACCACACGTCAGGCGTGTCGTGAGCATTTCATTTATTTTGCTCTATGGGGCTGGCAGACCGTTCGATGGCATTATTTGTACTAGGAGAAGAGTAGTTTTAATTAGGTGGCAATGTAGGCCGCGATTGACTGTGAATCTATAAATAGATGGCATTTTCATGAGAAGGCTATTTCTGTGTAGCACTGGCTGAACATTTGAGCAGTGTACAATGAACTGTCCCTGCAAGGTACAGTCACACTCCAGCATCCAATTTCGGATTTGGGGTCTGAGACATTCTCAGATGTACACCTCACAGCCTTCTGTTGGGAAGAGGCAATTGGTCCAAGAACACAGAAAGTTAAGAATGAATTGAAACGGTCCAATGGGGCAACTAAGCTGATTTGTACAGAAGCAGGCAGAAGTTTATACATTTAATGGGAGGTAAATTCACTTCTGTGATCTGGGTAAATTGACACTTCTAATTTCCTGGCAAGCATGCCACCATTAAGGCACATTCTTTTGAACAAGATTAGTAGCAGATGTTTGGCCTTTGATATTTAGCAATCGTTCTAAATAATATGGGATAAAGTCTTAGGAGTTAAACTTTACCAACTACCTGGGTATTTAAGTGAAATACATTGGGGGGGGGCGGTTGTTTAAAAAATGTTGTCCTCCTGGAGTTTCCATTATTGTATGGAGGACAGGTAAAGGTAAAGGCCCTCCCGTTGATCGTCGATTTGCTCGAGCGGGCCCAGTAACATCTCCATTGGAGACTTTGTTGTTACTGTGTTTGGTATATCGAATACTCTCAGTAGCTTGCCGGGCTCTTCGAGAGGGGCGGAGGAATCGAACTCAGGTTGGCCATGTTGGCCGCTTGTAAGGCGAACGCCTTACCCGCTGTGCTATATGCTTGTGCTAAATGAACTACAGCAAATGTTAGAAGGTGGTGTATGCTACGGAAAAACATTAGCTGAATACTGAGGAAATTGAGAATGCTGAGGAGCAGTAGTTTGCACTGTGAAATTGGGTGAGTGGGCAGGGTCTTCTTTAGAAGGCAATATTTAAGGAAAGACTTGAAAGAAGTAAGACAGAAATGTGTGAGTATCTAAGAGAAAAGTATTCCTGGAAGATTTACAGTGCCAGATGTGAGAATGTATTTTTTGCATTCAGAAAACAGAAACAATGAGGAACTAAGAATAGGAGATATGGTCAGAGAGATAACAAGAAATCGCATCTTGTAAGGTTCTTGAGGTCAGTGGAACAATTTTGATCTTTTTATATGAGAAAAACAGAAGCAGAGGTAAATGACTTGTACATGACTTGAATTTTGAAAGATATGACTTGAATTTTGAAATGACTCTGGCTGCATATTGAGGATGGATTAAACAAGGGATGAATGAAAGTGAAGAGCCTAAGCAGGAGGCAGATATACTGGACTGTCGGGTCCTTGGAAATAGTGATAAAAGTGGTGAGAAGTGGTGGAATTTTAGAAGTATTTTGGCACATATAGAAAACAGGATTTCCTAATATCACTCACCAAAATACTTCTGAAGAATGATGACCTATACTAAATTTAGGTTAATGTGTATGGTTTTTTAGCAAAAATAGACTTTAATTATTTGGCATATTATTAATATATTCAATCACCTTACTACGGTGAGATCTGTAAGATACAGGTGACTATTTCTCCTTTAGACATATATCCCAGTAGTACCTTGGACAGTTACCTTTGTACTTGATTGTATTGCAGTGATTGCTAAATGGAATGTTTTTGAGAATTTATGGACATCACTGTTTTGTATTTGAAAACATTCAAATCACTTATTATGACAATTACTAAAATTAATATCCAGTAGATTATAAATCATTTTGTGACAGTTTTAAATTAAAACAATTATATATATGTGTGTGTATATATATGTTTACAGCAACCAAGACAAGAAAAAAATGAAGAAAGTGAAATTGATTGGACCACTAACATTGGTAAGCTGGAAAACTAAAATGAGAACAAATCTTTCCTTCATTCAGATTTGGTGTTTCAATTCAACTGGTTCAAAGCCGGTACTTTGATTGTCTACAGGTAGTGTCAGATTTTCCCTGCTGTACCTCTGCTGGTTTTGCTTGGCTCATTCAGTAGTGTGTTCAATAGCACACATTCTTGAGATTGGTGGTAAAAGCTGGAGTACAAGCTGGCTGGGAAATAGAGCAAAGCTAACTGATGAACAGGAAAATGGAAAATAGGATCTATGCGTATAACACCATTAAATGCCAACCAGTTTCCAGAAAATACATCCGTGCTTTTGTTTCACGTGCAAAAAAAAATAGATTGAAGTAAATTTGCATATAAATAAATTGTTAAGACAATGTAATGTTGTAGTTTTTCGTTTGTAATATGTCTCAGAGAAGTGACTCAAAAAAGAATTTGCTGGCTTTTTGGTAGATGAGCTTAAATCTGTGATAGTCATGTTTTGTTAACAAAGAAGTTAGTATTAAATGGCATGTCAGCTAAAATATGCCATTTGATAAGTAAATGATGAGAAGGTACCAAACATCCTCCGTTTCAAACACTGCCGCGCACTTCTCATGTTACCACAAAGCCCCATTCATTCTCTTCTCCCTTACTCTTATGATGTTTTATTTAAAACTTTTAGTAAACGTGATTTTTCCAAATGTGTTTTAGAGACTAAGTCATTAAACTAAAGCTGCCTCAAATGAACATACTTAAAATCTATCCCCTAGAGAAAACAAAATACCTTATACTTTAGGGTAGAAATATAGATATGTCATTTCAGTTTAAATTTTTATATTTTGGGGCCAGAGAGATAGTATAAGGGTTAAGCCACATGTATTGCATGTAGCTGGCCTCTTTTTAGTCTCCTGGCACTATATGGTCCCTGAGTGTGGCCATGGTAGCCCAGGAGCACTATTAGGGTGGGCCCAAGCACTGTGAGGCGAGCCAGTGAAGTACCTGGCACTACAGGAACCTGGCAGCAAGACATGCTCATCCTCAAGTTCTTGCTATGAACTGCCAGCATGATTATCTCAAGGAACCCTCAGACCTCCTTTACACCCTTGGGAAACTCCTCTCCCCAACATTTAATATTTAAGTAAAATTGAGAGATAATTATTTTTAGTCTTTGGATAAAATTTCTATCTTAATAAATGTTCAGGACAAAACTGTACCAGAGATATCAGAAATGTATTGTTTGTTTAAAAGAGTTTTGAGCTATTTAGGTAAGGTAAAGACCCTCCCGTTGATCGTCGATTTGCTCGAGCGGGCCCAGTAACGTCTCCATTGGAGACTTTGTTGTTACTGTGTCTGGCATATCGAATACTCTCGGTAGCTTGCCGGGCTCTCTGAGAGGGGCAGAGGAATCAAACTCAGATCGGCCATGTTGGCCGCTTGTAAGGCGAACGCCCTACCGGTGTGCTATCGCTCTTATTTTATTTATTTAATTAATTAATTGCTTTTTGGGTCACATCCACTAGGAATTACTCCTAGTGGTGCTCAGGGGACCATATGGCACGCTGGGAATTGAACCCAGGTCAGCCGCGTGCAAGGCAAACGCCCTACCCGCTGTGCTATCACTCCAGCCCCAGAAATGTATTGTTTTATAGAAAATGAATCTAGGTTTATTTAGTTTTTTTCTGTGTAATTTATGTAACTTCATTTTATTTATTTATTGACTTGCGGGCCACACCTGGTGGTGCTCAGGGTTTGTTCTTGGCTCTGCCCTCAGGAAGCACTCCTTGTGGAGTTTGGGGAGTCATATGAAATGCTGGGGATTGAACCTGAATTGGTCATATGCTAGGCAAACACCACACTGCTGTACTACCTCTCTGACCCTGAAATTTATATAAGTTTATATACCAAGTTTAGAAACAATCTAATGTAATTCGTATGAAAAGCATTTAAAATTTTCTTCAAGTTCATGTCAGTGTTTAGTAAATAGAATAATATACAATAACCTGACCTTGTATTTGTAACAGTGACTGATACCCCCAGTTGATCTATCTCCTTTCCCAGGAGTCACAAAAGTGAATGATGGAAGCATTGTCGCTCTCAGGGCAATTTTAGAAACCTTTCCTCATTTGCCCTTAAATTCTGTTCAGTTCCTACCCCCACCTAGCTTCTCATTGTGCCTCTTTCAAATGCCTTGCTTTCCCTGCTTATTTGATAGTGGGATTTGCCTCTCCCAAACTGAACTTCTGGATCTCTTTGAGAACAGTTCACATACACACACCCTCCTTTCCATTATACGCTTCTGACTTCAGGCTGCTGTGGCTTATTGACTAGTCACTCAAGCCCTCAAGGACCTCCACTCCCACCCTCATCCCGCCACGCCTGACTCACCACTACTCACTACTATTTCTCCTGATGACTGTTTCTTGTTTCTGAAAGGAGGTGGCGTGGGAGGCTTGGGTAGAAGCAAAAGGCTAAAAAGAAAGGAGAGATTCAAGGGACAAAAAGAAAAGAAAGAAATATAGAAATGGAAAAATTTCTGTATTTTTAAGACCAAAGAGGAAAAGAACAAAGAAAAAACCCCTGGGTGGTGTATCATCCTATTGGGAGAAAGATGAGACATTGCAGAGGACTGAAAAAACAATGAGACTCATTTGTTAGAGTATTATGACCACTCATCAGCTGGTTAGTTTCTTGAGCACTGTATCCATCACTGTGACAAATGACACTAGCCTCCCCTCTGGGTATAACACTAAGTTTAAGATCCTTGATATTACCCACTAGGCTATTTATTCTCCTCTGTAATACCATTGCCCATACTTCATACTCTTCCCCTCTTTGGTTATGCTGCATGTAGTTACCTGGGTTTCTGGCCACCATGCTGTTTGAGGCTTAAACATCCGTCCTTCTTTTAGTGCTCCTCAATGCTTCTTCATTTATCTCCTCAACTCTGAAGATTCTGCAAGGAGCATTATCTCCCTAATATACAAGACTTCCCTAAAGTACAGGATAGGCAATCCATGTTTGTTGTACTTGACTACTGAGGTGCCCTTTAAAAGCTAATTAAAACATCTTAAATAGTATCCTCAAAACTCAGAGGACCTATTTCTTCCCCCCTTTCCCCTGCTTTCATAATTCTCACTCTGAAATGTTTTAAATGTCATTTAAAGGATATGATGCATATGTGTGTATTTATTATTTACCCCAGTTGTTCTTAATCCACTACTCAGGAGCTCTGGAAGATCAGGTAGTATTTCTTAATGTAACCAAATTTTATTTTCGAATTATGTTTCAGTCATTAAAAAAAACCCAAGATACTAATAAGGCATTTAATAGATGCCGACACACAAAGAATGTTAAATAAATAGATTCATAACATAAATCTGTCAGTGATTTGATCAGAGTTCTCTTTTGTCTAAATACATTTATTGCAATTCTTACAAGAGCACTAACCTAAAATCAAAATCCAAACAATGTATATTTGTGGAGAGAGAGAACTTGTATTCAACTCGGTACAAATTATTTATTTCTTCTCTTTTCAGTTTCGATACTCTGATTGGCAGGATAAATTATTTATGTCCCTGGGCACTATCATGGCCATAGCTCATGGATCTGGTCTCCCCCTTATGATGATAGTATTTGGAGAAATGACAGACAGATTTGTTAATACTGCAGGGAACTTCTCCTTACCAGGTAAGCAAACTTCTATTCTAAAGAAATGCATAGTAAGCCTTTAACTGAATCAAAGATTAGATATTGATCTTTTATTCATTGTGTTCTTGTTTAATTATTTGGACATCTGGGTGGTCCCTGGTATCACAAAAGGAGTTGTAAAATTCTAGAAATTCCTCAAAATTTATTTAAATCTCAGTCAGTAGGTATAGGCTCTTTGACTTAATACCGAATAAGAATCTAACCAGAAAGATTTGCATCTAGATAAAGTAGGCCAATCCCTCTGCTTGAAAACAAGAGAACTATGACATATCTCTGTGGTATGCATCCTATTAGAGAGTTCTACTTCTTAGCTGTCCTTATAGAGTTGTTTTTTGGCTTTTCTTTCTCTCCAACTTTCTTTCGGCTAAAATTATACCAACTTTCTGTGTGTAATTTTTGGATTAACCCGATTGACTGAAACATGACATAACATTTTGCTAGAGTGAATGAATTCAACATGAAACTGATGTGATTGGATATAACTGCAGAAAAGCCAAAAATTCCTATGAATTAATGTCATTTATAAGATTGGTCACAGAAAGGCGGAATTCATAGCAAAACACATTTGGGAAAATATGAACTATATCATTCCAAAAGTAATAGGAATTTTCAGTGTGCACTGAGGACTGCATATCTGATTAGCCTTGTAGGGTTTATGTGTAATTAAGAGAATGTGATTGCTTGATTTGTACAATAGAAACTATTTACAGACATATCATCAATGACTACATGTTTTAGCAGTTTGGTAAAAGCATCCTTTGAATAGTTAAAATTCGTACAAAAACACCATTTATTTTCAAGTACTATTTTTTTCTGAGAACCTTTTATCATTAAAAGAAATTTAATAGTAATCCTTCATTGTATTGTTATGTGCCAGAAGTAGAGTGCCAGAAGTAGAATTGTTTTTCTGCACAGTAGCATTGCCTACCCAATAAGTCATCTTGTCCTCCATGAAGAACACTGAGGCTTTGAGATGAAAATAACTTGACCAAATTTACCACCTACCCGGTGTGCTTTAGGGTATAATTTAAACCCAGGTCATTCTGCCATTCCAGTCATGCCTGTGACCATATATATCAATTGTCATGTAAATAAATGTACTTTTACTTAAAACTAGTGTTTGGTAGCAAGTAAGGTGCTTACTTTGCAAAGAGCTGGCCCGGGTTCAATGTTTCGCACTGAGTATAGTTCCCCAAGCCTGGACAGGAGTGATCCCTGATCAGAGAGCCAGGAGTGAGCTCTGAGCACCACTGGGAGTGACCCAAAATACAGAAACAAATCAAAGAATAAATAGATAAATAGTAAGTAGTATACACATACATATTTTTATTTTTTATTTTTGCTTTTTGAGTCACACCCGGTGATGCACAGGGGTTACTCCTGGCTTTGCACTCAGGAATTACTTCTGGCAGTGCCCAGGGGACCATATGGGGTGCTGGAAATCGAACCCAGTTCGGCCGCATGCAAAGCAAATGCCCTACCCGCTGTGCTATTGCTCCAGCCCCAAGGTATCTACAAATTTTTAAGTGTATAGAAACAAGTAGAATAGTGGCTCCAGGATCTAGGAGTCAAGGTAGTTAAGGATTTATTTACTGGACATAGAAATTTAATTTTGCAAGAAGGAAACATTCTAGACAGCGACTGTAGATTAATGCAATTGTGCTTAACACTTCTGAACTAGCTAAAAGCTATCTAGTTAAAAATGGTTAAGATGGTGTATGTAGTCAAACTTTTTTTTAAGAATCAAATTAAAGTCAATGCAGTGTACTTATCAGACTTTGACCAATTTTCTTAGCCTTTGCTTGTTTTTACTAGTACCAAAGTAACTCCACAGCTTTCTTATTTGGAGCAGTTAGCTTGTTTTTGACTTGTTCTAATTATGCAATCAAAGGGCTTTGAAGTCAGATATGGCAGACAGGTGCCATGTGTTGTGCCTAGAACTGAATTCAAGGTCTCTCTGAGGTTTCTCTGGGGAACAGAATGAGTAAGTCCCTTAGGGACCTGTGATTGCTGGAGTGGTGAACTCACCAGAGTTGCCAAATTAGTTTCAGTAGCCTCCAAATTATATGACCCTTGGTCCCCTATAGTGACATTTGCCATCAGTCCTTGTAACTATTTCTAAAACATTAGGATTTTCCAGTGTTCACTCTTTGGGGTTTGTAAAAATAATATTCTCATGTCATTTGGATGTAATTAACTTTGTAAAGAATAATCATTCTAAGTACAGAGAACTCATTGATACATTTAGAGTTGTAGGATTCACAAAGCTATATGGAGGTTGGGAGAAGATGGAGTACTTAGCTTTCCTTAACTGGGCATTCTAGCTCATCTCACAGAGAATGTGTCTATTTAAAGTCTGTTCTTTAGACTTCTTTTGGACAACTAGACAGTAGCCATGTTGTGAACCAAATGAGAAGGGGATGTTAGAAGAAAAAGGTTTAAATTACAAGAAGGTTTGACAATGAGTTATTGTGAACAGAGTCCATCCTTGTCAACAGAATAAAGCTACTCCATGACAAGGCCATTCCCACACAATGACTTAGTTGTACTAAAACTATGCATAAAATATTCTGCATCCAAACCCTTAAGAACATGGTCATAGAAAATAGTGGTGGTTTTTTTTTTTTTTGCTAAGTATCAGGAACTGAGTTTTTTTTTTTTTCAGATTTTTTCCCCCAATTATGTCAAGTTTGTGTGACTGTAGTAGTCTAGGACATTCTGTAGAAAAATTGACCCTCCATATCTTGCAGTGTCTTGGAAAAGGCACTCATTACCCATACTATCTAAGCTTCCTGGAAAACATCAATTCTTCATTTTATGCTGAATATTTCTGTATGATTGAAGAAATCCCAGGCATCATCAAGTAATGGGGCATCAATTTTTGAGACTCAAAAGTGATAGCTAGGACTCTCACCATGATGTATTATTGCATGATTCTTAAGGTTTTCAATTATTATTTAGACACTTCAGTCATTGCTTCTGTTATATGATCTGGGACAATTTATTTATAAACTCTATATTTTTGCTCTTATCTTTAAAAGGTAAACATGAACTTATTGTTAAAATTAATTGAGATCATTTAGATAAGGTGTTTGGAACATAGTAAATGATCAATAAATACTAGGGAATGAGAGCTGTAAGAACTTGGAAATGAAACAACTATTGTGAGATTCTGTTTATTTATCTATGAAATGGATGAGTCATATAAGAACTTGTGAAAGCTTCCAGGAAGCTTCAAGAATTGTTTATTTTCTTGTTGTGGAAGGCTTTTGGGGTTGGGAGTTTGTCATCTGACCCATTAAAATCAGCTGAGACACTTTCCCTCTCCTTTCCTTTGCTGTAATTATTGTAGTTGTTGCAGTGACTGAGGGTTGCATGATACACATGATGTCTATGGTGCTCCCACATTTAGTTTTGGGGTAAAGGGGCCACACACACATCAGGTTGTGATGTTCAAACATTGACTGCAGTACTGATTAAGGGCTGTGCTTTATGATGCTTGTAACTGCTTTTTGTTTGTGATTGCTGGTGGTCTGAGTTTAGTTTTGATGATCACACACATTCTGTGTGTGGTGCTCTCTGGGGGGTCACAATGATACTCATACATGTGCTCACCAGAACACATTTAGTGGTTTTGTTCACACACACACACACACACACACACACACACACACACACACACACATCTGGCTGCAGTTCAGCTGTAAATTGCTTGCAGTGCCAGGGATCAAGACAGTAGCCTCCAAATTATCCAGGACTATGCTGAAGACATGTGGTGGCACCATGGATTGAAGTCTTGACCTTATGCTTCAAGGAAGACATTCTGGGTCAGTGAGTGTCTCCTTTGTCCTCCTTGTTAAAATGTTCTAGATTCAGCCCAAAGCTCTGTAGGTGGAATTTAGACATCCATACTCTTTCACATTTTGTGTGGTTCACGCAGATTGACTGGAGATCACACATTTGGTACTGGTGCCCTAGCGGTTGCAACTCTGCAGTGACTAAACAGTGCCGGACATCAAATTGAGGGGCTCAGAATAAAAGGCATATATTTTTCCACTAAGCCAGATCTCTTGGCCTATTTTACTTGACAAATTTTTTATGAAACTAACATGTGGTCTATGCCTTTGCCAGGTCTAGACTTTCAGGAACTTCTAGATGTGTGGTCTCTTTATTCTTCTAGAAACACATCAATACATGTTTGCTCACCCTTGTTCCTAAACATCAGAAAGTTTGGTTTTCTGGGAGCTCTGGAGCTCCTAGGTTTACAACACAGATCTCTCTCACCATTTTTGATCTGGAACTCTTAGAAAAGAGCAAGTTAAACTTGGAATTCCCATTGATTCTTATTTCTTAAGAGGGAGGGTCAAAATATTCTTATTTTAAAAGTTCAAAAGTTTGTGATAGATATTGAAGAAGAGAAAAAAATTAAGATTTTACCAGCTTTCTAAGTTCAGAGGCGCGAAATGGGACTTTACACATATCTAGAGATTTTCTGCATCTTTGAACAATAATTTCCACAAATACCACAGCTTGAGTATAGGTTACTTATCTAATTAAAAACACAGTTCCAATTTGGTCAAAGTGTACCTTTGATACCAAATTAAGAATTCAGGAAGGAAATGAGTACACAGAACTGAACTGATAAGGACAGTAAAATAGTGTATGAGTCCTTACGGAGCAGATAGCTGATAAAGAGATTAGTTAGCAGTAAGAAACACTTCACTGTGAACAGCACTAGAAGTTAAATTCCTGAGAGGGAAATCACACCACAATCAAGGTTAATTTGGTAATTGATCCTGACAGCTGTTGTAGCATTAAGTAAAATTCAATGTTATCTCCCTTTAGAAGAAGATAAGTAAGATACACAACACCAAGAAAACATGACTTCTGGGTTATTTACGTGATATAAAGGAGAGACTAGATTCTGTCCCAACATAGCTGTAAATTATGGTGGACACATTTTCTCAACAATATTGTGGTATTTTATATTTTATTTTATATTTTAAATTTTTGTATATTTATATTTTATCCTGCTATTTTGCAAATGTTAGAGAGGTGAGCTGTTTTTATTTGGCTTGTACCCCAGTTTACTCCTGATAAGTTATTCAGATTGTAACTGCCAATGATAATTGGGGAAACCATGCGGCACTAGAATTCGGACCTCCTGCATCCTCTTGAATGAACCATTTTCAGGGCCATTTCTATTTTGGTTCTGGTTTTGAACCACACCCACCTGTGCTCAGGGTGTCCTCCTAGCTCTGTGCTCAGGGATCATGCCTGGAAGGGCTGTGGGTACCAGAGATGATGCTGGCCATTGAACCCAGGTCAGCTGCGTGTAATTCCAGTGCACTGCCTGCTGTATTACCTCTCTAGTCTCTGTTCTTTTTCTAAAACTTAGTGTTTTTAGAAAGGTGAAGATTAATCATCACATGAATTAATCAGGGTAGTAAATGGTTAGAAACTGTATGGTATAGTGTTAGAAATCTTAATTTCCTTGTTAGCTGTGTGATCTTGTGCAAGACACTTTATCTCTGTTTTAGTTTCTTCATATATAATATAGGAATTTATGAAATAGTCTAACCACATAGATATATTGTGAAACTGAAAAAAATCAGTACATGGAAGTGTTTGGAACAGTATCTGATTTATACTAAATGCTCAGTAAGTGCTAATTTGTCCTCCTTTATAATGGATGTATTTTTATTATGTTAAAGAGAAGCATTTAAGAGAAAACATATATATATATATACATTAAAATCGATTTTACAGTAGCAGTTATTTGTAAAGGCCCTTGAGCCTCTGGGGGGTGAGGTGGAGGGAAATGTCCTTTAAACTTGTGCTTCCTGTTTAGGCCGTTTCTTTCTTCTTTATCTGCTTTCTGTATGCTCTGCTTTAGGAAACTACTTTGCTAAAAGGCGTAAGACCTTTGGGTTAGGAAATTAGGCCCCTGTCTGGACTTAGGGCTCATCTTCCCCATCTAGGCCCTACAGCCCTGCAGCTAAACCATTGGGCTCCTGACCTTGAGAGTGGAGAGAAAAGAGAAAAGGAAAGGTTTTTAAAACCTGACAGTGCCTGTTAACAGTTCAACCTTTTACATGTCTAATTTTGCTTTGTTTTGTTTTGTTTTTATTTAGTGAATTTTTCATTGTCAATGTTAAATCCAGGCAGAATTCTGGAAGAAGAAATGACTAGGTAATTGGCTAACCTATGTATATATATACATTTATGGTTTACTTAAAAATTACTTACAATAAACTTATAGAGTACCTGAATATTTTTTTATCCAGGTTCATCTATTTTAATTATTTCCCCCTTGATTCAATTTAAAGTAAGTTCCATGTAGAGTTCTCTTTTACTCCTAAATCCTTCAGTGTGGTTCCTCAGTGTAAGGATACAGGCATACCTGGTTTATTTGCACTGCTTTGCAGATTTGCTTCCCACCCTTGCCCCTCCCCCACCCACAGTCCTGTCCCCTGTTCACCAGTAAAAAATATAATTCCTTGCTGAAGACTCATAAGAATATTTTTAGTAATAAAATATTTTTAATTGAAAGTGTGCACTATTCATTTCTTTTTTTGATTTTGGGCCATACTTGTGGTGCTCAGGACTTACTCCTGGTTCTGTGTTCAGGTTTCATTCCTGGCAAGACTTGGGAGACATGTGTTGTGTCAGGAATTGAACCTGAGTCACTGCGTGCAAAGCAGTTGCCTTATCCACTGGACTATATCTCTGGTCCCAGTATGTACTTTTTAGACACAATGCTCTTGCACACTTACTAGACTCCGATGCAATGTAATATAATTTGGGCGGGGGAGGGCAGCCCCCAATGATGTTGGGCATGCAGTGCTGGGGATCAAACCTAGTTTTTCCTGCATCCACAGCCTTTGAGCCCCTGTAAACATTTGAATTTGAATATGTTCTACAAAGTCAAAAGCTTTGTGTGATGAGCTTTTTGGTGATCATCACTTGGTTGTGCTGGTCTGGAATCAAACCTTCACTCTCCCAAGGTGTGCCTGTATGCTTCTCAACCACAATACAGCTATCGGCGTTGGTCAACTTAAGTTGATACTGAATCTACTATATACATTCCAATTTTTGCAGTGGATTTACTGGCATCATTTATGGCATTTCTTCCCCCTCTTCCAGCCTTCTTGATAGAGATCCCAAAAGCCTATAACATAATGTTTGTATGTTTATATATCAATTAATATTGCCGACTTAAATATGACTATGTTATAGCAGATTTGAAAGGCTTCTATTAGGAACAAATTTAATAGCTCTATTTAAGATGTATGTGAAAGAGTTGAAACCATTTATTATTCTCAAAAATACCAACTTTAGGATAGTTAAACCTTCACTCCAAATAAATTTCAATTCATGATGTATTAGCATACTATTTATATTTTTAAATTCTGCCAAGTTCCTTTGGTTCTTTGAACAATATGGAAAAGGTTATATTAAGAACCATTTTAACATTCTCAGTCTATTTATTCCTATATTTGCAATATGTGACTGATGGTGAACTTTTCAAGTAGATTAAGATATGCAAATCTAGAATATTAAGAAAGAAGACTCAAAATTATATCTACATATTTTCATAACAGTTTTAAATTACCATCATTTTTTACAGCTAACTATGAAAATGTGTTTTCTTTGGCTAATACTCAAATAAATGGATTTTATGTTAGCCTCTTAAAGTTTCAAAAAAGAGTAAAAAAGTTAATGGGTATTGTGTTTTATGATCAATTTAGTAAACTTACTGGTTCCAAATTCTAAAGATTTATTCTGAAAGTGTTGATGAAAGAAAATAATGAAAAGAACCTTCCTAATTATTTTCCAGATATGCATATTATTACTCAGGATTAGGTGCTGGAGTTCTCATTGCTGCCTATATACAAGTTTCATTTTGGACTTTGGCAGCGGGGCGACAAATTAAGAAAATCAGGCAACAGTTTTTCCATGCTATTCTACGACAGGAAATAGGCTGGTTTGACATCAAAGACACTACCGAACTCAATACACGGCTAACAGAGTAAGTGTATTACTAACGCCACATTTTCATAAAGAAATGAACAATTAACACAGATAGGGCAAGGGAGTTCTTAAATGAAAGAAGTACTAGCTCAAGCATTTGATACATTATAGGAATAGATATCTGATAGCCATTCTTAGCACTTATAACCTAACACTTATAACCTAACATTTATGTGTGTGTTGTGTGAGTGTGTATGTGCGTGTGTGTACTGGGGGGAAGGGGATTCCCCAGTGGCGTTCTGGGACCCAGAAGTTACACCCAGTGATATCTGACTCAGCTATACTGCCCTGAAGCTTAGGTACATGTGCTGGGCAGTGAGGGGTCAGGAGTAACACTCACTCCTAGCATTTGTCAAAGGTTCCAGAGCTCCAAGTCATGCTGTGAAGTGAATTTGGGGTCTTTTTATGCAAGTGATTCTCTCTTAGATTTCCTGTTTAACTCCTGGAGTTCCCCAAGGGTCTGATTGGTATTATTTTTCTCAGTTAAGATGACTAACTTAAATAATAAGCGATTTAATTAATTCACAAGGAGAATTACCATGATAATTGTTGATTCTACTTGAGGAATACTTGAGGGTCTTGTTATATGCCAAACTCTACCTGAGTTGTGATCCAGGTGAACAAGATGAGGAGTTTTGTTGCTTATTTTCCAGTAGGGGGAGATAGATGACAAACTTTATCGGACTGGAGGCTCTCGCTAATGTATAGTGGGCAAATGAGGTTTTTAAAAAATGTTTTGTTTTGTTTTATAGGGCTGAAACAGTAGTCCAGGGGGTAGCATGCTTGCCTTGCATACAGCCATGAGCACCACAGAGTGTGGTCCCAAAATGAAACAAAGAAAAAGACCCCCCCACACACACACACACATACACACAAAGACCTAGACATTTAAGGACATCTAAGGCCTGGCATTTCTTAGAGTGGGCATTGGTTTTCACTCTATGAGTAAAATTCTGAATTCTGCATTGCTCAGAATTCCATTTTTAAAGAATCAGAGATGTAATAACAGGACCAGGGCTGGAGAGCTCACTCACATAGTTTGCTTACAGGAGACCTAAGTTCAGTTCTTGCCCTGAGCACCAGTTGTGATTCCAAAACAAAAGTAAACTAAAAAAATAGGCTCAGGGTAGATGCAGGGAGACCATTTCTATTTTTACCACGATGCTTTCTCTAACTTCTGCTTTTGGACTAATTGCCTACTTTTGGTTTTATTTTCTTTTGGGAGACACACTTGGTGGTGTTCTGGGTCACCTCACTGCTTGGTGCTCAAGGATTTCTTCCAGTGCTTGTGGGACCAGGCAATAGAGGGAATCAAACTCAGGATCTCATGCTCAGAAGGAAAATTTTCTGCCATTGTGCCACACTCCCGACCCAGAAAATGGACTCTGTCATGTTCAGAAGAGAAATGCTTCTCTAATTTATTGTTGTCAATGTTAATGATAATTTTTAAGAATTTCTTAGAAGCGTGTACTAATACTGAATTTTTTCCTTTGTGTAATATTTAGGTGGGGAAAATATTCAAGAGGTTAAGACTCTGAAAGAGGCTTGCAGTAAAATGAACAAGTTTTACCTGTCTAGATATTTGTTAGATGTCTATGTCACCTTTTTAACTGAAGACCTCCTGCCTGTAACCACTTAGGTATGATCTTTTTTTAGTGACATCTCCAAAATCAGTGAAGGAATTGGTGACAAGGTTGGAATGTTCTTTCAAGCAGTAGCCACGTTTTTTGCAGGATTCATAGTGGGGTTCATCAGAGGATGGAAGCTCACTCTGGTGATAATGGCCATTAGCCCTATCCTGGGACTCTCCGCAGCTATTTGGGCAAAGGTATGTGAAGTTCAGGCATCTTCATGTGTGTTAACCTAGCCATACTGACATTCTTAACGTGTAAGGTTTTGGTAGTCGTCATTGTGCAGATCTTTGTGAAATGTCACTGAAGCAGACTTTAGTAAGGAAATGTATTTGAAATGTCAAGTTGCTACCTCAATTACAGATTGTTTTGCACTGATTTAATTTCTTCTTTTAGTAGAGTAGTTTAAATTACAGGCCTGGTTTGTCATTATTTGAAGAAACTGTAAATTATAACCTTCCTCCAAACTAGTGGGTGAATACAAAAAATTTTTAAAAAGTCTGTATTTATATTTACTTATGTTTATGGGAAATATTTTTGTTATGTTTCTAATTAAGGATTTTTAAATTATTGTTTAGATGTCATGGTTACAATAGTGCTAACATTTAGGTTTAATATTATTGATATACAAACTTACTGTATCTCCCACCAAAGTGCCCAATACTCTCCACCGTTGTCATTAGCTATGACAGTATATTTTGCCCATTTTTGCCTTGCAGTAAAACGCATAACCTGTTCTACTTCAGCCAACTCTGGAGAGCTGAGAAATTTGACTGGTGACTTTATATTTCCCTTTTAAATCTTCAGTTACCTTTGTCCTACAACATCTTGTTTAGCCATTATTATGCACTAGCGTGCTCATTGCCCATTAGTATATTTGGAAGTATTGTTTTCATAGTAATTCAAAATCATAACAGTAAAGGAAAGGGTGATGAATCCTTTTAAAGCTTTATTCTGCAACTAGCAGAAAAAAAAAAAACAGAGGAGGCATGGAACTTGAGACTGTTCTCTCCCAAAATGGTATTTAGAAAATTTATGTCTGGATTTCCTTTTCTTGACTACTCCTGTGGGGCATGTCACCAGGGTGGCTCAGATCCAGCCTTTGTAAGGGTAGAAGCAGCTGCCAAATCTGCTGTACTGAATGGTTTTTTGCTCCATGACTTCAGTGTTGGGTGATGGGTAGGGTTTGGGAAGAAAACTAGGTAAAAGAGTTGACCAGGTTGCCTTTAAACTTTTCTCCCCGCACTTAATTCATGAGTGTTTTTCTTCTGTCCAGATTCTCTCTGCATTTAGTGACAAGGAACTAGCTGCATATGCAAAAGCAGGTGCTGTGGCTGAAGAGGCTCTGGGGGCCATCAGGACCGTGATAGCTTTTGGGGGCCAGAACAAAGAACTGGAAAGGTCAGGAAGGTTCTTTGTTCCCTACTTCAAAGAACCCAATTTTTACTTTTCTTTTTTGGTTTCATTCTTTTGCAGTATGTGTTCATTACTTTCTGTTTCCTAGTATTAACCCTCCTTCCCTCTCCACCCTTACCCCTCCCCCCAAATATAGGCACCCTTTCTGATGGCTAGAGTTTCGTGTCAGATTCTAAAGCAGGGTTCTTACCCTTTTGTGTTCCATGGACTCTTTTGGCAGTTGGATAAAGCCTACCGAGTCTCTTCTTAAATCATGATTTTTAAATACATAAAAAAGTACATAGGATTATAAATGAACCAATTATGTTGAAATACAGTCATCTAAATATTTAAAAATTATGACATAGTAAAAGACGTATCTCTATTTTAACATAGCATATAATCAGAGCTAACTATGGGTCTAATAACTACTACTGTAATTCTGAAGTAGGCATGCAGGTAAAAGATATTTCAAGATATCTGTAATAATTATAACATGATATGAAAATGAACTGGGATTTCTGTTGATAATAATGTCACTATTACTGCTAATACTTAGCAGTTTGTTGCCTGCATTGATAGTTGAAGGAAATGCAAATTTTCAGTTAGCAGTTAGTGAAAATAAATATTGTTTTTTTCCTCATTCAAATTTCTTGACCATGGATCAAAGGTCAAGTAACCCTGCTCTCAAGAAATTAATGTACCAAAACCTAAATGCCAGAAAAAAAAGCGCACTGATAAAGATTACTCTGTTCTACTTAAATGTCCCCCTACCAATTTTGTTTAAATAATCACATCCCCTAATAGAGCAAAGCTATGCTTTCCATGTATTTTCTTTTGCTTTACTATGGGACTCTTGATAACCCACAACTCTTTGAAATGGAAATTTTCTCCAGTATTAAAAACAAAGCTTCCCAGATTCCCTCCACTTCATTTTCTATTTTTCTATTCCTTAAGCCCTCTTCAAAAACCAACATGTTCCTGGTTTTCTAACCTCTTCCTTTTTTCTCTCTCACTGCTGCTTCCTGTACACAATAGTCCACACAGACCACACTAACCCTCAGTTGGACCTCAGGATGTCAGTGTAATCAGTGCCGCTCCATTAGCTGCAGTAAGCCAGCCGCCTAAGCGAAGGTAATTACAGCATGTCCACCACTGTCACCTGAGCCTTGTGTCACATTGGGGCAGACGTAAAACCCTCTGCACACGCCTGGAGGCCCAGCCATACGGGAATAATCACAGTGCTGGACGTGGCATGCTGGCTGTCTCCCCAGAGACGCAGCTCTGCTAAGTGAATGCAGCGCCCAACACTGAGAGTACACTGAAGAGTTGGGTGCTTTCAGTAATGAGATAGTCAAGCTTTTTGGTGGCAGCATACATTAAAAAGAAATAAAAACCAATAAACTCCCAACATCTCATTTGGTTAAAGTAGAAAAAAATGTTGTTGGGGTTATTTTTTGTTAGAAACAGAAACACCCTAACTTGTAAAATATCCACCCCCCTCCCAAATCTCATTGCAGAGCCATTGGATTTCCTCTCTAATTCTAGGGAAATAAAATTAAAATTTAGATACTCCTTGCATCTAGTATGGAAAAACAGTTTAACGTGATGTAAAAATACTGTGATATAAAAGAACTATGCAAGACATTTGTATTTTTATATCAAATCCTAGTAGCCAGTAATATGAATATTAATTACTACTCAAGATGTAGCAGATGAATAAGCAATATTCAGGGAGAGATTAAATTCTAAAACAATAATACTAATAAAAACAAGAATAGGAATTACCAGTTTTTACCAACAATGTGCCAGCACTGTACTAACTACGTCCTATAATTATTTGTCAAACTCATAATTATATTGTAAAGTAGGTGTTTACTCCATTTTACAGATAGTAAACTGAAATCTTTAAAAATTAAGTAGAAATCTATATCTTTCAAGTAGTGATTTTATAAACCTGGACTCTCATTTGACATTCGATGTTCGGTCAACCTGATCAAAAAAATTTTTTAAATGCAAGAACTCAAGTTATGTACTTGAACTTGTAAAATTCCTGTCTTTCATCCATTGGGACAGTAGTGGAAAGATTGAGTTTCTTTTCTTTCGAGAAGAGAACTTGTGCTGTGTTAGGAATTTAAAGTCCCAGATAATAGTTCCATTTTTGTGCCATTCTTGGTTGGCTGGTTTCTTTCCTTCTGCCTTACTCTTGACTTGCATATGGCTATGAAGGTAATGAAAAAGCTTCTCTGTATCTTGGGGGCGGAGGGGCAGGGAGGGAGAATTCATCTCTAGAAGAGCTCTGGGGACATTGCTTCAACTGGTAGGGACCTAGGGAAATGGGTCCAGGGTAGGAAAGAGAAGGCTCACATCTGTTTTAGTCCTGGCTGATCCTGAATTGGTTCAGTCCCCAAGAAACTGGGTATCACCAGAGATTTCCTATCTGGATAAATTTGTACCCTGAACCTCTTAACCCTTCAGGAGGTGAGTATGACTCAGATTATGGATTGCTTTCTTATTGTAACATTTCCCCCTCATTTCTGATAGGTATCAAAAGCATTTAGAAAATGCCAAAAAGATTGGAATTAAAAAAGCTATTTCAGCAAACATTTCCATGGGCATTGCCTTCCTGTTAATATATGCATCATATGCACTGGCCTTCTGGTATGGATCCACTCTAGTTATATCAAAAGAATATACTATTGGAAATGCAATGACAGTAAGTACTTTTCCTAATATATATAAAAACTGAAAATATTTTTTATCTATTCACCTTTTATTTCATAGTCCTATACTTTTGAAGCATGAGTTGTAAGTATAGGTTTTTTTTCTTTTGATGACTATTTGTCTTGTGAAAATACATGACATAATTTGTCTTCTGGAAATACATGACATAACTATGAGCTGGGGCAAGAAGACAGCATGTAGTTAGGCCAATTGAAAATTATATACAAAAATGAAATAGAAGTAAAGTGAATAAATTCGTATGGGAACTATAGTCATTATACTATTATTTATTGCATAAGTTTCAAAAAGGGGGTCATATTATGCATACCTTTTTGTAACCCTTATAAACTAGCAAACTTTTGTGACTGCCAGTGACAATCAGAACAACATGTGTGTTGAATATTTAAAAACATGCACTTCTCTATTTTAAAAATAAAAGTGAACATAATTTGTCCCTTTAGTGATGACTTGAAATAAATTATTTCAAAATGTTTTCTACTGTGGTATCTTCAGAATAGATTGACTTGAAGATTGACTGGAAGAGTTTACATAACGTGGGGTTTGTTTTTTCACATTTTGATGACCGTTCTGAAGGTTGACTTCATAATTTTCTATTTTTGCTATTGAAACTATTGTAACTCTCCCTATTTACTCTTGAAAATTTCCCCTTTTACTGTCAGTCTCTTCTTTCTCCCTGGCCTCTTCATTTATAGTATGTGAATAGTGACATCTCCTCTATAGGTCTGAAAAATGGTTTTGTGAGGCAGGGAAACAGAGCAGTATGTTCTGCTAGATGGAGAAGCACTCTTAGGCACTGATTTTTATAGCATCTATTTTGGTAGGTACTTTTCTTTTTTCTTACTGGTCCTTGTCTGTATTATAGATAGTGAGAAACGTTTCAGTTGTGAACATGTGAAGTGTTACTATTACTGTCTCCTGAGAAAAGCCAGATTGTATATAGAAATTTCAGCATACCTAGAGAGAAATAAGTCTTTTTACTTTATTACTGCTTTCCCCGGTTCAGTTATACCAGTAATCTGGATTCCTGCAATCTTATTTTAGGCTGTTACATCTCAATTAATTTTTCTGCTAAAAAATAAAAAACGACAACGTGATGTTTTGTGTGCAATAGTAAAGACTAATTGGAATTATTAACCCAGTACTCACAAGTGTGAATATTTCATAATCTGTGAATTGGACTGGAGCTATAGCACAGCGGGTAGGGCTTTTGTCTTGCATGCAGCTGACCTGGGTTCAATTCCTCCGTCCCTCTTGGAGACCCTGGCAAGCTACCAAGAGTATTCCGCCTACATGGCAGAGCCTGGCAAGCTCCCTGTGGTGTATTCAGTATGTCAAAAACAGTAACAACAAGTCTCACAATGGAGACATTACTGGTGCCCGCTCAAGCAAATCGATGAGTGGGATGACAGTGCTACAGACAGTATACAAAATCTGTAAATTGTTTCTTTTTATATTAAGAACTTTATACTTTTTACAGTAAAATCCCATTGGGTACAGTTCTACCATGTTTCAGATTAGTGTAATTCCTGAATAATTAGAAAAAAATCACATTAAACTAAATAACAGTACTAATGGAAGATGTTTTTTGCTGGTAGCACTAGCTTCAAAAGCAAAAGAAAAAATGTTTTTGAGATTTGGAAAAACCACTTAATGAGATGCTGTATTAGTAAAACGCTGTATCTTCTTACGAATTTTGCTATTTTTTTAAGGATCCCATCTAAACTCAACCCTTTGTGCAATATGTAGTGTGTGCTTCAAGGAATTCTATTTTAGATAATAACAAACACTCAAATGCAGCTTATAAATTTTCTTCCTGTTCTTTTGTGAAGGTCTTCTTTTCAATCCTGATCGGAGCTTTCAGTGTTGGACAGGCTGCTCCATGTATTGATGCTTTTGCCAATGCAAGAGGAGCAGCATATGTGATCTTTGATATCATTGATAATGTGAGTCATTTATTATTTTAATGGAAAATTTATTTGGAAGTTTGGGCAATTAAATCTTGTTAAATATCATTTGAAATTTAATTTTTGTGAAATTATCAACTTTATGAAACAAAGTGTATCTTATTACTACTGTCAAAGGTTTGCCATTGAGTAATATGATAATGCTAATCTTTTTTGGAATATTAAATTGTACTGTGTGTGTTGGAATTCAGAGCAAAGATCTTTGTCTTCCGTTTTATTTCTCCTTTTCTTATCTTTTAGCCAGACTAAGAATATTACGTTCTCTGTTCAGGATAAGAGGGCAGAAGAATTATTGGGGGACCTAAATCATCAGTATGATTTACTGTGGTTTTTCCCTCTTGGAAAAAATCGCTAAAAGAAATGAAGCTTATTTCATAGCTTATTATTATTTTGAATTAACTGTGTTAAAAAAGTAATGATTGAAATGAATATAATGAAAATTACTTTGACATATTAAAGTATATAACTGCATTTACACATACAGAATGCAAAGTAAGTAATTGAAATTTGATAATTTTGTCCAATAATTTTGTCCTTTATCATTATTCTAACTCATGAGAAAATTGCTCAGCTTCTGAATATATTGAAATTTTATATTCCTAATATAAAGGGACGAATGGAAACATTACTGGCACCCGTTTGAGCAAGTCGAAGATTAACAGGATGACAAGTGATACAAGTGATATTTCTAATAATAATGCTTTTAGCCATCCATTCAGTCTTCTCAATACAATTTATTGCATTTATTTTTAGAATTTAAATTATTGTTAGTAATCTGAGATACTTAGCTCTCTTAATTATAGTATTTTTTAAATGCAGTTATATAAATATGCATGTTTAACCATTTGGAAAATTTGTGAGGATATGACAAAAGTTTAAATGCTGCATGGAATAAAATGAGTGTATAGCCTATCTACTTTTCAGGGAAAACCCATTTTCTGAGAGAAATATTTTCTTAAATACACATAATGCATACTCAGTTTTCACCGAGAGGTTTGTCTCATGAGGAAAACTATGCCGCTCCAGTTTCTGTTTTTGGAATTTGCTGACATCATATTCCTTAAAAATTAAATTGCTTATACTATGATGGAATAGTCATTGAATTTTGTTTTATTTAGAATCCTAAAATTGACAGTTTTTCAGAGAGAGGACACAAACCAGACAGCATCAAAGGGAATTTGGAGTTCAATGATGTTCATTTTTCTTATCCAGCTCGAGCTAATGTCAAGGTACTATAAATTATATTTATGGGAACTACTAACTCAGATGGGCTGTTTATTCATATTTTGTGGGACTTTGGGAGTCTCCCAAGCACTGCTCAGGTAGCCTGGGGATTGCAGTCAAACATTAGCAGTGTAGGCCCAATGGCTTGGTGTTGGAACTTAGTTCCGCACCTTGTAGTTTGGAGTTCCTGTGGTGCTAGGGGTTGAACTCAGACTACTTCATATGCTCCCATCTTGGGAGGTATCTTCCGACCCCTGTTTAAGTATCTTGAAGAATTTAAAGTATCTATTATTTTTATTTCTATGTACTTTTTACTTTTTTTAAAAAATTTTTTATTAGTGAAACACCATGAGGTACAGTTGTAGACTTACAAATTTTTGTGCTTGGGTTTCAGTTATACAATGATCAAGTACCCATCCCTCTATCAGTGCCCATTTTCTACCACCACGGGTCCCAGTATCCCTCCCACCCCCCATCCCCTCTATCCCACCTATATTCCCTTATTTGATATATTTTCAGACTTAAAGTGGAGTCTTGAGGCATTGTTGTGAAGTTTTTCTCCCTCTCTCGCTCATAGATTTTGAAGGGCCTCAACCTGAAGGTTCAGTGTGGGCAGACAGTGGCCTTGGTTGGGAACAGCGGCTGTGGGAAGAGCACAACAGTCCAGCTGATTCAGAGGCTCTATGACCCTGACGAGGGTACGGTAAGTGGGAAGAAATAAGTTCTCCAAAGTTGATGTCTGGGTACCAGTTAGTCCTTTGTAGTTCTTAAAAACAAATTTGCATGTGAATATAGTATTTTTGGTCAAAGCACTGTTGAACTGCAATTTGCAACTGCAATGCATGTGGTTTGACAAATACATTCAAGACAGTAAAACCCAGAAAAGCTAGAAAACAGTCCCTTCTGTTCCAACTGAACTTTTCATAATCTACAAAGTAAGTGGAAAAGTCATCTGAACACTGTGTCTCAACTAGGGGTCCCATGGCCTCCTGTGGGCTCCTAGGGTATTCCAAGATGATGATGTTTCAAATGTTAAGACTAGGGGGCCAACACTATAGTACAGGAGGGCTACAGGAAGGAAAATGCTGAGAAAAACTGATCTAAGTCACTGAGAGAATTATTTTATTTGGTTAAAAAATTGCATATTATAATTGTTGACAATCTTGTAAAGTCACAACAATTATTAGGGCAACAGTTACAGAGACATTGGAATTTTCTAATATGTTGGAACATCTGAAAGACAAAGTAATATATCTCTGTGGACATTGGGGACAGTAATAGTCTAGACTGTATATGTGTTTTTGCCTTTTAAAAATGTTGTTATAAATTCAAACTTACAGAAAAGTTGCCAGCAGGAAACTCACATATGGATTTATGTAACGGAGAGGTACTAGTTGTATTTTTATCTCTTTGCTTTATTGTCCTTTCCACTTATTCAGAATATGCATGTATATATGTTTGCATAATATACACATTTTTTTTCTGAATCCTTGAGATTAAGTTATACACATCATTTCCCTGACCCTAGTAACTCAGTATTTCCTAAGTAGGATAGTCTCAGAGAACCACAAAAGGAAGATAAAAAATGGCAAATATAACATAAATACAACAGTAGCCCACAGTGTGTATTCAGATTTTTTCAGCTCTGTCAACTTTAAGTAAACTGAATTTACCTGATATCTGAGAGATATAAAAGTTCATCATAATTCAATAATTATGAAGATAAAGTATTACAGTGTATGAAGAAACCAAAAAACCACAAACAGGCATTAAGAAAGAACAGTGATTTCAAGAATGAATATGAGGTTTTTCTAGGATATATGAATTACTATTTTTTATTAAATTTAATAAAATTAATAGTCTTGGAACGTTTGTGTGTATGTATGGTGCTAGAGATCAAACTCAAATACCTCATCCATGAAGAGCAAGTACTCTATCGCTGAACTGCATACCAAAACCCAAATCTGATATACACTGAAAGCTATAATATATTGTTGGAAGAAGTAGAAGGCATAAGAGAAACATTGGCTATACTCTTATATTAGAATAGTTAATATCATTAAAATGTCTGTATTACCTAAAACAATGAACAGATTAGGTCACTATATCAAAATCTTAATAATATCTTTTATCAGAAATAGAATAAAAAATAATGAAATGCATTTGGGACTCTAAAAGACGCAAATAGCAAAAATAATCCTGCAAAAAATGAATAAAAGTGAGACATAATGTTTCCTGACTTCATTTGTTACTACAGAGTGATAGTAATTAAAGCAGCATGGTATTAGAATAAAAGTGACTCAGATCAATTGAGTAGAATTGAGAGCCTAGAAATAAAACCAAATATGTATAGTCAACTAATATGTATAGTCAACTAATACATGACACAAGAGCCAAGAGATTGTAACGGAGCAAGGAAAATCTTTTCAATAAATGGTGTTGAGAAAACTGTCCAGACACATGTAAAAAGATAAAACTAGTCCAAAACTTCGCACTAATATGAATGAATGAATGAATGAATGAATGGAGGTAAGACATAAAATCATAACATATCCAGAAGACAAAGGCTCTAGGTAGTGTATCAACTATTTGGGTACTTAATTCTACCTTAAGGAACAGAAAAGCAAAATTAAACAAAAAGGACTGCAGTAAACTAAAAATTTCTACACAATAAAAGAAATTTGCCTCAAAATGACATCCTACTGAGCAGAGGCTATGTCTGACAAGGGGACAATATCCAAAATATACAAAGAACTTATTAAATTCAACAATAACAAGTAAACATATTTAAAAAATTGGAAGAAAATATGAAAAGGCACCACTCCAAAGAAGACACACTGAAGGGTCAGTAGATACATGTGAAGATAACTGTCATCGCTATCATTCCAGAGCTGGAGATCAAAACCATAATGAGGTATCACCTTATACTTGTGGGAATGGGTATTATGGATCATACCCCCAAATCCAAAGTGTTGGAGAGGACAAAAAGTAGCTCAGTGAGCCGAGAAAATTCTTTGCAAGCAGAAGGCCTGAGTTCCATTCCTGACACTATAGAGACCTGTGAAGCATCAGGAGTGACCCTTGAGCAAGAGCTGGGAGTAGCTCCTGAGAACCTCTAGGTGTGGACCAAGAAACAACAACAAAATCAAGTATTGGGGAGTGTATAGTGAAAGAAGGGAACTCTTGTACACTATTGGTGGGAACTTGTTCATTATGGAAAGTAATGAGGAGGTTCCTAAGAATTAAAAATAGAAATTTTATATGACTGGGGCCTGGAGGGACAGCACAGCAGGTAGGGCATTTGCCTTGCATACAACGGACCCGAGTTTGATTCCCAGCATCCCATATACTCTCTCAAGCACCACCAGGAGTAATTCCTGAGTCCAGAGCCAGGAGTAACCTCTGAACATCTCTGGACATGACCCAAAAAGCAAAAAAAAAAAAATTCATATTTCATATGATGTAGCTATCCCTGAGCAGTTGCCTAAAATATACAAAACACCAATTACTGTATGTGTGATACCCATGCTCACCCCAGCATTGTTTACAATACCCAAGAACTGAAAACAACCTAAGTGATCTAGAAAGATGATTGGATAGAGAAAGTGTGATAGATTTATAAAGGGGCTTCTTGACCCTGAGGGAAATGATAAAAAGATTTTTTGGCAGAATCAAAGCAACAAGTTTACTGAAGAAGACACTGATCAAAAGAGACATAGCAGAGACCTTCCCAGAGAAGAGAGGGGTGGAGTTTGCACAACATACCTTAGGGACCCATTTATGTTTTAGAGACACACCCTGCCCACTGCCATTGGGCAAGAAGTTTATGTTGCTTTGTGGAAATTTGAGGTGAGCTTGATGGGGAGTTAGCTCAAAAGGAGAGATCCGAACATCACAGAGAATACACAGCATCTCTGGATGAGTTCGATGGGCTTTATCTCCCCCGGAACACTTCACTAACAAACCTGGGATTTTTCCATGGGGACTAAATCAAACTATCTCACTATACACTGTGGAACACTTCTTGTCCATTTGCGACAACATGGGTAGACCTCGAGGGTATTTTGCTTTGTAAAATAAGTCTGATGGAGAGAGACAAGCACGTATGACTAAGTTCATATGTAGTATAGATAAAAGCAACAAATGGACTAAATAAAACAAACACATATAAACCATTAGTGGTTACTATAAGGAAAAGGGGAAGCAGGGTGAGTAAATAAGGAAGAAGGCAGTCACTGTGAAGCATAGAATTGGACTTTTAGTGGTGAGAATAATGAAGTATCTACACGTGTTGATTTTTAAATGAAGCCCGCCTGAAAATTTTATAATATATTACTTCAATTTAAAAATTGATATATTTTCTAAAAAAGTTCAAAAGAGAAAATACAAGTGACCCAGAAATATGTAAAGAAGTTCAGCCACGTTGGCAACCAAGGAATATAAAATTAAATAAAATCTAGTTCCTGGACTGAAGAAATTACTCAGAGCTATGGTGCTTTAGGTTTGAGCCTGAAACTGCATGGTCGCCCGAGCATCATCAAGGTCTCTCAAAACTACTCTAGGCATGACCCCAAAACAAACCAAATCTTTAAAAAGACAAAATACCTAAATGTCTGTCAACAAGAAAATATAGTATGATCTAGTCAGATTGTGGCATACTACATGGGTATAAAAAGAATCTATAATGCTAGAGATACAGTACAGAGGCTAATGGTCTTTATTTAAATGAAATTCACCCGGGTTCAATCCCTGGCACCACATGTGGTCCTCTGAATATTGCCAAGTATGATCCCGGAGCACCAAAGCCAGGAGTACGCCCTGAGCAATGTTAGGTGTGGCTCAACCCTACCCTCTCCCCTCAATACACACACACATAGACACATACAAACACACACACACACACATACACACACAAAGAAGGAGAATTTTAGGTTACAGTTTTTGCCTATTGTTTTTGCACACCATTGTAAAATTAACTAAGGTAAGCACCTAGCTCTCTGTACTACCTCTCAGTCCCTGGCCCAATATTCTCTTACAGAGACTGACATATCCACGGTGACGTGGGGGGGGGACTATATATATATATATATATATATAATATACATATTATATATATCAAAAGAAAACATATTTTTTGTTCTTGCTTGTTAATGTTTACTTTTAATTATCTGTTCTAATGGCTGAAAAAGTTAAATATTTGGTAAGAGGGCTTATTTATTTTGTAACAAAAGTCTTGATGCCTTAGATTGTTTAATAATTGATAGAACTATTTCCCTCTTTTAGATTAACATTGATGGGCAGGATATTAGGACCTTTAATGTAAGGTACCTAAGAGAAATCATTGGAGTGGTGAGTCAAGAACCTGTGCTCTTTTCCACCACAATCGCTGAAAACATTCGCTATGGCCGTGGAAATGTCACCATGGATGAGATAAAGAAAGCTGTCAAAGAGGCCAACGCCTATGAGTTCATCATGAAGCTGCCACAGGTGAAGTCTCTGCTAATACAGCTGCCCTTGTTGGGAGAATTTCACCTAAGACAACTGAATGATTTCTCCCAAGGTTCAGCTAAGAATATTTGAGATGCAGGCTTGGCCCACTTTGCTATTAAGTTTAATAATTTGAATTATTCAGTTAGATGTTTTAGAACTATTGCCTGGCATATAAAACATAATTAAAGTTTTATACAGAATATGTGTTTTGTTCTTATAATCAGTATTAATCCATTTGATTTTCATTTATGATTCTCTTTGGTAGTTGAGATGATGTTTACATGCTGTCTTTCTGCATTTCTAGTTTCCATAACTTTTGGGGGGTGATCTTAGGGTCCCACATGCTGGCTCCCAGAAAACTCTTGGTGCTGAGGAAAGAACTCAGGATCTCACACTTGACGGGCAGGTGCTTATCCACTGAGCTATAGCCCCAGCCCCTGGCCTCCATAGTTTCTCTGGTTAAAATATAATTAATAAAATCTACTGTGTTTTCTGTTGTAGAAATTTGACACTCTGGTTGGAGAGCGAGGGGCCCAGCTGAGTGGGGGACAAAAACAGAGAATTGCCATCGCTCGGGCCCTGGTTCGCAACCCCAAGATCCTCCTCCTGGATGAGGCCACATCAGCCTTGGACACTGAAAGTGAAGCTGAGGTACAGGCAGCTCTTGATAAGGTCAGTAACCCTAAATACCCAAAAGACCCATCAAATAAAAAATTTATGGATGGCTCTGAGCCAGAACAAAATCCAAGGTGTCACACATGCATAGCAAATGCTCTACTGCTGTGTGATATATATGTATATGTGTATATATATACACATATATGTATATGTGTATATATATACACATATATGTGTATATGTATATATAGTATAGTACACATACATACACATCTATCATGCAGCAGTAGAGCATTTGCTTTGCATGTGTGACACCTTGGATTTTGTTTTGGCTTCATTGACTTCTGTTTTCTCAAGTCAGATTGCATAGAAAAGGGATGAATGTTTTCATTAACTGGCTTGCTTTGACCAAGGCTCAATGACTAGGCCAGTGAACTAAGTGATTCAGCTCTGTATTTTTTTTCTTGTACCATTTCTTATCTTGACCAAAAGTAGTTATGTTAAACCACATAAAGAAAAATTTGGTTATCCAGAAGGTTTTTCAAGTGCAAAAAATGTTTAAATGCATGCCCTATCTAATAAGTGATCACACCATCTGTAGTCACAAAGGCGAGTGGGTGCCTCAATGTATGTGATTGTCTAAGCATATAAATAAGCAGCACATTTTATGCAAGCTGGGCTCATGTGCTGACTCAGATAATTCTAAATCTTTCACTGTGTTTCTAAATTGAAGCATTGCAGGGAGAATTTTTTCTTGGGATGCATTTAGGATTGATGCTTATTTCATCTGTAATAACAACACAATATTTGACACCAAATACATAGGTTTGTGATGTATATAAAAACATATTTCGTTTGATAAAGTTTAATAAAAAGATATTCGGGTTCCTTAACAGATTTTATCTACATGACCACTCACAATACAGAGGTGAGCTGTATGAACCTTATTTTCTCAGGAAAATTTTAATCTGCATTCTAAGTAAACACAGTTGCCTTGTGTTCTATAACTGTAGTTGATCAATTCTTCCTGGTTTATATGACTAATATTTTGCTTTCTTTATATACTTTAATTTCATGATGATTAATGTGCTGATAATTATTTTTTTATAAGTTCTCACACTGAAGTAACGTGCTTTCATGTGAGTTGTCAAAATATTAAAGTTCTAAGATATAACACATAGGAGACTGGTGATTGTTTGGTGAATTAGGAGTGACTTAAAGCTAGTCAAAGGGCTGGAGAGATAGCACAGTGGGTAGGGCGTTTGCCAGCCAACCCGGGTTCAATTCCCAGCATCCCATATGGTCCCCTGAGTACTGCCAGGAGTAATTCCTGAGTGCAGAGCCAGGAGTAACCCCTGTGCAACGCCGGGTGTGACCCCCCCAAAAAAGCTAGGCCCTAAATTATTAAAAATATATGTTTAGAGGGCTGGAGCAATAGTACAGAGGGGAGGGCGTTTGCCTTGCACATGGCTGACCCGGGTTCAATCCCCAGCATCCCATATGGTCACCACCACCAGGAGTGATTCCTGAGTGCAGAGTCAGGAATAATCCCTGTGCATTACCAGGTGTGACCCAAAAAGCAAATATATATATATAATATATATATACACATATATATATACACACACATATATATTTATATATATAAATAATATATACAAATATATATGCAAATAAATATAACCATACGTATACATACACACATATATACATACACACACACACACACACACACATATATATATATATCTTTGTCATGATTATCCTGTTGTTCATCGATTGCCTTGAGCAGACACCAGTAATGTCTCCTTCTCTTAGCCCTGAGATTTTAAAAGAGCCATATTCAATGCTCTTTCAGGGCTCGGAGAATGAGACCGATCATTGTTACTAGTATTTGGCATATTGAATACAACATGGGAAGTTTGCCAGACTCTGCCGTGCGGGCAGGATACTTTTGGTAGTCTGCTGGGTTCTCAAAAGTAAAAATGAGATAATAAGATGCTTCCGGGAGCTGGGTTTTATAGTCTCTGGGTCTTGACCGTTGATGGGACCACCTGGCGCCAGCGGCAGCTGGTGGGTATAATGCCTACCTACTGGAAGATGGGGGATCTGGGTGGAAAAGGCCCAGTCCTGATCCGAGCAAGCTTGGAGATCTCAGCCCTGGGACCCGCATGCCTGAGTTCGCCTGCCGGTTCCTTGATGCGTGAGGCTTGTACAGATGTGTGGAGAGTGGACTCAGCATGGCTGTGGCTGGTTTGGCTGCCGGGGCTCTGCTCGGGGTGGAGAGGGAAACTCAAGCCGCCCCCTCCAAGGGGCCCCGCTGAGGACGGCCAGGCGCGGGGGCAGGAGACTCTGTATACACACACACACACACACACACACACACACGTGTTTAGGGCCAGAGCAATAGTAAACTGGAGCACATGTTCTGTATTTGGAGGCTTGGGTTTGATCCTCAGCACCACATGTTCCACTCTACACTGCTGGCATCAGCCCCTAAGCACAGAGCTGGGAGTAGTCCTTGAGTATCACCAAGTGTGGCCGCCAGATAAAAAGTTTAAAGGTCTTGTTTAAATTGTTTAAATTAAACAATTTAAGCTTAAACATGGGCTGGAGTGAGAGCACAGCTGGTAGGGCATTTGTCTTGCATACAGCCAGCCAGCCCGGCTGAGCTGGGTTTGATTCCTCCGACCCTCTCGGAGAGCCCGGCAAGCTACTGAGAGTATCTCTCCCGCATGGCAAATCCTGGCAAGATACCCATGACGTATTTGATATGCCAAATACAGTAACAACAAGTCTCACAATGGAGACATTACTGGGCCCGCTTGAGCAAATCGACGATCAATGGGAGGACAGTGACAGTGAAGCTTAAACATACAAATGGTCATTCATGTGTCACCAAAAGATTTTTAAGGTTAAAAGTTAGGAATATAAGATAGATAATACCCACCAAACTAAGGCCTATTTTGCTCTGGATTACAAGTTCCAATCCTTCCTACATACCAGTTTTCAACATCTAAGCCCTGACTGTGCTACAGATGGTATGGATCCTGAGAGAAAGCATTGCCTTGTAATTTTTAATTTATATGCGGCAAATTATTTTACTCAATATTAGTTTTTGTGTACATCTGTAGAATTATGACTCACTAATCAGTTGACAACCTTTTACATAGTAGTCTTAAGGAGTTAGCCTAATTAGCCTAGTTAGCCTAATTGGACTAGTGAGTATCAAAAGAGTAACTTACTGATATTGTATGAAAAAAATGATGAATATATCCCAGGGTTTAATTTCCATTAATAAATTCACTAGTATTCTCTTAACTACATAAGAGAAATTCTTTGTAGATTTTAGCATGCATAAAAAAAATCACCTGTAACTTTAGTTTAAAATTAATGCCCATTCTTTGAGCTTTAATTCAAATAGTCTTAATCAGGAGAAACATTTTCACCTGAACTGCCTGCATGCAATCCGTCAGAATTATTGATAAAATTAATTGTTTCAAATTCATCCTTACAGAATTTTCTGGGGACTGCTGTGTTTGGCAGTAACCACTCCAATAAGTTTTCACTAAAGCATCCCATATAATTCAGAACTAGGGTTCATTGGACAAGAATGAAAACACATGAGAGACATTAAACTTTTTCTTGTAATATCTAAGTAAATACTGCCAGTATTATAGCCTTCCAGAGCTATCCATTCTCATACAGAAGGGGGCTGGCCTCTTGTCTGGTCCGGTACTCAAGTCTTGCTTTTACCTTTCTTCAAGGAATGATACCTTTTTGTTTGTTTTTTTTTTCTTTTTGGGTAACACCTGGCGATGCACAGGGGTCACTCCTGGCTCATGCATTCAGAAATTACTCCTGGTGGTACTCGGGGGACCATATGGGATGCTGGAAATGAAACCCAGGTCAGCCGCATGCAAGGCAAACACCGTACCCACTGTGCTATCACTCCAGCCCTGAGGAATGATATTTTTATACTGTCAATCTCACTGGCAGGGCAAGCTGCAGTTATCAAATACAGACATTTAGGGGCTCAGTTGTGCATGTGGATTGACAGTGCATGTATAACTGCTGTATCTCATGTGTATTTTCTTCCCCTTTAGGCCAGAGAAGGTCGGACCACCATTGTCATAGCACACCGACTGTCCACAATCCGCAATGCAGATGTCATAGCGGGGTTTGAGGATGGAGTCATTGTGGAGCAGGGAAGTCACAGTGAACTGATGAAGAAGGAAGGGGTTTACTTCAAGCTTGTTAACATGCAGGTATGTTTTTCAAGGAGTCTTGCAGCTGCTTGCTCTTAAATACGGTACTTTTTTAAACTCAAATATCACATAACTAATGCCATACTGAAAATCTGAGAAGCTTTAGGAAACTGCTAAAATATGTATATCTAACACTTTAATTCAGAATGAGTGAAAGAATTCTGAGAAAAGAAAACTTGATGGAGAAAAGTCAAGACCAAATATATTTTTAAAAAATTTTAACGGGCAGAAATACTTAATTGTATAGGAAATGTGTTCAAACTAATACAGTCTTTCCACCAGAAGATTAGTGATGACCAGAGTGTATGTAGGAACAAGGGGGTTGTGCTACGGATTTAAGTAGTTGGGGAAGTCCTAAGTGATTTTACAGTGCTTCTCAAGTGATTGTAATGAAATCAGAAGCAAATTTACTGGCTCAAAAAGTTGGTTTTTAATTTTCCTCTATAAAATATTAATTCCTAATGCAAGTTATAATTACTTTATTATATGATATAAATATGATGCTATCTTTCTGTAATCTACAATACAAACAACAGATTACGATTTCCTGGCTTGTCTTAAGTGATATATCTTTACTGTGTTAGTTTGATCAACATTATATACTTCATACTTAAAATTTTTATTCTACAGACATATGTCAATGTTTATAATAGCATATATATTCACTTAGATATAACTGAAATTATAACTGCAGTATGTGTATACATATTTTTTAACATTTCTGATATTTATTTATCATCCCCAAACTATTATTTAAAAATTACTATTTTTATTGAGGTAACTGGAGTCATAATAATGTAGTGATAGCACAGCGGTAAGGCGTTCGCCTTACAAGCGGCCAACATGGCCGACCCGAGTTCGATTCCTCCGCCCCTCTCGGAGAGCCTGGCAAGCTACCGAGAGTATCCGATATGCCAGACACAGTAACAACAAGGTCTCCAATGGAGACGTTACTGGGCCCGCTCGAGCAAATCGACGATCAACGGGAGGGCCTTTACCTTACCTTTACCTTATACTTTTTACGCATACATCAAAACTATCATTTTAACCAGCACTTACCCTATTATACTAATGTGAAATAAATTGTTTAGACATTTTTCTAAAGTCAGATGCCTAAGTTATTTCTATTAATTCTCTATTTTGAATATTGTCACTTGAGAACACAAGTGGCTAAAAAAAAAAAGTAAAAAAGTTTTTATTTTTACTTCTTTGAGCCTTTTCACAATTGAAATAGTAAATTTACCATAGCACAGCGGGTAGGGCGTTCGCCTTACAAGCGGCCAACATGGCCGACCCGAGTTCGATTCCTCCGCCCCTCTTGGAGAGCCCGGCAAGCTACCGAGAGTATTCGATATGCCAGACACAGTAACAACAAAGTCTCCAATGGAGACGTTACTGGGCCCGCTCGAGCAAATCGACGATCAACGGGAGGGCCTTTATTTTTAAGCTTGCTATAAAGTTAGACAAATACCTGGACATACTAAAAACTACTAGGTGTAGTCTTTGAAAGGGTGAATTTTAGGTATGTGAATGATCTCAATAAAGCTATATTTAAAAGATTATCTGGCACAGAATAGATGCATAATAGATGATATACATACATAAATTTCTGAGAATGAAAATATCGAATGAAATAGTGGAAAGTTTTATAGTTCTCACTTCAGTTTGCCAGAGAATGTTCTCCAGCAGGAGAAGATCATTATACTGTCTTCGCCAGTTGTTTCCACGTTGCCTAGCCAGCAGAAGGTCTTTCTCATATGCCTAGACAGATACGTGACAATTAAGGAAGTCCACCAAATAGAACATTGCAGAGTGGTTCACAGCACTATCATCACCACACAGACAATAGTGTGTCAGTTCACAACTGGTTGAGATAAATAGGCAATAAGGGAAAAGCTATAGTAAATGGATTTTAAGTGAAATGTTAGATAAAATGTTTAGACAACTTTCCTGTTCTTGCCCTTAAAATCCATTTGTACCAGCACTGAAGTACTAGACAAACCATTAAGATAGGTACTTGAGCATGAACAATGCAACCAGGGAATCCAAAAAAAGGTAGACCTCCCCCCCAAAAAAGGTTGACTTAACTGTTATTTCACTGGGATCCTTAAACCTTGTCCCTCCTCTTTAAGAAAGAACTGCCCCCCAAATTGGTGATGAATATAAACCTCCAAGCTGAATTGCCTGGTGTGTAGTATGCATGTAAGCATGACTCAAAGTAGAAGGAAGATGGAAAAAGAAAGAACTTCCCTCAGTCAGTTTAGGGAAGGGGTATGATTATTTTCCATGGATAAGAGACCAGCTTTCCTGTGGGTAACCTTGAAAGGCCTGGAATGTAGTACAGAGGTTAATGTGCTTGCCTTACATGTGGTATCCCTGGTTTGATCCCAGCACTACCAGGAGTGACCTCTGATCAGAGAGCCAGGAATAGCCCTTGAGCAGCCCCTGGTGTTGCTCAGTACTCCCCTATTCCAAATACAAATGAGTCTTTGGTCAGGTTTTTATTATTCTTCTCCCCTTTGTGGTCATGATTTTTTTCCCTGAATACTCACATATTGAGAAAATCCTGCATACCTGCAGGATGATAATAAAATAATAATAATTAAAAAATTTTTAAATTTAATTTTTAAATTTTTAAATTTAAAAATGCTTTTATTTTCTAAGTTTAATATTCAAATTAAATTTAATGTTTATGTCACTTTAAACTACTTCTACTTCTCAGTTTTGATTCACTTCTTTATAGTTTTTAGCTAACCTTGGAGGAACTGTAATGGAATCTCAAAATACACATGAAATAATCAAAATGGCTTTAAAGCTTTAAACTTGAATGTCACATACATTTGTATGCATACACACACACACACACACACACACACACACACTCACACATTTTTAATGTAAGTGTTCTCTGTCAGACTTCAGGAAGCCAAATCCAGTCAGAAGACTTTGAAGTTGAAGTAAGTGAGGAAAAGGCTGCCACAGGTTTGGCCCCAAATGGCTGGAAACCAAGACTCTTTAGGACTTCTACTCATAAAAGCCTTAGAAATTCACGAAAGCATCAGAGTGATCTTGATATGGAAACCAATGAACTTGTAAGTAGCACTTGACTTATTTTTGTTTCTTTGTTTTTGTTTGGGGGCCACACCTGGTGGTCTTCAAGGCTTACTCCTGCTCTTTGCTCAAGGATCACTCTTGGTAGTGCTCAGGGGACCATACATGGTACCATCAGCATTGGTCATATGCAAGGCAAGCTCTTTATTCCCTATACTGTCTCTCCAGCCCTGGGCTTAATTTTTTTTTTATTTTAATGAATCACCGTGAGATACAGTTACAGACTTACAAACTTGCATGATTATGTTTCGGTCATGCAATGTTTGAGTACCCATCCCTCCACCTTGCACATTCTCTATCAGCAATGTTTCCAGTATCCCTCCCGCCATCCCCATACCTCCCCCTCAACCTCTGCGGCAGGTACATACCCTTTTACATTCTCTCTCCTCCTCAGTGTTATGCTTTGCAATACAGCTACTAAGCAGCCATCATGTTTGGTCCATAGTTTACTTTCAGCCCAAGAACAGATGACTGGTTAAAGAAACTTGGTATATCTACATAATGGTATATCTACAATCACTCCACGGTCCTCCCGTTGTTCATCGTTTTGCTCGAGCGGGCCCAGTAACGTCTCCATCATGAGACTTCTTGTTACTGTGTTTGGCATATCGAATACGTCACAGGTAGCTTGCCAGGCTTTGCCGTGCGGACGAGATACTCTCAGTAGCTTGCCAGGCTCTCCGAGAGGGGCAGAGGAATCAAACTAGGGTTGGCCATGTTGGCTGTGTGCAAGGCAAACGCCCTACCGCTGTGCTATCGCTCCAGCCCAGTATATCTACAATATACTAGGAAAAACAAAATAATATTAGTTTAAACAAATTAAGAGGTTTTTTTTTCTTTTTCAATTAAGCAAATCCCCCCCCCCCCCCGACATAAACAAATCATATAAGTAAGAAGCTCAGGGTTTTGAAAGGTGCCTCCACAGTTACCGTGGATTCAGGCTCTTTTCATCTCTGTTCTTTCTCTTCTGGCATGTGACTTCCAATCTCCTCGAGTTAAAATGGTTGGTGAAGTTCTGTTCTTCAGAGCCATATTCCAAACAGTGGAAGAAACAAAGAGATGGTCCAGAATCTTATAATTTGGCATTGATCATAGTTTAGTCACATGACTATACTAAATTACAGGGGAGCATGGAAAATGAATAATTCTGCTGCATGGACTGCCTCTCTGAATTAGGGTGGATCACTCCTATTAAGAAATAGTGGTGTTGGGGCTAGAGTGATAGCACAGCGGGTAGAGCGTTTGTCTTGCACACGGCCGACCTGGGTTCGATTCCCAGGATCCCATATGGTCCCCTGAGCACTGCCAGGGGTAATTCCTGGGTGTAGAGCCAGGAGTAACCCCTGAGTGTTGACGGGTGTGACCCCAAAATAAAAAAAAGTGGTGAAGACCCAGATATCGCAAAGTTGTACTTTCTTTAACAGTTCTCACCTGAGAATATGGATAGTATTAAATTAAGCCCCGTCCCCAGAAAAGACATTTTCCTGTTTCAGAGATTTTATAATACATTTTAATGTTGTTTGTTGATAAAAAGCTGTTTATTTTTACTCTATGTTGGCCTGAGGAAACTAAAACTACTGATAATTCATCACATCTGTTTTTCTTTGTCCACATTGTATTTACTGAAGAAATTAGAAGAAATTTCTTAGAGGTATTAAACTTGGTTTATTAATGTAAAGAATAACTGTACTCTTGTTGAGTATATTGCATAATTTGTTTCTTCCTTTCGGCTGTCATCGTATCTACTATTCCTCACTTACTCTGAGAGTGGTGGTAAAGGTAAAGGTAAAGGTAAAGGCCCTCCCGTCGATCGTCGATTTGCTCGAGCGGGCCCAGTAACGTCTCCATTGGAGACTTTGTTGTTACTGTGTCTGGCATATCGAGTACTCTCGGTAGCTTTGCCGGGCTCTCCAAGGGGGCGGAGGAATCGAACTCGGGTCGGCCATGTTGGCCGCTTGTAAGGCGAACGCCCTACCGCTGTGCTATCGCTCCAGCCAACTGAATTATTAGTGTTTGGTATTTGAGTATGCACTTCTTTTAGAGAAATTAACAGAAAATAGTAAGAAGCAGAAAATGTCACAGTTAAAAAGGTTGTTATAAGGACCATCTTAAAAGAATAGACAATGAGCCCAAAGAGAAGAAGAAATTAAGTCTAATCAGAGGAACCTGGGAAGATTTGTTGGTATGTGTGTTTAAGAGTAGATCAAGGAAAAGGCTTATACAGATTGGAGAGCAGGACTTATTTGGGATAAAGGGGGGAAAAATGAAAGTATTAGGGAAATAGGCAGTTTGAAAAAAAATGACTAAGTAGAATCTTCTGTGATTTCTTTTTCACAGAGACACAAACATGACCTGTTTTATAAGGCTGTGGGATTCTATTGGCATCTTTCATATTTTGTTTAATGTTAAACTACTTTCCAAGTCAGAGTTTCTTCTTCATGTTGGACCAGATATTTAGTTTAACATTTTCTGAAAATCTGTATGTCATAGGAATTGGGCTAGTTTCAAGAGCTATAAAAACAGTTGCTACCCAAATATATTCAAAAATTAATTATAAAAAACATCACATTAAAAACTAAAATTCATTGTGTAGATGTACCAAAGTTTCTTTAACCAGTCATCTGTTCTCAGGCACTCAGGTTTTTTCCAGATTCTGGCTATTGTAAAGAGTGCTGCAATGAACAAACAAGTGCAGATGTCACTTCGACTATACTTTTTTGCCTCTCTGGGATATATTCCCAGGACTGGTATTGCTGGGTCAAATGGGAGCTCAATTTCTAATTTTTTGAGAATTGACCATACTGTTTTCCAAAAGGGCTGAACCAGTCGGTATTCCCACCAGCAGTGGAGGAGGGTCCCTTTCTTGCCACATCCATACCAACACGGGTTGCTTTTGTTCTTTTGGATGTGGGCCAGTCTCTGTGGTGTGAGATGATATCTCATTGTTGTTTTGATCTGCGTCTCCCTGATGATTAATGATGTAAAGCATTTTCTCATGTGCCTTTTTACCATTTGGATTTCTTCTTTGAGAAAGTTTCTGTTCATTTCGTCGCCCCATTTTTTCATAGGGTTGGATGTTTTCTTCATGTGGAGTTCAACCAGAACTTTGTATATCCTTGATATTAACCCCTTGTTGGATGTGTATTGGGCGAATATCCTTTCCCATTCTGTAGACTGTCTGTATTTTGGTCACTGTTTCTTTTGAGGTGCAGAAGCTTCTTAGTTTAAGATAGTTCAATTTGTCTATCTCTGTTTTCACTTGCTTGGCCAGTGGTATGACATCTTTGACATTAGTGTCATGCCATGACACTGAGGCTAATGGTATCTTCAAATATGTCACACCAGTGGCCAAGCAAGTGAAAACAGAGATAGACAAATTGAACTATCTTAAACTAAGAAGTTTTGCCCACTTTGTCTTCAATGTACTTTATGGATTCTGGTGTTGAGGTCTTTAATCCATTTTGATCTTACTTTTGTAGATGGTATTAGGCAGAGATCTGAGCCCATTTTTTTGCATGTAGCTGTCCAGTTTTGCGAGCACAATTTTTTTTTTATGTAGGAGTACTGATATTTATTCAGCCACTGATTAGCTGATTGTATTGGGCATAAACTCCACCTTACTTTTTTCCCATAATTTTATTTATTTTTCTTCTTATATTTATTTATTGAAACACTGTGGGAAAAGTTACAGAGCTTTCAGGTCTAAGTCTTGGTCATATAATGATCAAACACCTTTCCCTTCACCAGTACTCATTTTTCACCACCAAGAACCCCAATATAATCCCCCTCCCACCCCTCCCAATGCCTGCGAGGCAGATGATTTCTACTTAACTTTTCTCTACATTGATTACATTCATTATCTTGACACAAGATGCACCATTATTGTTTAGAATTTCCCCTCCCACCAATCAGAATTGCTGAAAAGGCATTGTGAAATACTTTGTTTTCTATAGCTGGTTATGAGAATAATATAATGATTTTGGATTTCTGCAAAGAGCCAGATAATTACAAGACTGGTTTCTGTGTGCCTGGTGTTATGGCTTTGCCGGAAAGCCACTTGTGGGGGGCAACTTGTGACCTCGGTAGAGTGTGAAGGACGAGCCGGTACCGCTCCCCTTCCCATGAGACTGCAGTTGCCCCTTCGCCGCCGGCTCATACCTGGCTTTCCTATAAGCTCAGAGGCAGCAGCCACCTTGCAGCTGGTGGGGGGTGGAGTCGTGGGAAAGGCAGAAGGGAGCAACCCCTTTCCCTCCCGGGGAAGCATGGCACTGTAGTTTAATGCACGGTTCATTCATTTTTATGCCGCAAGCTGCCGGGCTCTTGATTAAGTCCTTTTGCCTCTGGAGCTATGGCCGTGCCAGAGAGCCGCTTGTGGGGGGCAACTCGTGACCTCAGTAGGGCATGAAGGATGAGCCAGTACCGTCCCCCTTCCCATGAGACTGCAGTTGCCCTGTCACCACGGGCTCATACCTGGCTTTCCAGTAAGCTCTGAGGTGGCAGCCACCCTACTGCTCGGGGCGGGGGGAGTGGAAAGGTGGAAGGGAGCAACACCCTTTCCCTCCTGGGAAGGCATGGCACTAATTTAATGCATGGTCCATTTACTTTTCTGCTGCAAGCTGCCGGGCTCTGGATTAAGTCCTTTTGCCTCTGGAGCTATGGCTGTGCCAGAGAGCCGCTCATGGGGGTCAACTTGTGACCTCGGTAGGGCGTGAAGGACAAGCCGGTACTACTCTCCTTCCCATGAGACTGCAGTTGCCCAGTCACCGCCGGCTCATGCCTGGCTTTCCTATAAGCTCTGAGGCGGTAGCCACCTTGTATGCAGTCCAGATGTATTTCTGCCAAAAGCCGCTGGGTTTTGAGATTTGTTTCTGAGTCTTTGGGATCATGGTCGTTAATCAGCTTGATCAGGAGCCAGAGAGGCCTTTTGTAGGCGGTGACTCAGGGGTCTCATTGGGATAGGAAGGGAAGGGCCACTTCCACCCCCATCTGGTGAGACCCCACGTGTCTCGTCACTGCAGGCCCAAACCTGACTGACTGTCCAGTGGCCTTTGGATGATGGCGGTCACTGGGCCGCCAGGGGAAACAGGCCCAGGCACAAAACCTATTCCCACCTGGAGTGGCCCAGCACCAGTAACCTACTGCGGGAACAGGACGCATTTCTGCCAAAAGCCTTTGGATTCCGAGATTTGTTTTTGAGTCTCTGGGATCGTGGCCGTTAAGCAGTTCAATCAGGAACCAGAGAGGCCATGCCTCCAATTATATAGCTGAGCCAGAGTTGGTTTGTGTGTGTGTGTCCCACATACCTGACTTTTGGCCATTTACCTTCTTGGTAAACTTTGCCCCAAGTTCTTGGGGTCTGGCCAAAGGCACAACAGCAATTTTGGGGTATCTGAAAGTCTGATGTTGCCATCAGCCTGTTGATACACTCGCCTCACAGGTACAGATTGACCTGCTGGCGGCACCATACCCCCACCAGCACAATTTTTAAAAGAGGCTTTCCTTGCTCATCTTCACATTTCTTGATCCCTTGTCAAAGATTAGATGATCATATGTTTTGGGGGAGATGTCAGTATATTCAACCCTGTTCCATTGGTCTGCGGCTCTGCCTTTGTTCCTGTAGCATGCTATTTTAGTTATTACTGGTTTGTAGTAGAGTTTGAAGTTAGGGAGGTTGATTCCTCCCATTTTCTTTTTCCCAAGAATTGCTTTAGCTATTCATGGGGGCTTATTGTAGCTGTTAGAAAAGATGAAGTCATGAAATTTATATACAAGTAGTACTACATGGAAAGTATCATGCTAAGTGAAATGAGTCAGAAAGAGAGGTACAGACATAGAAAGATTGCATTCATCTAGGGAACATAAAGTAACAAAATAGGAGACTAACACCCAAGAATAGTCGAGATAAGTACCAGGAGGTTCACTCCATGGCTTGGAGGCCAGCCACACACGCTAGGGGAAAAGGCAGCTCAGATCAAGAAGGGAACACTAAATAAAGCATATTGGGAGGATCCTCCCAGGCTGGGAGATGCATGCTGAAAGTAGACTATTAGACAGAACATGATTTCCACTCAGTGCCTCTTTTGCAAACCACAGCACCCAAAAGGAGAGAGAGAACAAAAGGGAATGCCCTGCCACAGAAGTAGGGTGGGTTGGGGAAGATGGGGGATGAGGGGGATACTGGGATCAGTGGTGGTAGAGAATGGGCACTGGTGGAGGGATGGGTGCTCGAACATTGTATAATTGAAACCCAAGCATAAAAATTTGTCAGTCTACAACTGTACCTCATGGTGTTTCACTAATAAAAATAAAAAAAAATAAAATTCAGATATAAAATTTATTTCAGTGTACAAATAGAAAAACAATAACGATACAAGCTAAATTCTAAAGTATGGGAATAGTGGTTTTAAAAGAAGGGTGATGGAGCCAGGGAGATAGTACAGTAGGTAGAGTGCTTTCCTTGCGTGCGGCCGACTTGAGTTCAGTCTCCAGCACCACAATTGGTCCCCCTATCTTTTCAGGAAAAAATCCTAAGATAAGAGCCAGGATTAAGCCCTGAGCATCACTACCAGGTATGGCCCAAACATTCCTGCGCAGAGAGAGAGAGAGAGAGAGAGAGAGAGAGAGAGAGAGAGAGAGAGAGAGAGAGAGAGGAATTGGAGAATAGGAGAATAGGAGAATGGGGAGTGATGGCCAGGGAGCCAGGGATGTAGCTCAGTGCTCTCTTGCTCCTGTGTTGCATGTGTGAGGCCCTGGGTTATATTTTCAGCACTACACACATAGTGAGAAGGGATAAGATGGGGCTGGATTAATTTGGTTTCCTAAATGGGGACCAAGTGAGAGAAAAGGTAGCACTGGACAGGATTCTGGTAAGGAGACCGGGCCCAGGTTGTCTGGTTAATAAAAGTATCTTACGTTGGTAAGGACATTTGTCAGCTATTCTTAGATATTATCTTTTTTTAACCTGGATCCATCCCCGAGAGTCAGTACCATGTGGTCATGTATCAGAAGACTGAAGTTCAGCTTTTGTGGTCTTGCTACCCATGTCACATTAGTACAGAGCTGTGATTCCACAACTGGGACTTAAATTCTAATGCATTTTGTGATCAGATCCTGCTATTGTTCACTCTGCAGAGGTGAGATTAGAGACAGGCTTTTCAGGGCATGGAGATGTCAGCTGAAGAACCATTGATAATCAGCTTTTGAGCAGGGTCTGTAAACAGTGCTGCACATATTTTAATAATGCATGTATATCATAAATATATAATATAATCAATGCATTTATATTATAATTATGTTTATGTTATAATGTAGCACCCCAGTCAGAGTTCAATTCCTCTGCCCCTCTTAGAGAGCCCGGCAAGCTACCGAGAGTATCTCGCCCACACGGCAAAGCCTGGCAAGCTACCCGTGACGTATTCGATATGCCAAATACTAAATCTCACAATGTTACTGGGCCCACTCAAGCAAATCGATGAACAATGGGAGGACAATGACAGTGTCAGTGATAATGTAGCACCAACATTTTACAATGTAAGACAATTATCTTACAGTATTTGCAATAGTGGGTAGCTTTCTGCACACACTTTTCAAGTTCTTTCTGCCATGCTTTTTTCAAGTCACTATTATCACCAACTATTCTTGATATTCATGTTATTTTCTGATATTCATATATTCTAGGATGAAAATGTGCCACCAGTGTCCTTTCTGAAGGTCCTGAAATTGAATAAAACCGAGTGGCCCTACTTTGTGGTGGGAACAGTATGTGCCATTGCCAATGGGGCACTTCAGCCTGCATTTTCAGTCTTATTCTCAGAGATGATAGCGGTAAGCTTGAAAAGTCCATTTAGCAACTTGAATTAAATAAGTGCTCACCTACCCTCATCATTAGCTCTGTTCTGGAGTCAGCATATACCTCAGGTAATGATAAGTCAAAGGCTTATTATTTGCATTTAAGGAGAGCTGCCAGCTGAAACCTAAAGTGATCTTTTGAACCATTCTGAGGTATGATATCAATGAAAATGATAAAGTGAAAGGCTTTCTAATGAGCACTCTCCATTTGGTGAGACTAGCGTCATGCAATGACTCTCACACATTTCCCCCGCCCCCCCCGTTTTTTATTTTTTATTAATTCCCCGTGAGATACAGTAACATAAATTTCATGTTTGAACTTTGATCATACAGTCATCAAACACCCATCACTTCACCAGTACACATTTCCCACCACCAAAATCCCCAGTATTTCCACCCCCCCCCCCCACCCCATTCCTCCTCCTGCCTGTGTGGCAGACAATTTGCAAAGTATTTTTTCTCTACTTTAGTTACCTTCGATATTTCGAGGCCAGTCCTACCTCCCCTCATACCTGCTGAAAGTACAATTGCTAGACAATGTGTTTTGTATTGCTTGTTATATATATAATATAAAGCTCTAGGAATTCTAAGATTTTAATAATTAGGTTCTGAAGAAATCACTGCCGCAGGTTGCTCAGGTCTGAGATTCCCGTGTGTGTCTCTGGATCGTGGCCACGTGGGAGCTGGTGCTTCTTGCTGGCTTCTAGAAAATGGCAACCTCTGGAGCTCTTAGAGGGCAGGCGGTGGGACAGCGCCTGCCCCCATGTGGAGCAGCCCAGCAGAGAGGCCTATTGCAAAGTCCCAGGCCATCTCTGTCGCAAGTTGCTCGGGTCCGAGATTTCTGTATGTGTCTCATACACATTTTTAAAGTTAAAATTTCAATTTACCAAGTTGTTCATAATACAGTTGTTCCAGGAATTAAATGTTCCAACACCAATCCCACCACCAGTGTGACCTTCCCTTCACCAATGTCTCCATTCTACTGAAACAGACCTACAACATACAAATGAAATAATATTTCAAGTGATTAAAGCAGGATGGTATGATATCAATGAAAATGATAACGTGTATAGACAGATTGGAGATATTTCTTGGCAGAAGCCGTGCAGAGTGATGGGTGTAGGACTGTCGTCGAATGGTGGGATACTGCACTGAGAACAGCATATACAGAGGAAAAGGAGCAAACATTAAAATGTTTGATCACATATGCAGGGTTGCAAACGATTTTAATAACCACATGATCTTCATATTCAGAGGGGCATAGACAGAGCAGTGGTTCTTAGGGTGTGGTTGTGGCATAGCTAGTTGCTGTTTAAATCAGTGATCTTCAACCCTAATCCAGGGACCATGCTAGTTAGTCCGTAGGTGTAGAATGGTTAAAAACGACTGGTCTACACCTTGGTTCTAAATGCTGATCTGTGGACTTGTATGCAGGACAGGTACCAGTCTCCAGATGTAAAAGGTTGAAGAATGCTGGTTTAGAGGACCCAGAATGTCAGTTTGGGATGATGAGAAACTTCTGAAAATGGGTAGTCGTGAAGGTTGCAAAACAGCATAATGTCCTTAACACCTTTGAACTTTACATTTAGGATGACAAAAATTGTACAGTTTACATGATGTATATATTTTTTTCCTCAATGACAAACTTTTGGTTTGGATGGTGTCAATTAAAAGACTCATTTTTAAATAGCATGTTTAAATAATTTTTTATAGGAAGACTGAACAATGACTATGTAATCCAATGGAATAATTTTATTGTTCTTTTGTAGATTTTTGGACCAGGGGATGATGAAGTGAAGCAACAGAAGTGCAACATGTTTTCCTTGCTTTTTTTAGGCCTGGGGATTATTTCTTTTTTTACTTTCTTCCTTCAGGTATGTACTTACAGTGTGCCTTTCTTAGTGATTCTGTATTCATTGACAGAACTTGATCAAAACTGAATGGAACTCTCCATCCAATCTCAAACTGTAGGCTGAAATGAGATGCAAACACAGTTGTCATAAGTTTTTAGCAGGAGGAATTATAACTGTTCTGTGTGCTCAATTAAAGACTGACCTCAGAAAACATTTAATAGCAAGGCGGGGAAAAGGATATTTAAGTTTGTAGAACATCGAATCAGTTGGATTATACTTCTAGTTGTAAACTTGAAAATAAATCAGTGCAAATGCATTTTTGTTTTTTGTGACTACTCATTATAGAGAATCAGGTGACTTCTCTGATCTTTTCCTTTTTAATTGATGAACTATTTTAAAGAATATAATTGTATTACACCTAGGATAATAGAGATGGCCAAGTAGTTCTTGTTCTAACCTGACTTTTCTACCTAAACTTTTGGCTTGTATGTTGTCATCTAGGGCTTATTTGCTGACTTTGTACTGAAGGGTTCCCTAAAAGTACTCAAGGAACCGCATGCAGCACTGGGGATATAATCAGGGTTGGCTGTGTGCCAGGCAAGCTCCTTAACCCCTGTAATATCTCTCTAGTCCAAATTTTACCCCCCAAAAATAAAAATTGTCCTTTAACTCAAAAAGATCACACAGGTTTTCAAGATATAATCTATTAAGTCATTAATTCATGCACATTTTCCAAATCATGTTTCACAATGTTGGACTAATGGTTAAAAAAAGCCAAACTTTTTATCTATAAATCATTGTCTTGCTCAAAGCAACTGAATGATTCTACCACGTCCCAAGCTGTCACATGCTAGGGTGTGGAGTTATAGTAATGTGTTCAGAAGGCTGCATGAATTGTGGACTGACAGATAATGCTGTGGTACTCATATAAGCTGGCAACAATCTTACAGCAAGGCTGTAAAAAACAATGCAGTTTTTTTCCTGAACACCTGGGGCAGACTCCCCCTAGGAATGCTCAGCCATTCTTCAGGGTTGGTCTATAATTCCTAGGGGTTCCTCATTACACTGTACTCTTCGTATCAACACTGCATCCCATCCACTCTAGCTTCCCTTCAGTTTGGATGTGATATGATGAAAAGGATAAAAGTTGTCTGGGAGGGGCTGGAACGATAGTACAGCAGGTAGGGCGTTTGCCTTGCATGCGGCCGACCCGGGTCCGAACCCCTGACATCCCATATGGTCCCCCAAGCACCGCCTTTCTGAGTGCATTTACTTTTTATTTGTAATTCCTGAGTGCAAAGCCAGGAGTAACCCCTGAGCATTGCTGGGTATAACACCCTCCCCTCCCCCACAAAAAAAGTTGTCTGGGAAGGAGACCTGGAAAATCTGAGGATGGGCTCAAATAGTCCATCACATCCCTTGTACCATGTGTCACCTGAGCATCACCAGGTGGAGGCACTGGGCCTTGAACATTGCCAGCTGTGGACATCAAGGCTCACCATCACCCCACTATAGCCAGCTCATATGGAGGCTTGGGGGAGGAAGAATTGAACTACTTAAAAGAACAGTTTAAACTATTCAACGGATAATTTAAGAATTGAACCATTTAAAAGACCTAGATGCTGCAGACATCCTCCTTCACGCTATGCCAGCATTTCTCATCTGGGGCCATGTGAAAATCAAGAAACTAGGGGGGTTGGGGATAAGACTAAGGGGCAACCTGTAGAACTGGGGGCAGGGGATGTAGCACAGGATGGAAACAAGGTGCAGGGGGAGACAGAAAAAACTTTGACAATCACTACACAACAGGAGCCAGAATGTATTTCAGCATGGAGTTTTGTAGCTTTTATTTCTAAACATTTAGCTTAAAGTATCGGGAATGAAACGTTCTAGTTAAACTCTTTCACTGAAATGGTGTTCGTGAAAATTTTGAAAAGTAAATGCATTTTACTTTATTTTTTTTTAAAGTAAAAGAACTCAGAAGCCAGAACTGGACATGATGAATATGTTTTGTCTTATGAATTTTACCGCATGGTAGTGATTTAGTAGTAACATGAATTTTAAACTGAGCACTTTAGATTAGCATTTGGGTCTAGACTTGAATTAATTGCATTGTTGAATTTATTTGGAAGAAAAAATAATCAGTATGAATATGTCCACCTGTGTCAAAATACTGGCAAAGGTTCAGAGTGATAACAGCTTTTCCTCTCGATCAGGGCTTCACGTTTGGGAAAGCTGGAGAGATCCTCACCACCAGGCTTCGCTCAATGGCCTTTAAAGCAATGTTAAGACAGGTAGGCATGTGCCCTGGAGAAACCTTTCTTCAGATTTCTTCCATTTTAAGCCTCTTTCTGTACTTCTCTGCCGCTTTGATTTATGTTTTCCACCTCAAGGTATTCTTGCAAGAACTGGTCAGAACCCTGCAGATTTCCTGATCTTTCAATAGCCAACAACTTCCCTGGAGCGATAGCACAGCGGGTAGGGCGTTCGCCTTCCAAGCGGCCAACATGGCCGACCCGAGTTCGATTCCTCCGCCCTTCTCGGAGAGCCCGGCAAGCTACCGAGAGTATTCGATATGCCAGACACAGTAACAACAAAGTCTCCAATGGAGACGTTACTGGGCCCGCTCGAGCAAATCGACGATCAACGGGAGGGCCTTTACCTTACCTTACCTATCACAAGGGATAGCACTATAGCACTGTCCTCCTGTTGTTCATCAATTTGCTCGAATGGGCACCAGTACTCCATTGTGAGACTTGTTACTGTTTTGGGGCTTGTGTTAATTTTGGGATTATTTTGCAGTTATCTCTCTTCCATTTGGATATTTTAATTTGAAAATCCTGTAGCCTTCCCTGGATTGTATGCAGACCCAGGCTGAGTCATTTGAAACACCAGGTCCCCTTAAGTAGTATTATTTGTAGTAGTAGTAGTATTTGTATTAGTAGTAGTATTTGTAGTAGTAGTATTAATAGTAGTAGTAGTAGTAGTATTTGTAGTAGTAGTATTAGTAGTAGTATTTGTAGTAGTAGTATTTGTGCACCATGGGAAATTGTCCTGGCTTAGGTTCTCCCAAATGGTGAAAAGTAGACTTTTTTATTTGTGCTTCAGTTTTTGGTTTATTTTCCATTACAAACAAAAATTGTAGTTCACTCAAATTTTATTTTATTTATTTATTGATTTGATTTTGGGGCTACACCCAGCAGTGCTTAGGGCCCTTCCTCATGGCTCTTCACTTAGGAATCACTCCTGGCAGGCTCGTGGGACCATATGTGGTATCAGGGATGGAATGCTTGTTAGTAGTGTGTAAGGCACATGCCTTCCCCACCTGTATTATCATTTTAGCCCTTCACTCAACTTTCAGCCACTGTGTAGGAGACACTGTGCTGAGACCTGTCTTTAAGATGCATCATCTGCCCGCTAATTAAATTCACAATTAAGTCAAAGGCTGTATATATATATATATATATATATATATATATATATATATATACAGACATAAATTTTGTTTTTATAGAGAGGGTCAGACCATTGCTCTTACTGGCAGAAACTGCTTATGTTGCTGTCACAAATGGCACTCCCCCCAAAAGTACTATATTTTGAGCAAGTTAATAAACCATGTGTCAGCACCATTGACAGTATAGTTATGTGAGGAAAATTACATTACATGAAAGTATAGATGCTATACTCTAGATGCTATGGATGAGCAGTATCTTATAAGTAGTCATGGTCACAGTCCTCCTGTTATTCATCAATTTGCTCAAGCGGGCTCAGTAACATCTCCATCGTGAGATTTGTTGTTACTGTGTTTGGCATATTGAATACATCACGGGTAGTTCTTGCCAGGCTTTGCCGTGCGGGCAAGATACTCTCGATAGCTTGCCGGGCTCTCCGAGAGGAATCGAACTCAGGTCGGCAATGTTGGCTGCATGCAAGGCAAATGCCCTACCGCTGTGCTGTCTCTCCAGCACTTTATAAGTAGAAACATGCAAAATACATCCTGTTGGTCCTTGATGAAGAAACAAACTAGAAGCATGGTGAGAACCCAGGACTGATGTTTCTCCATCTGGGAATTACAAGAGTGAGTTGAGTTGGACACAATGCCAGTACCCTTCATGGGCAGTATGGTTGGTTGGTCTGAGGAGGTGTCTGCGGTGCAAGCTGAGGGGATTAGGCGATGGAACACAGCCACCTCTGCAGCTCATCAGCCAGCCCACCCTCTCCCTTTTTTTGGTGGAGCACCAGGGTTCAGATCCAGGTTTAGGGGAGGTTCAGGGGCTCTTCTCTCAGTTCCAATATTCAGTTTTAGGTGTGGTTCACTCCTGTGCCTTGAGGGATTGGGAGGAGTCATCTGATTTTCTTTTTATTCTAAACTAATTTTACAGTATATTTTGTGCCACAGGACATGAGCTGGTTTGATGATCATAAAAACAGTACTGGTGCACTTTCTACAAGACTTGCAACAGATGCCTCCCAAGTTCAAGGCGTATGTAGACTGTTCTTTGCTTATACCTTTTTAAAATTGTGGTCTGGAACACATATTGTAACACGGTTGTATTCCTTAAACTGCTATCATCAGGAAATAATAGAATTGTGTAAATAGTGAGGGGAAGGTTAAACTTTACAGTTAATTGATCCACTGGTTCTAAACTGTCATCAAGGGATCCAGGTTTCATCTTACTGAATGACCTTTCTTCTTCAAGACTGGCTTCATCCACAGGCACATTTCCAGGTTAACTGTAGCTGCTACAAATTCCTTTCTCAGCCAGTGGGAGAGCAAACATGCTTGTACTCACTTGCCCTTTTCCTTAAACCTAGTGTAGTTAAATTTGGGTCACATTAGCAACCCTGAATTCACAGCTGTATCCAGGAAACGTCAGCTCTTGGAAGAGCTGAGTACTTAAAAGTTTATTGATTCCCACAATGGAGGAGGCAGGAAGCACTCATCAGTGACCACTACACCAGGCCTCTTCCTAAGTGGCACACACTGGAACCCTTTCTTCTGTGTGCTTTATAGTGGATGGTGTCTCAGGACACAGGCACTTGGTAACGGATGGTTTCTTGCAGTGTCTAAGTTTCTCTCATATGTCTGAATCAAAAGTTCTTTAAAATAGCAAAGAGCACCTGGGGGTTGGTTTCTTCTTTGAAAAGTGCCTTCGTTGAAAAGTGCGACTTTCCACAGCCTCTCTCCAAAGCAGAGCTGCCAATTACTTGGTTCTGCCGTGCTGAATTTATATGGACAAGAGAGAAAGGAAAATTAGAAGGCATAAACAAAAGTCTGCAGAGGCTTCGAATTAAGTGCAAATGTCCTGGGTTTATTGTAATGAAAGGGAGCAAGTGTCAGGGCAGCCACAAAACGCTCTCATCATCCTGACCAGGAAGTCTGATGGTGCAGCTTAAAGATACAGTTATTCTCTTCTTTTTCTTTTTCAGGCCACTGGAACCAGGTTGGCTTTAATTGCACAGAATACAGCCAACCTTGGAACTGGCATCATCATATCATTTATCTACGGTTGGCAGTTAACCCTTCTGCTTTTATCGGTTGTTCCAATTATTGCTATATCAGGCATTGTTGAAATGAAAATGTTGGCTGGAAATGCTAAAAGAGATAAAAAAGAATTAGAAACTGCTGGGAAGGTAGGCCAAATAAGACTTCCACTACTATAAATATTGTCTTTAGATATGCCTTTTTGAATATCTATTGCAAGTACATATTTCAATAACTAAATGTGCTCAATACAACTAAAATGCTAGGTATGAATTAGTTTTCCATATTATTCATGTCTGCAACTTGAAAATGGGATTATTAAGTGTCACATCTATATAAAACTCTTAACATGAAGTTTTTATAAAGAATTTCTGAATTTCCAAAGTTCAGTTTACCCTTCATATCTGGGAGGTATTGTTAGGATAAATGTCACCTCAGTTTACAGATAAGGAGTCCATAACATAGTGACACTGGCACTGAGATTTGTGTTCACTAAGCCAGTCTCAAATGTGATTCATCAGTGGTACATGTCAGAGTCACTGTGTTAAAAAAAGAGAGCAGAAGTGAAGAGCTCAAAGCAGGCCATTTGCTCATACTTGAGACAATTCTAAGCTGTTAATTCTGTAAGGGAGAAAGCCACCAGAGGGCAGTACTGCTTTGATATGTGGTTCTATCAGAATGACAATTGGATGAACCTTTATTAGGGCTTAGTATTTGCCATGTACTGTGCAAAGTATTTATCTGCAGCAGTTTTTTATGACCTCACAATAGTCCTGAGTCAGGTACTAGTATAGCACTGCTTACATAAATAAGGAACTTGAAAATCAAGTTATAGGGATGGCTGTCATACAGGTCTGGGTTGTTAAGATAAGGTTTCTTTATGAGCTGAAGTGTCTAAATATAAGCATCTTATAAAAATGTATTTAAAGTGGATCACAGCCAGGCTTTTAAAAAATCACGTAATAGTCCTGTATTGTAATATCAGGAGGTGAAGCAGAAAGTGAATATAAATTATGATATCATTTCTTTAGCACCACACTTTAGCCTTTTCACTAATGTTATCTCTCGGAGAGCCCGGCAAGCTACCAAGAGTATTCGATATGCCAGACACAGTAACAACAAAGTCTCTAATGGAGACGTTACTGGGCCCGCTCGAGCAAATCGACGATCAACGGGAGGGCCTTTACCTTTACTAATGTTATAACAGTTGGCCTTCACTGTGCTTATGTGAGGTGAATCAGATTGTGTCTTCACCTCATAGAGAATAAAACATTTCAGCGTTGAGTAACATGCTTCAGTTGGAAAGGGTAAAGTTAGGTAGAGTTCCAACCAACATGTTTCCGTTAATCCAGTGCTGACCGATGAAATCCTTTCCTCTTTTCTCTTTAGCCACTTTGACTACAGTTCAGAGCAGAGTTAGTGTCTGCTATGGGGTTTCCATCAGAACACTGTCCTCCTGCTCACTCGGGGTTTCTGCTGGAGTCAGAGCTCTATAGACCAGTGCACAGTCCCCACATATGAGAAAAGTGGAAGGTTCACAGTTCTGGAACCTCCTGTCAACTGCTTGAGAAGTTGACGACAGTAGTTTTCAAGAGTTGGTCTGTGAACGCCAGCTTACAGGTGTAGAAGGACGGAAGAATACTCTTTTAGGGCATCTTTTTCATTGTCATCACTAGTTTTGATTTTCAAATTAGTTTTTACTTTATTTAAAGTTCAGAAACCTGCTTCTTTTCACATTTCATGAGGAAAAATTGAGAGTAGGTACAATGACAATAAGTGTTTCTTAGACCTGTTACCTAAAAGAAAACATCTGATACTAGAGAAGATGCCCAACTTCTCTGACCTCTGGCTCTTATTTTCCTTTTTTCAGTGGTGGGGGTTAGGGGGGAACCAAGTAACTCTATTCTCAGGCAACACTCTTAAATAGTGCTCCAGGGACCATATAGGATGATGGGGATCAAACCCCAGTAAGCCTCTTGCAAAGCAAGCACCTTACTTGCTGTGCTGTCTTCTTTCAAGTTGGAGGTGAATAGACAGCAAAGCCCACAAAAATGTGATTTAGGTCAGACAAGTGACCTTCCTGGTGTCTGGACTGGGGCTTAGATAAGGCTTCTGGTGTGGTCATTCTTGCCTAAAGCTGGTTCATTTCTCTATGGCATATGGGGTCACACTAGGTAACCTAGGTGCTCTCCAAATTTACAGTTTTGTCATATGGCTCATCCTGAATAAAATATGCCTCAAAACTATTTGAAAAATAATTTCCTAATTTGAAAGAAATAAAAATTAGTCAACATAATTTTTAGGATTGTTTAGAAAGATCCCATGGGTACTCAGGGGGACCCAGGGACCACTCCCGGTGATTCTTAGTCATCATGGTCCTGAAGATACAGTGATGCTCAGGCCCTGAAGTGCCAGCCACCAACAGAGTCACCTTGGGGCAGTGCTCATGTACCACCAGGGAAGTACTTCTTTTTGCTTGGTGCTGAGGATCATATAGGGTTCAGGTATATGAAAGGTATGAACTCTAACCCCTGTGCTATCTCTCCATCACTACAGCCCCATTTCTCATGAGGATTTGTTCTATGTTACAGATTGCAACAGAGGCAATAGAAAATATTAGGACAGTTGTGTCCTTGACTCAGGAGAGAAAATTTGAATCAATGTATGTTGAAAAATTGTATGGTGCTTACAGGTAATAAGCTACATTTTTGAAGAACCAATTTTTTAAGGTTGAATTATAGTCTCTGTGATACTTTTTAAAAATTGTTCCTCTAAACAATATGACCATAAACATGTCATTTCAATAATTATCTCATGGAAAATAAGTAGCTTTTTTAATGCAATTAGGCCATAGGACTGAATTACCACATTTTTTTAAGGCAGTAAGATTGGGTCTTCATGAACTGTAAGATATGAAGATATGGAGGATTTTTCAAATATTTATTTACCTGTGCAGGCAAAAAACCACTATCTGGGTGATGGTTCAGGATAAGCTTTCTTTTAGGAGTCATGCAAACCTTTTATCAGCATAACCAAAGATAAGAGTTGTTTTGTGAAGATGCTGCATTCAGTTTCTGGATGAAAGTCATGCAACCTCCTCTGAAAACAGTATCAAAGAACCGTTTTGCTACTATACTTGAACAATTTAAAAAAAATAGCTCCCAGAGGATCTATTGTTTATTGTCTGCTATTTCTTTCTCAACAAAGTCTGCTTTTATAAATAAATATGTTTGAGCAATAGTGAAATTGAGCATAACTTAAATGATATGTTCGTAAATTGGAATGGTGGTTTTCAGTCACCTATCTCTAAACTAGTGCCAGCTATAGCAGTTGAAAGTTTCAGAATCATGGTAGCACTGTAGCACTGTCCTATCTTTGTTCATCGATTTGCTCAAGTGGACACCAGTTTGTAATGTCTCCATTGTGAGATTTGTTGTTACTGTTTTTGGCATACGAATATGCCACGGGGAGCTTGCCAGGCTCTGCCATGTGGGTGGGAAATTCTCGGTAGCTTACTGGGCTCTCCGAGAGGAATAGAGGAATCGAACTCAGGTCAGCCACATGCAAGGCAAATGCCCTACCTGCTGTGCTATCGCTCCACAGAATCACTAGACAAGAATAATCACGACCATCCTGTTGTTCGTCGATTGCCTCGAGCAGGCCCCAGTAATGTCTCCTTCATCCTAGCCCTGAGATTTTTTTTTTAAAGTGCCATATTCAAGGCTCTTTCAGGGTTAGGAGAAGGAGACCCATCATTGTTACTGGTATTTGGCATATTGGGTATACCACGGGGAGTTTGCCAGACTCTGCCATGCGGGCAGGTTACATTCGGTAGCCTGCCAGTTTGTCCAAAGTAAGAATGAGATGATAAGATGTCGCGCGGCCGCACGCGGCCACGCGCTTCCGGGAGCTGAGTATGATAATCTCTGGATCCTGGCCATTGTTGGGGTTACACGGCAGTTGGTGGGTGTAACTGTCTAGCTACTGGCAGGTCCAGTCCCAAACCGTGCAGGCTTGGACATCTCAGCCCCGGGTCCCACACACCTGGGTTCCTCTGCCATTTCTTTTATGCGTGAGGCTCATCCAAGTGTGTGGAGAGTGATCCCAGCATGGCCTTGGCTGGGTCCCGGAGGTCTTCAGCTGTTGGGCCCTGGTGGAGACAGTCAGGCACAGGGTAGAAGCTCGGCAGCACATATACTAAAATTGGAACGATACAGAGACAAGAATAATAGTTCACTTAAATTTAAATAGGAATTGTTAAAATTCTTGATTTATTTTATCTCCTTAGTTCTGCATACTCGATGTAATACCAAAGAACAACCATTTACCTTAAACATGCATATTATCTTAATTTTAAAAACCTTTTAAAAAGCAAACAGCAGCATTTTTTTAATAGTGAAACACCATGAGATACAGTTGTAGACTTACAAACTTTTATGCTTGGGTTTCAGTTATACAGTGATAAAATACCCATTCCTCCACCAGTGCCCATTCTCCACCACCAATGAACCGAGTGGCCCTCCCAACTCCCAACTCCCATCCCCCCCACCCCACGCCACCTCTGTGACAGGGCATTTCCTTTTGCTCTCTCTTTCCTTTAGGGTGTTGTGGTTTGCAATAGAGGTACTGAGTGGCCATCATGTTTGGTCTATAGTCTACTTTCAGCACGCATCTCAATCCCAAGAAAGTCCTCCAAACACCCTTAACTTAGTGTTCCTTTCTCTATCTGAGCTGCCTTCTCACCTAGCATGTTGCCAGCTTCCAAGCCATGAAGCAGACCACCAGGTACTTACTCAACTATTCTTTGGTGTTCGTCTCCCCTTCTGTTACTTTATATTCCCCAAATGAGTGCAGTTTTTCTATGTCTGTCCCTCTCTTTCTTCTTTTTTCTTTTTTAAAAATTTTTTATGTAGGAGTACTGCTATTTATTCAGCCACTGATTAGGCTGATTGAATTGGACATGAACTCTGCCTTACTTTTTTTTTTCATTTTTTATAGATTTTTATTTATTGAATCACCATGAGAGCAGCTACAAAGCTTCGGGTTTAAGTCTCGGTCATACAGTGAAACACCCGTACCTTCACCAGTGCCCACTATCCACCAACCAAATCCCCAGTATACCCCCAACTCATACCCTGCCCCTACCTGTGGAGCATATGATTTCCAAATTACTCTCTCTATACTTTGATTACACTCAACATTTTGACACCACACCCACCATTATTACTTGGGATATTACCCCAACACTCAGATCTGCCGAAAAGGCAACAATTTGACAATTGTTTGTCAATTTGACAACAAGTAGACAATTTGTTTTTTATTACTGGTTATGAATAACATGTGATGCCGTGTGGCTGCAGTAGTGGCTGTCTGATTTTGAAATTCCGAAATTTCAACAATTAAATCTGGAGGGATTTCTTGCCAAAACCTACTAGGTTCCGAGATTTGTTCCTGAGTCTCTGGGATCATGGCCATTAAGCAGCTTGATCAGGAGCCAGAGAGGCCGTTTGTGGGCGATGACTCGTGGTCTCATTGGGATGGGGAGGAAAGGGCCAGCTCCACACCCATCCCATGAGGCTCCACGTGTCTTGTCACTGCAGGCCCAAACCTGAGTGTCCAATGGCCTCTGGTGGATGGCGGCCACCGAGCCACCAAGGGGAAGCAGGTGGAGGGACAGCACCCTTTCCCCCCTGGGGTGGCCTGGCGACAGCAATCTATTGCATGATCTGGATGGACGCATTTCTGCCAAAAGCTGCTGGGTTTCAAGATTTCTTTCTGAGTCTCTGGGATCATGGCTGTTAAGCAGCTTGATGAGGAGACAGAGACGCCGTTCTTGAGTGGTGTTTTGGGGTCTCGTTGGCATGGGGAAGAAAGGGCCTGCTCCACCACCATCCCATGAGGCCCCGCATGTCTCGCCACTGAAGGCCCAAACCTGTCTGTTCAGTGGCCTCTGGAGGATGGCAGCCACTGGGCCACCAAGGGGAACAGGTAAAGGCATGAAACCCATTCCCACCTGGGGTGGCCTAGCACCCGTAACCTACTGCAGAGACTGGACGCATTTCTGCCAAAAGCCATTGGGTTTTGAGATTTGTTTCTGAGTCTCTGAGATCATGGACTTTAAGTAGCTTGATGAGCAGTCAGAGAGGCCATTCGTGGGTGGCAACTCAGGGTCTCGTTGGGACAGGGAGGAAAGGGCCGGCTCCACCCCCATCCTATGAGGCCCTGCATGTCTCATCACTTTGGGCCCAAACCTAACTGTTCAATGGCCTCTGGAAGATGGCATCCACCGAGCCGCCTAGGGGGATCAGGTGGAGGGAGTCCCTCTCTTTCTAACTCATTTCACTCAGCATGATACTTTCCATGTAGAACCACTTGTATATAAATTTCATGACTTCATCATTTCTAACAGCTGCATAGTATTCCATTGTGTAGATGTACCAAAGTTTCTTTAACCAGTCATCTGTTCTCAGGCACTTGGGTTTTTTCCAGATTCTGGCTATTGTGAACAGTGCAGCAGTGAACATAGTGCAGATGTCATTTAGACTATACTTTTTTTTGGTAGGAGTACTGCTATTTATTCAGCCACTGATTAGCTGATGGAATTGGGCATGAACTCCACCTTAATTTTTAAAAATTTTTTTTTGTTTTTATATTTATTTATTGAATCACTGTGGTAAAAGTCACTAAGCTTTCAGGTTTAAGTCTCGGTCATACAATGATTAAACACCTTTCCCTTCACCAGTACTCTTTTTTTCACCACCAAGAACCCCAGTATACCCCCCTCCCACCCCTCAAAATACCTGTGAGGCAGATGATTTCTACTTAACTCTTCTCTACGTTGATTACATTCATTATTTCGACAAAAGATGCACCATTATTCTTTAGAATTTCCCCCCAAACAATCAGAATTGCTGAAAAGGCATTGTGAAATATTTTGTTTTCTATAGCTGGTTATGAGAATCATATAATATCACGCAGCCACGATTTTGGATTTCTGCAAAGAGCCAGATAATTACGAGATCAGTTTCTCTGTGTCTGGTGTTATGGCCATGCAGGAGAGCCGCTTGTGGGGGGCAACTCATGACCTTGGTAGGGCGTGAAGGACGAGCCGGTACCATCCCCCTTCCCATGAGACTGCAGTTGCCCCGTCACCGCCAGCTCGTACCTGGCTTTCCTATAAGCTCTGAGGCAGCGGCCACCTTGCTGCCGGGGCGGAGGGGGGGGAAGGCGGAAGGAAGCAACAACATTTCCCTCCTGGGGAGGCATGGCACCGTAGTTTAACGCATCGTCCATTCACTTTTCTTCTGCAAGCTGCTGGGCTCTGGACTAAGTCCTTTTGCCTCTGGAGCCATGGCCGTGCCAGAGAGCCACTTGTGGGGGGTAACTCATGACTTTGGTAGGGCGTGAAGGACGAGCCGGTATTGCCCTCCTTCCCATGAGACTGCAGTTGCCCCTTCACCACCAGTTCATACCTGGCTTTCCAATAAGCTCTGAGGTGGCGTGGTGGCTACCTTGCTGCCGGAGGGTGGGGGGGGGGGTGGGGTGGGGGAACGGTGGAAGGCAGCAACACCCTTTCCCTCCCGAAGAGGCTTGGCGCCGTAGTTTAATGCATGGTCCATTCACTTTTCTGCCGCAAGCTTCCAGGCTCTGGATTAAGTCCTTTTGCCTCTGGAGCCATGGCCGTGCTAGAGAGCTACTTGTGGGGGGCAACTCGTGACCTTAGTAGGGTGTGAAGGACGAGCCGGTACCAACCCCCCTCCCATGAGACTGCAGTTGCCCCTTCACCGCCACCTCACACCTGGCTTTCCAATAAACTCTGAGCCGGTGGCCACTTTGTATGCAGTCCAGATGCATTTCTGCCAAAAGCCAGTGGGTTTCAAGATTTGTTTCTGAGTCTCCGATATCATGGCCATTAATCAACTTGATCAGGAGCCAGAGAGGCCGTTTGTAGGCAGCGACTTGGGGTCTCATTGGGATGGGGAGAAAGAGTCGGCTCCACCCCCTGTGGTAAGGCCCCGTGTGTCTCATCACTGCAGGCCCAAACCTGACTATCCCGTGGCCTCTGGAGGATGGTGGTCACCAGGCCGCCAGGGGGAACAGTCCAAGGCACGAAACCTATTCCCACCTGGAGTGTCCCAGCGCCAGTTACCTACTGCAGAAACAGGATGCATTTCTGCCAAAAGCCTTTGGGTTCCGAGATTCGTTTCTGAGACTCTGGGATCATGGCCATCAAGTAGTTCGATCAGGAACCAGAAAGGTCATGCCTCCAATTATATAGCTGAGCCGGAGGTGGCTTGTGGGTGTCTCCCATAAACCTAACTTTTGGCCGTTTACTCTCTTGGTAAACTTTGCCACAAGTTTTTAGGGTCTGGCCAAAGGCATAGCAGCAATTTTGGGGTATCTGAAAGTCTGATGTTGCCATCAGGCTGCTGATGCACTCGCCTCACAGGTACAAATTGACCTGCTGGCAGCACCATACCCCTAGACTATACTTTTTTACCTCTCCGGGATATATTCCCAGGAGTAGTATTGCTGGGTCAAATGGGACCTCAATTTCTAATTTTTTGAGAATTGTCCATACTGTTTTCCAAAAGGGCTGAACCAGTCAGCATTCCTGCCAGCAGTGAAGGAGAGTCTTTTTCTTGCCACATCTATGCCAACACTGGTTGCTTTTGTTCTTTTGGATGTGGGCTAGTCTCTGTGGTGTAAGATGATATCTCATTGTCTCCTTGTTGTTTTGATATGCATCTCCCTGATGATTAGGGATTTAGAGCATTTTCTCATGTGCCCTTTAGCCATTCAGATTTCATCTTAGAGAAAGTTTCTGTTCATTTCATCACCCCATTTTTTGATGGGGTCAGATGTTTTATTCTTGTGGAGTTCAACCAGTGATTTGTATATCCTTGATATCAACCCCTTATCAGATGGGTATTGAGTGAATATTCTTTCCCATTCTGTAGATTGTCTTTGTATTTTGGTCACTGTATCTTTAACAGCAGCATTTGTATTATAAGTTTAGTATTTCACATATAAACATGTATGTGGCATTACTAGGATCTCATGATTTATTTTGAAGCTCATGAGAATTAGAGAATAGATGATGAAACTAACTTTTAACTTATTAATTTAAAGAATTAATAGCACTGTAAATTACTTGGTAATAATTACAGCACATAAACCATGGAAACCAGTTGAACTTTCCTTCTTGCCAAACATCTTCATTATAATCTGATAGTCAATAAAATATTTTTCTTTAGGAAGATTAAGAAGTCTATGAAAGAATAGAATAATTTTGAATTAGAAATAGTACAAATAAATTGTATTGAGGTGATAGGATTTAGCTTGGGGGAGCACTTTTGACAGATTGTGTATAAAGTCTACAATCCTATATTTCTAAATCTGAAAAATGAACTTTTACATAAGAGACTAGCAATAGGAGACAAGATAAATTATATTGCAAAAATGTACGTATGAACAATTGTTCTTTTTAGTTTTTTTTCTTTCTTGGTTACTCCTGGCTCTGCACTCAGAAACTACTCCTGGCAGTGTTCGTGGGACCATTTGGGATGCTTCTGGAATGCTGGGGATTGAACCTGGGTTGGCCGAGTGCAAGGCAAACACCTTACTGCTGTACTATAGCTCCAGCCCTTGGACAGTTGTTCTTAATTGTCTCATTAGATCTTAAATTGAGCTTTATGGTCATAAACGCTTTATACAGGTGGCTGAAAACCACCATTCCAATTTACAAACATATCATTTAAGTTATGCTCAACTTCACTATTGCTTAAACATATTTATTTATAAAAACAGACTTTGTTGAGAAAGAAATAGCAAGACAATAAACAATAGATCCTCTGGGAGCTATTTTTTTTAATTGTTCAAGTATAGTAGCCAGTTGGTGGGTGTGACCCCACGAACTACTGGAATTTGGAGGATCTGGGTGGAGGATGCTCAGCCCTGATCCAAGTAGGCTTGGAGATCTCAGCCTCGGGACCCGCATGCCTTTGTTCCTCTACCAGTACCTTCATGTGTGTGGAGAGTGGTCTCAGCATGGTGGTGGCTGGTTCTGGAGGTCTTCGGCTGCCAGAGCTCTGGTCAGGGCAGGAAGGGAAACTCAACCCGCCCCCCTCCAAGGGTCCTGGCGAGGATAGCCAGGCGCGGAGGCAGGAGACTCTGCGCTGTTCTCTTCAATAAGATGTCCAGGAGCTGGGTTTTATAGTCTCTGAGTCTTGGCTGTTGATGGGGGCCAGTTGGTGGGTGTGATGTGGCACCATGAAATCCCATCAATGGCCAAGATTCAGAGACTATAAAACCCAGCTCCCGGACATCTTATTATGACATCTTATTATCTCATTCCTACTTTGGACAAACTGGCAGGCTACCGAATGTAACCTGCCCACATGGCAGAGTCTGGCAAACTCCCCGTGGTGTACCCAATATGCCAAATACCAGTAACAATGATGGGTCTCATTCTCCTAAAGAGCCTTGAATATGGCACTTTCTTAAATATCTCAGGGCTAGGATGAAGGAGATGTTACTGGGGCGGGGCCTGCTCGAGGCAATCGACGAATAACAGGATGTCGTGATCGTGATCGTGATAGTAGCAAAATGGGTCTTTGATACTGTTTTCAGAGGAGGTTGCATGACTTTCATCCAGAAACTGAATGCAGCATCTTCACAAAACAACTCTTATCTTTGGTTATGCTGATAAAAGGTTTGCATGACTCCTAAAAGAAAGCTTATCCTGAACCATCACCTAGATAGTTTTGTTTTGCCTGCACAGGTAAATAAATATTTGAAAAATCCTCCATATCTTACAGTTCATGTATTCGATATGCCAGACACAGTAACAACAAAGTCTCCAATGGAGACGTTACCCAATCTTAGTATCTTAAAAAAAATTAAGTGAGAATCCAGTCTTATGGCCCAGTTGCATAAAAAGTTTCCATGAGATAATTATTGAAATGACATCTTTATGGTCAAATTCATTCTCTCTTTAGCTAACACCACCATGTTTCATGACAGAAGTTAAATGTCAAGTCACTAATGACTCAGACATGTAATAGCAGTAGTAAGCTTTAATAGTAGTAGCTGTCTTTTAAACTACGTCTATGAGGTAGATTCTATACTTCACATTTACATTTACTTAATTTTGAAACCAATTCTCCCTCATACAAGTAGCTCCACTGTACAAATTAGAACATCAATGCTAGAGATTTATTTAACCACTTAAACTAATGGAGGCAAAATTTAAACTTGGATTGGCCTAATTTAGAAGCTGTGTTTTATTCTGATCTGTAATACTGAAGAGACTGAAGAAATGCTTAAGAATACATGAACTTGCTTTGCAGGAATTCTGTGCGGAAGGCACACATCTATGGAATTACTTTTAGCATTTCACAAGCATTTATGTATTTTTCCTATGCTGGCTGTTTTCGATTTGGTGCCTATCTCATTGTGAATGGACATATGCGCTTCAGAGATGTTATTCTGTAAGTAGCTTTAAACATATTAAGATTATTTTTCTCATAAGGTTTGAATATGTCTATTAAAATATATTTTTGAGTTAGACAAATAAACCTTACTTGTTCAAAAATGGGGTCATAATTGGATTTATCACTGAAATCTAATCTTGTCAGTGATCCAAGTATAGTTTAATTATCTGGATGAAACTAAAATTAGCCATGTTCATAAAGTAGAATTTTTTTGATACATAGAAACTCCAATTAGGACAGCAAGTTTTTTCATTGTGTGATGTAGGCAGAAATAAATGATAATTAGAAAGTGGCTCATTACCATGCACTGAAAATAGAGTTAAATTTTACTGTTTATCTCTAATCCAAAGATGGCCTTGACAATGACAGGGGAATGCTTGATTGGAAGCACTGGCAAAGGCTCACTCTGGCCCAACAACCAGGCCTGGGATGACCCTGCCAGCATTCGCCTCCTAGATTCTTTGTTTCCTGCTCTCCAAGACTGGCCAATGGCCTTTCTAATTGATGCACTCCTCTTTTCAAAATATGCTGAACACGTCCAATTAGGTTATGGTCTAGTCTTGCCCAAAGGAAGTCTCACTTATTTTAAGGTCACTAGACATCTACTCAGATGCTGAGATCTTCAAGTAGGAGTTAGCAACCTTTGATGGGCCAGGTCAAAGCAAAGTGAAACTGTCAGAACTGCCTTTTTTGTGTTTACTTAAGCTAACCATAACAAAGTGTATACAGTCTTATCAGTTAAGATCCCAGCTGGAAACAAATGACATTGTCAACAGGCTACTTGAGGAGTATTTACTCAAGGGTCTGTTCTCTCAGGAGTGAAGTGTGGAGGTGAGCAGTGCACAGGGAATTGCTGAGGCCGCCTTGGTGCCCAGCTGGGAATCATGATGACCTGAAGCCTGAAGGGCAAGTGAGGGGAAGATTTTCAAAATCTGCAGGGCTTTCTGGAGTTTGGGATGGTGGAAAACCAACTGCATAAATTGTCCAGCTAGAAAGAAGCCAAAGAAACAAAAAGCACCACAGACTGTCTCTGAGTTCCCCCAATTCCCTGTGGGTGCTTCCATTGGCAATATCTGAGGAAGTCTGGGCTCCGGAAAGCCTGAGGTCAGGCCCAGAGGTCAGCCCTCCCAGCAGACTGTGGCCAAGAGGGCAGAGACTTCAGAAAGTCAGATGGAAACATCCATCTGGAAATTACACTTTGGAATACCTTTGTTGTCTAGAAAATAACATCGAGAAAGTGGGCTGTGTCTTGGTGGCACTTGTTTATACCATTACAGTGTATAATTCTGTCATAAATCTGCAGTTCTCCTGCTCTCGAAGCACCAACCAACACTTTTATGCAGCAGTGTTTTTGAGTAAACTGTGAGGGGGTGAAAATTCTGAATAAACATAAGCCAGTTTATAAAATCTATTATACTAAAGCTAAATTATAGGCCATGGATTTTTCACCACTTATTAATTTATTTTTATTTTTTGATAAAACAACCCTTCAGAAAAATTAAGGGGCAGCTAAATCTATCCACCTTTTTTCTTCCATGAAGTTATTACTTAAGTACATTAAACACTTTTGAAGCAATTTGATTTTACAATACTGTTAACGGAAGAGTTTCCGTTGCACAATGTTCCAACCCCACATCTCCACCAGAGTGTCCGCTTCCATCCATCATTGTCTTGGACTCTCCTCCCAGCCCCCAGCTGCCCCCTACCTTGGTAAAACCAGTTCTATAAATAAGTCCTCAGCTTCTATTGTCTTTGATTATTTGTTTGAACACATTATATATATATGTACATATATATATTAGATTTAGAAGTTTTAGAGATAAAAATTTGGAGATTCTTTATAAAAGTTCTTATGACTGAATATTCTCCCCTCTTCTTCTGGGGGTGCTCTGGGCCAGGGATAGTTTTTTGAAGATGTGTGTCTCAGAATCTTTAGGCCTTCCCAAAAGGTGTTTTAGCTAAATCCTTTTATAAAGACCATATGATTAGAAAATTGACCTTGCTTTTGGGCATTTTTTTCAGGGTAGTATCAATATGTTGTAAAAGAAAGTCATTTCTAGTAAAGGACAATAATGATATTTAATTTTTATTATTAAATAAATAATACAACAATTTATCTATGGTGATAATTGTTATGTTTGGTCTGTAAACAAAAAAGGTCAGAGCCCTATATTCAGTAGGTAACATCATTTTTGGTACCTGGTGTGCCAATTCCCTCACATGTTAAAAAGTGCATAATTAGTTACTAAAATTTCTTGATTACAAACTAGAATCAGTTATGAGCCATCTCCTGAAAGAAAACTTGAGAAAGTTGCATTCATTTCAGGAAAATAGAGGCTCCTCAGGGAAGCCAGAGGGCAGTAGGGAAAAGAAAAGCCTGGCTTTAGAGATAAGACAGGAGTTCAGGTGCTTACCTTGCATGCCACATGCCACAGGTGAGCCATATCAGAGCAGTCAGCCTTTTGCACCGCTGGGTGAGGCTCAAATTTCCTCACTCCAAACACACAAATGCACACACACGCACACAGACACACACACACACACACGAAAAAAATCTTAGGCAGGAAATGATTTTGCCTCTTCTCTGGATTGCTTTTATGAGAATTTCATGGGAATGGGGCAGGAGGATGGCCAAAGACTAGTTTGGTAAGCAGTGTGTCTTTGGATTTCAAATATCATGATGCTAATTATTTAAGCTAGTTTTTTCCATTCTTTTGCTTTTGTCTAGGGTGTTTTCAGCAATTGTGTTTGGTGCAGTGGCTCTAGGACATGCTAGTTCCTTTGCTCCAGACTATGCGAAAGCCAAATTGTCTGCTGCACACTTGTTCATGCTGTTCGAAAGACAACCTTTGATTGACAGCTACAGTGAAGAAGGACTGAAGCCTGTGAGTTTTCTGTCACCTTATAACTTCCCAGTTATTTTCATTAAAAAAATGTAATATATACTAGATTGTAACTATAGAATATATTTATAATGACTGCAGTCATATTTTCTTAGCTTACTTTGTGACATTAACTGGTAGCTTAAAATTCCACAGGGGGTTCATGAAATTTCAGGTTTAGCATATACAGTATTTTTTAAATAGTTAATTCAGTGCTAGTGAGAGAGCACAGTGGTTAAGGGGTTTGCCTGCATGGAGTCATTCTTGGCTCTACCCCTGGCACTATATATGAAGTCCCAAGCACCTATAGGAGTAAAACCTAAGCACAGTGCCTGGCTATGACCCCAGACCACTAAACAAACAAAATTTTAAGTTAATAAAGAAATATTGGAACTGAATAATTTTCACAAAAATAGTAGACATTTTTTGCTTGAAGGTATATGCCTAGTTCATACGAATGTAATTTTCAATTTTTGCCTTATTTACATTTTTTCATCGCTTGAATTACAATTAGTGAGATCACTTTATCTACAGCAAAAGGTAATAACCCTATACTGACTCCAAAGTGAACATGGCTGTGGACCTGATTGCTCTCTGGGCTCTTGCTCCTACACATTTTAATGCAAGAGATGCAATTTGGGTAAAGAAATATGAATCAATCCAATCTTTCTAGAATTTCATTGATATTTTGTCTTCTGAGAAATGGCTGCCTAGTAAGTGAGATAGACTGAGATAAAGAGTGAGATAGAGGCTGGATATGGGCTTCTGTTCTCTGGGACAGCAGATAGAACTGACTCTATATTCCCATTGTCTTTCAACTTTGTGCCATGACCTTGGCTCCAGCCTTAGAATCATTAGTTAACAAAGATAAATATTTCTCTTTCTTGGGCCACATCTGATGTGCTCAGGGATTAGTCCTGGCTCTATGTACAGGCATCACTCCTGGTGGGACTTGGAGGACCATATGTGGTATCAGGACTATCAAACCCTGGCCAGCCACATACAGGGCTGTACTGTCTCTCTGACTCTAAACATTTCTCTTGACTGAAATTGGAATCAGGTTATATAACAGTTGCCTCTAGTATGACTCTTCCTGACCTAATCTGTATTCCACACCTTCCTTTTATGTATTTATGCATTGTTCTGAATGTGAGTTTTATGTTTTGCTTGAAATGGCTTCCCCCCTCGCCCCCCATTCTGGCAATACTTGGGCCAATTATAACTGAAACATTAAAAAATTTTGTTTTAGGAGAAGTTGGAAGGAAATGTGACATTCAATGAAGTTGTGTTCAACTATCCCACCCGACCAAATGTCCCTGTGCTGCAGGGGTTGACCCTCCAGGTGAAGAAGGGCCAGACCCTGGCCCTGGTGGGCAGCAGTGGCTGTGGGAAGAGCACAGTGGTTCAGCTCCTGGAACGGTTTTATGACCCTCTGTCTGGAACAGTGGTGAGCATTAATAGCATGCTTTAAGACTGTATCCAAGTGGCCAAACAATGCTGGTGTTGTCCGAATTTGCCTGACAAGGAAAACTCTAGGATTCTAACCAATAGAGTGACCATTTTCCATAAGCTCCCAAGTGGTACCCATAATCAGATAAGTATGTAGGACAGTAGCATAGAAAATAGTAAGACCTCAATTAATGTCATCAGATTCTGGGAAACTGTAAGTGAAACGATGTATAATGAAACCAATTCTGGGACAACTTCCTTTCATTCAACATAGATCGAGATTCTACATTTCTCACCAACACTTATAACAAAAGGCCTTGAAGGAAATAACATGTTTGAGGATTGCTGTTACCAGGACTTTACTGAATATGAAAATACTGAATCTGAAGTTGACTACCCTGTCCTAGATCTTTGATAGTCTAAAAAGAACGTCCTCCTAGTGAACAATGACTTTGTAGATTATAAAGGTGAACTGCAAACTCCTTTCAGAATTCTAAGTAGGTTGACTCCCAGGACAAGCATGATTATAACCTTCCCACCTTCTTTTACTTTGCCTTTTCTCTCTAATCCTGTAATAGACTTTGATTCTCATCTCCAGTCTTTTTATGCTAGGCTTTTATCTTTGGTTTTCAGTCTCTGGCTCCGATAATGAGTGAGACCTAAACATGAGACTTTATCATCTTTTATACATGATGCTTGCATCTCCCAGTTTCTCAGAATGACACTCTGACCTAACACTACTTATAATTGACATTTGAAGTCTCCAATATATTTAATTTAGCTTTGTTGTTTATGGGAAACCTCGTGCAACCAGCTCAACATTGTGGTGTAGGTATCTTGAGCAAATACTCTGGTGAGCATTTTCTTCTTTAGTGAGAGATCAAGACTAAATGTCTGACCCTACCTGTGGCTTTTAGTTTATGGCAAACAAAAGAGCGATAAAAAAAATACCGACACCAAAATAATTCTACCAAGTTAAACACCCTTTTGGGAACTTTTTTAAATTTCCAGGGAACTTTTGCCCTTAGTACCTGAGAAAAAGAGAACTGAGGGAATTTGAAGACTGGCAGTTCTCAGAGAAGAGAGGTAGATGTGTAGAACAAGAGTTGATCCACTTTCATCATTTAGAGCCATGCTACTTGTCAATACTTTCCTTTCTCTAATTTGCTTGAGAGAGGGATTTAAAGTCATTTCAAGTTAGAAATCACTCAAAGGATAGCAGGCAGATGTAGAATAACCACTTGGAAGAGGATGATATAATTTCTGGAGGAGGGTAGACAAATACAAAGAAAGGTATTTGGAAAGACATGCCAAACATGCTACCATTTTCCCCGTTAGCCAAGTAAGGATGGTTTAACCATTTGATTTTGTTGGTCTCCAACAATGTAAGTGCTGAAAGACATGGAAGGCTTGAACTCATGTCTAACATGTAGCATCATTATGCCTCCATGCAGCAATCTTTCAGATGGTTGATCTGGTTTAGTTTTCCTACATTATTTGCTAGGGTTTTTTTTTTAAATAAATACTAAAGTTTATAGGTTTTATTTTCAGCTCCTAGATGGTCAAGAAGCAAAGAAACTCAATATTCAGTGGCTCAGAGCCCAACTTGGAATTGTGTCCCAGGAGCCCATCCTGTTTGACTGCAGTATTGCTGATAATATTGCCTATGGAGACAACAGCCGAGTTGTATCGAAGGATGAAATTGTGAACGCAGCCAAAGCAGCCAATATACATCCTTTCATTGAGACATTACCCCATGTAAGTTAACTGATAATTTGTTAGGAAAGCACATCATTTTAAACTGTTTTTTATTCTTTCCCAAGTTATACACCAACTGATTCCTGCAATATGTTTACTGAATTCGTGGCTCAGGATAAGACACTGAACTTTGTGATAGTTTCCTATTTCCAAGATTCCAAAGCTATTATTTTTAGTTATTTTATTTTTTATATACACCTGGCAGTGCTCAGAGGTTACTTCTGGCACTGCACTTAGGAATTAATCCTGATGGTGCTTGGAGGACTATATGGGGTGCTGGGGATGGAACCTGGATTGGCCATGTGCAAAGCAAATGCCCTACTCACGGTACTATTGCTCTTGCCCCGTAATTTGTTTATTTTTAAACAGGGAAAGTAGCTTTTATGTCAGTTTTGTGCAGTGTAGTGAAAGCACATGAAATAATAGTAAATAAAAACATCATAGCAGTTTGAAAACTAGTGGAAAAACTCTTTGTTTTGGTGGTACATACAGCAGTATCCAATGGCTTACTCCTGGCTGTACTCAGGAACTGCTCCTGATAAGACTTGAGGGAACTTATATGATGCCAGGGGTGAAACTCAGGTTGGCCAAGTATAGAACAAGCACCTTACCTGCTCTACTATCTCTCCAGCCCCTAAGGGAAAAACATTTAAATCTGCCTTCTTTTCCATTTTTCCTTATGATTCTGGCCAGAATGTCACATAAGATGTTAAATCAAGTGTAACAGATACAACTTCCTTGGACTTGATTCTGGTTTTAGGAGGAAATATTTGGTCTTGCAACATTAAACTGTTAGATAAGTAATGTTTTATTAGCAGCCTTTCATCAGGTTAGGCTATTTCTCTTTGGGGCTTAAATACTTTGTCATCAGTAAGTAAATTAAATGTTTCTCGGTTTCAAGTGTATTTTGTTTTTACCTTGAATATTACTGTTTACATATTAACATTGAATTTTCAAATGTTAACCAATTCCTAGGATAAAATCACATGGTCATGGTATATAACCCTTTCTGTAGTTTCTGGATTCCACTGGCTAATACTTTGAATTTGTGTTTATATATTGCTTTGGAGTTTTAGCCTGGAAATGTCTTTATCTGGTTTTGATGTTAGGGTGACGCTCACCTGATAATTTGAGGTACAATTATTTCTTTAAATATTTAATAGAATTTCTCTTTTAAACTGAGGCACATGTGTGTATGTAAATGTTTACCTAAATCAACTTATATGTTAATATTTTTTGTTGCTGTTTTTGAACCATGCCATATGGTGGCCTTACTCTGGCTCTGCAATCAAGGATCATTCGTTATGGGTTTGCAGGACCAGATGTGCCAGGGATTGGACCTGGGTCACTGCATGCTAGGCAAGCACCATGCCTGCATCACTCTGGCTCCAGATATTCAGATTTTCTTTTAATTTGAATCAATTTTGTAACTTGTTTTAGTAATTTATTATCTAAAGCATCGAATTTGGCATTAAGTTGTTCAAAATAATTGCTTTGGTCTTATTTTCTGTAGGACAATAGTTTTGATTTTCCTTAATTCCTGGTCTTGTTCATTTCTGTCTTGTTTACCCATCCAAATGTTGCTTAGTTTTCTACTGTAAAGTAACTTTGAGAACTAGTCACTAGTTTTCTAGTTTCATTTTTAAAAAGGAAAATCATGTTAAATGGGAAACCAAAAACTATTAGATGAACAACAGAAACGTTTATTCTAATATGTGTTCCTGTTAAGTAGAAATGATTGTCAAGCAAAAGTTTATATAAGCTTTTAATACATTAGTTATTTTATTTCTTTGGTTAGAACTTTATTGACATTATTAATGGATGACTTGCAGAAATATGAAACAAAAGTAGGAGATAAGGGGACTCAGCTCTCAGGAGGTCAAAAACAGAGGATTGCTATTGCCCGCGCTCTTATCAGACAACCTCAAATCCTACTGCTGGATGAAGCTACATCAGCTCTGGACACTGAAAGTGAAAAGGTATGGCTTTTACGGTCCCACTTAAAGTAGAAGTTTGCTTTATTGTCAACCATGAAAAAAATATGTATGCACAGGGGTAAACAAATTTAGACCAATTCTATAAAAGTGGAGTATTTTATTCCTTTCAATATTTTCCAAATTTTAGAAAATACAAAAAGCAAAGCATAAAAAAGGCCTGACATAATCATATTAGCATATTAAATACAACAAATGACTATAAAAATATGGTTATTATTTTAAATAGGGCTGGAGCGATAGCACAACAAGTAGGGCATTTGCCTTGCACACAGATGACCCAGGTTTGATTCCTCTGTCCCTCTCGGAGAGCCCGGCAAGCTACTGAGAGTATCTTGCCCGCACGACAAAGCCTGGCAAGCTCCCCGTGACGTATTTGATATGCCAAAAACAGTAACAACAAGTCTCACAATGGAGACATTACTGGTGCCTGCTTGAGCAAATCGATGAACAACAGGAGGACAGTGGTACAGTGCTACTTTAACTAAATTACATTATGACCACCTAGAGATTTTAAATACTTGTGAAGATTCAGAGTGAAATTTCATTTTCATTAGAGTTTAAAAACACCATGCAGGGGTTGGAGAGATAGCACAGCAGGTAGGGCATTTGCCTTGCACATGGTTGACTCGGGTTCGATTCCCAGCATCCCATATGGTCCCCTGAGCACTGCCAGGAGTAATTCCTGAGTGCAGAGCCAGGAGTAACCCCTGTGCAGTGCTGGGTGTGACCCAAACAAACAAACAAAAAAACACCATACACAGATTATAATGTAATTTATCTAAATAATTCATAGAAGCTAAGGACAGATGAGAAAGTTATTTTGCTAGCATAGTAAAAAAAAAATCTAAGTTCCTATACTGTTAAAACTTACATTTAACAATTTTTTTAACATACGGCATTTTATTTGGTCTTATCAACAGATTGTCCAGGAAGCCCTGGACAAAGCCAGAGAAGGCCGCACCTGCATTGTGATCGCCCACCGCCTGTCCACTATCCAGAATGCAGACCTCATCGTGGTGTTTCAGAATGGCCGGATCAAGGAGCAGGGCACACACCAACAGCTGCTGGCACAGAAAGGCCTCTACTATTCCATGGTCAGTGTTCAGACTGGGACACAGACCTTATGAACTCTTGTTATGTCTTACAAATAAATATAAAACACTCTACAACTTTTTCCCCCTGATTTATTAAAGACATTTTTAGTTTAAGTCAACATAAAACAGAGGTGTGTCCTGATGGGAAAATATTTAATTTGATGTTCAAAATTTAGGTGTTTCTAGTGGTATCTGTTTGATGACATTTGCCAACAGCAGTCTGGCTTTCCCTGAGTTGTTAGAAACATATAAAGAAAGAAAAACCTAGTTTGGAAAATAAATGCTGTACAATCTGGAGTAGGGGCATAGGTCAAGTGGGAGAGTGTGTACCCTCCCTTCAATCCTTGAGCACTACCAGTGTGCCACCTACAAAAAACTAAAGTAGAAGAGAACTCACAGAAATAATTTTAATATATTGATTCCAGCACTATAATTTATGTTAATGAAGCCATATTCAAGTGTGAGCCAATGGTAGTCTGAATTGCATCAAATGTGTTATGAGTTAATTTTTATGACCCTGATTATCTGGGTAGAGGACAGAATAATTTGGGAACAAATTTTCCAACTACAAAAGAAAAATAAATTGCTTATAGCATAGTTTCGCACTTAGAAAGTTTCCAAATCATTATTCTATTCCCAGATTGAGATATTTAAAATCAATTATAAAAATGAAAACACATCAAAGCCCCTCCCCCTGCCCATGTTTCTTCCACTAGATAAGCTAACTTGTAGGCATTTATTTGTTCCAAAGAGCAAGAAAACTTAACAGTATTTTTAAAATGCTAAAAACTCAGTGAATATTGCACATAAATTCAGTAAAATTTGAAAACTAGAAATAATAAAATTCTCAGTTTTTACAGCAACTGCTTTATTAAATCTTTCCCCATAATATTAACCCCCTTTTTTTCAAGAAAAGAAGCGATTACATGGAAGAAAAAATAATTCTAGGCAACCCTTGGAAACTAGCCACACAGGAATGTATTTTTTTCATAAATTTTTACAATTCTTATAGCTGTGATACACTATTTAGGTCAGTCAACTAGCCAATCCAAATTCTATCTGATCCAAAATAACCAGTTATTACCAAACACTTTTACAACTGTGACCATGCATAAACTTGACTACCAATGGACTGAATTTCAGAGTAGGGCAAGGAGTACATTGCCATGGTGACTTAGAGCGAGCAGATTTCAACCTACTCTTCTATCATTATTCCCAAGCTTGTTTGATAAGGATCCTAGAACATCGACTCAGAGATATCCCTGAATCAGTACTTCTGGGTTGAGACCCAGAAATCTCTTTGGTAAAAATGTCCTGGGTGATTTTTAACTGTAGGTAGATTCAGGCAATATAATAAAGAAGTAAGGAAAGGTTTCTCTGCAGGAGATGATCAGTAAAATGCCCAACTCTAGAGATTTTCAAATCGCCACACAAATGATTCTAAACTTCCTGATACTTCAGACTACAAAATTATACCAGTGAGGAAAAGGTCCTAAGTTTAGATGTCCCCTCTTCCTTAAATGATATAGACAACCAATAAACTAAGTATACCATAACTTTATGGTATAACTTTATGACACAATGCTACAAATGTGACCTACAATAAATCATGCCCTGTGTGCTCACTTATTTCATTTACAAAATGACTTTGCTGCTGATTTTAGCAAGAGATAACGTTTTTTCCTACCTCTTGAATTGAACTGTCCTTGAACTCTTGAATTTTTAACTCATTGACTCAGGTGCTATAATTTGTGTTGTTTTTTTTTTTTTGGACTATGTTGATCCTGTGCAAGGCAAGTGCTTTACTCTGATGTACTATCTCTTTGTGTTAAGCACAAATTTATGTGTGAGCCACAGGTGTCATTGGGTTAGCTCATAGCCAAATGCAAAAAAAGTGACACATGACTTTAGAGCCCCAGCCTTAAGAGGCTTTGTAATTTCTAGCTTTCTCAAACTCTACCAAGAACAGAAATCTGTAAAACTGATCAGAGACCATCTGGAGAGAGTTACAGCAACCAGGTCCCAAACAAAGGGTGAGGCCATTTAAGGCCTTACAGCCTAAGTTCTGCCTCTCTGTTATTGCGGTGCTGAAACAAATCAGGTAAGACCAGCAGAAGACCTATCCTCAGGGTACAGTCAACTGACACAACACAACTGAGAACTCCTGTGAGGCACTAAAAAAAATGGGGTGTTTATTACACAATAATTAAAAAATTTCAAAACTGAGATGAGAAAATAAAAGATGAAACTGGTACAAATCCATTATTTAAACACAAAACAAGAAGCTACATGATTTGGGGGATTTTATTTTCTGAAAGAAACTACAAAATTGTACAGAGGGGAGAAAATAAAATTAAAGTCCTGAGACAGAGTCAACATTTAATCATTTCATAAACTCATTAACTTTAAGTATGTGCTTATCTTTACACTCAAACTAATTACAATATAATGGCTTTTGTTAAGGATTTTTTTTGTTGTCAGACAGTGTAAACCCCACTCTACACATTCATTCTTCTCTTTATTCCATGAACTATTTTTAGAGCACCATTAAATTATGGTGATCTTTTTCAAACATAATAAGCTTATATTTCTGGGTGAAGACAGAAGACATTGTTTTGGGAAATTATCATTTAATTTTATATTCCATAACCTTTGGCAACTAGAAAATGTTAAAGTGCTTGAAAGATAATGATTTTGAGAGAGAATTTATAGACTATACAAGTGCCAGCAAAAATATTCTAAAAACTAAAAACCTGCATTATTTTAAATTGCAGATTTGCATTGTTGAGGCTCTCAAACTTTGCATAGTTCTAGATTTGCTTCGTAATTTTCAGCAACGACAAAGGAAGTTTCAAAACATTTCTACCTTCGATGTCAGTATAAATTTAGAGCATAGGATCCTACTGATGTCTACTTTTAACAAGTTACCTTTTAATTAACATTTCTTCCTATCTTACATCACTAACCCACTCCCAGCATGTAGTGAAACATTTAATAGTGATTAATTTCTAAAGATGAGCGTTGTTCATCAGATGTATCATATCTTGGAAAGCGTAAAATATCTGCAGAACCAGCTTCTCTGCATCAGTCTCTGGACATGATTTCCAGGCTGAACATGATACAATAATCCTGTAGAGAACAAATAATAAGTGACTAAAAATTTTGAAGTAGTCACCATAGTAAAGATCCAAATAATGACGACACAGACATGAACTTTAGTCCACCTGGCTGTTGATATGTGAATTCCTGATGCCATGTGAATGTAACCTGATCCAGAGAGGATGAAGTCATACTTATACCACCTGCCAGGAACACCTAAATTATTATGTGACTAAACCTAGGGACAAAGGGAACAAAACTTAGCCTGAATATTGTGTGTATGTGTGTGTGCATGTGTGTGTGTGTGTTTGTTTTGGGCCACAATTAATGGTGTTCAGGATTTACTTTTGGCTCTGCCATAAAGGGGCTCGGGAGATCATAAGGGATGGTGAGGATCAATTCGGGTTGACCACATGCAAAGCAATGCATGCTTACCTGCTGTACAATCTCACTGACCCTAGAGTGAAATCTTATTATGTTAAACAAGCAGTAAAAGGAATGAGTTAGAATATGAATTTATACTGTAGCTTGCAATGAAGCGTACATTTTAAAAATGGTAATATTATAGTTCTTAAAGAGATGAACAAAAACACTAAAATGGGAAAAACGTATAAGAGAAGTGAAAAACCATTTTTTAAAAATCCAGATAGAAAGTCTCTGGAAACCCAGAGAGCCATGCCTTCCATCACGTCCTTTGGATCCTCCTGTTGAAGAAACTCCCAACTTGGCAGGTGATAAAAGTGGCCCTAAGAAGCTGTCAGGAATAGGAGAGAAGCCTAGATTCAGGTCAACTAACCAGAAACTTTCTAGAAATGATTCCTTCCATTTTAGACAAAATCATGCATTAAAATAACAATTCAAAACCACTGTATTATACAGTATAAAACCTGTGAATAGCCACGTAATTTTCAGTCACCCCCAAAGACAAATACTTTAGATGTGCCTTAGATTCATCAGAATAAAACTAAAATGCTCTAGCCCAGTCTGTAACAAAGAAATCAGTATGGGTGGTTTATATTTGCTGGAAGGTCTATAAACCTATAGTAAGATCCTACTTTGTGTTTGCCTAGTGATTCATAATACCAACTTAAAATTCACACAGAATTTTTAAATTCATATTTGGAAATTTTTAAAATTTGGTCATAGGTGTGTATCACAGAAAGAAAACAGCCTTTCCTCCATGTAAAATTCAGTAAAAGATACACACAAATGGTAATAAATAAGGAAAAATTTCTTAAGAAAATGTTCAATTTATATTATTTTTGCATATAAAATCAGTAAAAATGTTTTATAATGGATATTGTTGGCAATGACAAAATGAAGGATATGGATAAGGATGTTACTTATGATGATGAAAAACTGGAAATAACAGAGTAGTAGTTTAATTATAGAAATCCATAATAATACATACTACTCAACCATTAAACTATCCCAAAGGATATTTAGTGGCACTGGGAATTCTTGAAATAATGAGAATGGAATTCAAAGAAAATATGCTAAATATTTACAATATGGTCTAAATTTATAAAAATTATACAATCTATACACTATAAACATTGAAAACCAATAGTAAGTTGTGTCTTATAATGGACATATAGAAGATGTTATGTTTTGTTCATATTTTATGACATTTTTACCAGTATGTAATATTTTTATAATAAAATGCTATGTCAAAAATGAATCAGGCTTATGTGTGAAATAGAAAACCACCTTTAGTCAGTTTCTATGTATTTCCACGTATTTGAATTTGTCTCTACAATCTTACTCATCAATTTGCATCTGCCTTTTCAACTGCCACTGATATACTTTTCTTGATAAAAAAATGAATATAAATCTCTGTATTCAAAGAAATTTTAAAGTCTGTGTGTACAAAACAAAACTTGATTCTAGCATAACATGTCCTGAAACCTGTTTCTCCTCTAATTTTCATCATAGTAAATGTAACCATCAGCAGTTCATCAGTAAAATCTATTCTCGCTAGTCTGAAATCCCTTTAAAGTACTTCCCAAATTCCTTCACTTCTTTCTACCTTCATTACCAACTGCCTTATTCAATTTATTCTCCTTGCTTCCGAAGTTCTACTGTTTCATTTTGGCCTACATTACTGTACACCTAATATTTATTTCGTATCAATCTTTGTATTCAGATAAATATAAAAATATAAATGTATTTGTTGGTGGGCTACACCCAGCTGTGTTCAGGGTTTATAACTCCAGGTTCTGTGCTGAGGGGTCACTTCTGGTGGAGTTTGCGGACAATATGTGGTGCCAGGGATCAAACCGAGGTTGGCTGTGTACAAGGCAAGCACCTTCTATCTCTCAGGCCCTTCATTTTTATATAAATAAAGCATGTCACTTTCATGGGCTGGAGCGATAGCACAGCAGTAGGGCATTTACCTTGCACGTGGCTGACACGGCCAACCCAAGTTCGATTCCTCTGCCCCTCTCAGAGAGCCCAGCAAGCTACTAAGAGTAGCTTTGCTCGAACAGCAAAGCCTGGCAAGCTCCCCGTGACATGCCAAACACAGTAACAGCAAGTCTCATAATGGAGACGTTTCTGGGCCCGCTCGAGCAAATCGATGAACAACAGGAGGACAGTGCTACAGGGCTACAGTCACTTAAGCCCCATGCTTAAGATTCTTAAAATGCTTCTCATTCTGGCTAGAAGAAAGTCTAAACTGCCATAGTAAGAAACTCTACTGACCACTACAGCTAAATCAGTGCCTCCATAAATATTTTTCTTAAGGGGGGATATTTCTAAAGGTATTCAAGAGTCCTGGGGCCACTCTTGGTGGTACCCAGCCAACTGGGTTAGCATTTCAATGAGAGGTCCTGAGGATATGTTGTGGTGTTGGGGATCACCAGGGCTACTCCAACAGTACTGGGGGCCTTTAGGGTTATAGTTGGCGGAGCTTGCTGTGCCACATGAATCTAAAGAACTCCTATCCTATATCTTCTGCAACACTTTTTTTTTTTTAATTTAAAGCTCTTCGGGTGTTTACTCAGAATTAAGAACATTTCCCTTCAAAAACCAGCTCCTGCTTATCTTTCTTCTTTTTTTGTTTTTATTTTTGAGTCACACCCAGCAGTGCTCAGGGTTTACTCCTGTCTCTGTACACAGGGATCACTCCTAGAGAGCTCAGGAGCACCGTAAAGAGATGCCAGTAATCGAACCCAAGTTGGCCATATGTAAGACAAGCATCCTAGCTGTTATACTATGGCTCTTGCTCCTGTTTATCTTTCATCTACTTCTCTCGAACTTTTTTCTCTGCTTCCCTTCCCTTGGGGTCAAACTTAATTCTGCTCCACATAAGTGTCAAGCTCTTTCCTACCCCCAGGGTTTGTAACCACAAGCAACTAAGTCACTGTTGAAAACATTTTCTGAGTAACACCAGCCACTACTACAGAACCATAGATCAAATCAATACATCAAACCCTTTACTTCTGAATGTATGTTCTAAGAGGGGAAGATAAATAATATACAAAAGAAGGCATTTATCAATAAGTATGGGTGGTTGTTGCGTTAAAGTGGTGGGAGTATAGTGAAGGGCAGAAGTGCTATTTTAAACAGGGAAGGCCTCAGACAGCACACCGTCAACAAATATCTAGAGGGAGTAAGTAAGGGAGTGTTTTTGATTACACCTAAAAGGGATACATAGTACTCTTACTGAGTCAAGGAAATCAGAACTGCAAATAACTGGACAAAACTTGCTCTGATGTTCCAAGGTACAGGAAGGCCAGTGGCTGGAGGACTGTGCCACAGTAGGTGAGTTGGGAGAGTGATGGTCAGTGGGGAACCAAACGCTGGATCATGCAGGGGCCTTGAAATTTTACCTATGTTATGTGGGAAGATTATAACGGATTTTAAGTAGAATGCTGTGAGTTCTATTTTCAAACCGGCCACAGGGGCTGCTGGGTAGAGAATAGTCTGCAGGATGGAAAGGTAGAAGATACTACACAGTGTTACTTCGGAAGTAACACTGGGGACAGTAGCCAGTCATTAGTCTGGAGAGCTACTTTGGGGGACTACTTATACAATTAATCCCTTCCCTTCTTCAGCATTTCAGCTTTGCTGTCACCCCTGGGCAAATGTCAAAGCCATGGCCCAGCTCTTTAGTCTCCACTATCACATAAATGTGGTTATTTCCCCTAAAGCATTTACCACTATTTTAAATTAGATTACTTATTTGCTTACGTCTCTCTTTCCCAAGCATAAAATAAAATCTGCAAGAAGTGGGGTGGGCTCATGTTTCTCTTGTTCCCTTAGCACCTAAATAAACCCTGGCACACTTTCAGTTACCACTAAATATTTCCTTAATGAACGACTGAAATTCGTGTCTCAGGACTATTAGAAATGTTTTTCTACCATTTGAGAGCTGAGGCATATCTGACCTAAACTCTTATGATTGCGATATAGAATCTACCACTTGTCAGGAAATGTGTTAGAATGTTACTTATCCTCTGTGTCTGATGGTTTTTTGATGCTTGATTCCTTTTTATGGAAAAGAAAAGTAAACCCTGTTTAAGTCTTTATCATTTACAGTAATGTACACAAATGGAAAAATCCAAGTACATGGATGCTAATATATTGATGTAACACTGGTATAACATACCAGGAACAACTCATACTTGACTTGTATGAAGGCAGATGATAATGTTTTGAAAAAATGCTGATGACAAATTCTTTTAGAAAGGAAAAAAGAATAAAAGCAATGTACTGTTTCTTAGTTTCTAAATTTAGTTTCTAAAATAAACATAATTTATATTATTGTTCTAATTTCTCACATTTCTTCTGAAGCACTTCCCAGGCTTAATTAAAGGCCCTCCCGTTGATCATCGATTTGCTCGAGCGGGCCCAGTAACATCTCCATTGGAGACTTTGTTGTTACTGTGTCTGGCATATCGAATACTCTCGGTAGCTTGCCGGGCTCTCCTACCATTTTTTATTTATATAATGCTAAATGCACCCACACTGTTTTTAGTAAAACTCCAAATGCTGGAAAGACACATATGAAGAAACTGCCAGACTGTGTAAATGAGGACCTTCCAAGCCTTTTTTTTTTTTATCAATTTCATATTATGTTGTTCTCAAATTCTCTATTCCTACCAAATTTTTAACATTTATTTCTAGCTTTTTCCACAAACATAAGTTTAACTTTATACAACCCAAAATAATGCAACTGAATTGATTAAAATGTTCATATATAATACATCTCTTTTAGTTAACTATCATAACTACATGAACTATCATACACTTATAGGTCACAAATTTATTTGAACTTCCCATAAATACTTTGGGTAGAAAAAAACTATATTTCTATATATACTGAGTTTTGACAATAAGTCAATAATATCAATAATATCACTTTATTTGACAATAAAGACAATAATATCACTGGGTCAACTACAAATGGTTTTCTGCACAAAACTCCTTAAAGGAGTACTTTGACAAATGTCTCAACTGCAGGATAGATAAAATAAATGTATTATATACACTAAATACATAAATAGGAAAAGCAGTTATCTACATAGCAAGTGGATGAAGACAAGGCAACCTTAATATAGGAAAGGTATTTAAGATGACAGCTTTCTCACTCCAGAGCACAGCAGCATTATAAAGTGCACACTCACTCACCTGTCATCTCTGATGTTGTAGAAAAATCCATACCCATTGTGTACCATGGGGACCACCAATCCCTGCACTCTTAAATAACCAATAAGACTTGTTGAGAGAACAAAGTTTCCACCTCCACCACTGTGTGACATAAAGAAAGGACATGTAAGGATATACAACTAAACTTATAGAACTTTGCTGCTAAGGAAACTTTAACATGGGGGGGAGGGGTCAGGGAAAGTGGGGAGGGGCATAAGACCTGATTGGTGAAGTTATGACACACTTTCTTATGTTACCTTTTGGAGAAAAGTGGGTCTGTATAGAGTTCTGGAACTGGGATCCCTTCCTCCTTTGCTATGAGTAATAAACCTAAAAGATGACGGTCAAACCCTGCAAATGAAGCCCAACATCTGAAGTTAGAGAACAATTTTCAATATAAATAAATTTTTCATGCCAGAATGATTATAGCATAGTACCTTTTCCAGCTGAACAATCTTTCATCATTTTATTATGTTTTGCAAAAGCTTTTAGCATCATTTGTTGCCGCTCAACAAGCTGTAAGAAAAATCAAGGGAAATTTCAATAACAGGGTATACAGAAATCAAAGGATATTTCTGTACACAGAAACAAAATACCTGAGTCCAACATAATTTGGGAAAGGAAAAAGGATTACTAAGAAGACCTATGGATAAATATTCTATGTCTCTTCCTTAGTCTTTCTGCTCTCTTTCTCATATGCTGTTTATCTTGATATTTCCCTTAACAGGAAAATAGGGATATTAATAATGGAAACTGACCACTAACAGTGAACAAAAGCAACTAGTGTTTCAAAATTAAAGCATAGTTGTATTAAGTATGCAATTCTATAAAACTGAATATATATGAAATAATATGTCATATATTTACTATAATTTAGATAGGTCACTGTCATTGTCACTGTCCTCCCGTTGTTCATCAATTTGCTCAAGCGGGCCCAGTAACATTGTGAGACTTATCACAATGTTTGGCATATCAAATACGTCACGGTTAGCTTTCCAGGCTTTGCCGTGTGGGCGAGATACTCTCGGTAGCTTGCCGGGCTCTTTGAGAAGGGCAGAGGAATCAAACTCGGGTTGGCCTCATGCAAGGCAAATGCCCTACCCGCTGTGCTATCGCTCCAGATAGGCATATCTAAATTACAGAAACAAAGGAAATATCAAAATAGTACTGGAAAAGAACTACCCCATTGCTTCTCTCCCAAAGTGCAAAACACATAAACCTATTCTGGTTCTACAACATGATTGACAACAGCTTGATTTCAAAAAAGTTCAACCTTGCCCAAATTAAAAATACACTGGTGAAGGCATGGATGCCAGAACATTGGATGACTAAATGATACTTTTCCTAGAAAATAATACAAATGGATTAGGAGGAGGAGAAGGAGGAGAGGAGGAAGAGAGGAGGAGAGGAAGAGGGGAGGAGGACATGATGGAGGAAGAAGAGCTTCCTTTTGGCATATTCCCCACCCTGAAGAATCATCAGCATCTGCCCCTGAGATGGGTTCTCTCTGCTCCTTCCCTCTGGAGAAGCTCCTCTTCTCTCTTCCACGTGTACCTCCTTCTTTTTCTTTCCCCCTTATTTATCTCTAAGTAGCACTGCTCTCCTGTTGTTCATCAATTTGCTCAAGTGGGCACTAGTAACATCTCCATTGTGAGACTTGTTACGTTTCTCGCATATCAAATATGCCATAGGTAGCTTGCCAGGCTCGGTAGCTTGTCGAAATGCCCTACCCGCTGTGCTACCGCTCCAGCCCATCTCTAAGTAAGTTTCTTTAAAAAAAAAAATTTTGCCTTTTTTCTTTAAAAAAAAAAGGAAAGCTTCCTTTAAAAAGTAATTGACAGCTTTTTCTTCTACTTTTTAATAAAATATTCTATCCTTATTTACAAGAAAAAGTAATAGAGTCTGCACTTTATTGGTATTATCCCAAGGTAGGTCGATAGAAATGACATGTTGCAGAAAAACAAGATATTTTTGTTGTTGTTTTGTTTTTTTATGCCACGCCCAGCAGTACTCAGGGTTTACTCCTGGCTCTGTGCTCAGCAGTCAGTCCTGGCAGGCTCAGGACCGTATGAGGTGCCGGGGATTGAACCTAGATCAGATGTGTGGAAGGCAAATGCCCTGCCTACTGTACTATCTCTCCAGCTCAAATCAAGATACTTTTCCGAGAAAATAAAAGAAATAAATTATTACTTATGTCTTCTCTGTTTCTTATTCTCTTCAACTGTATATGTTACTGGCTAGTGGACAAATAATTTGAAAACTTTAAGAAAAAAGATATCTGAAGTATTCTTCTAATCCAGAGGAACTGAAGCAAAGAAGTTATTTAAGGCCCAGTTTCCTTTAGCGCAATCAAATTCTGTGAATTGTTTTCTTTTCCAATACTCACGCTGGTAGAAGGATCATGCATAGACTCGCACCATCTGACTGCTTCCATTGTGCATGATCGCACAGTCTCTGTGCGACCGTGATAAAAATATCTTGTCATAGCTGTTTCATAGCAGCAACCAGGACTGGGGAGAAAAAAGGGGCACATGAAAGAGGGAGTTTACCTTGTATAGCTGTCAGAGACTAAGTTTTATAGTGTGTACAGACGTGATGCTTTCATTACAAAGAGGCAAGGTTTCAATAGCTAGGAGCAAAACAAGACTCTGATACACACATCTGCTAGAATGGAGGCTTTCCTAGGCCTGGATGCCACCAGGTCCTATATTTGGGAGTCTGTAACAGGTTGCCTCTGCTCTAGTTCTTTAAGCTAGGATAGAATCCCTCACTTGGATTAAGGGCGGGACTTCCTGACCATCACAGCAAAAAGTGATACGATGCTACTTCTAAAAGTAGTTTACAAAGAAAGCTCTCCCCTGCCCTCTGGCTTCCTTACTCTTAAGCCAGTGACCATGTAGAAAGGTGACTTTTTTAGAGAGACCCAGGCAGAAGGAAACAAAGGGGAATCTCTGGATAACAGTTGAGGAGTCACTGAACGCTGCTAATAAGCACAAGCTGGGAAGGGAACCCCCAGCAGGAAAGCCCTCAGACAGGAACATACCCCAGGCTGGAGATTGAACCAAGACTGAATTTCCTTGGATCAAGTAATAGAACCCTGTGCGCAAGCTGAGTTCCTTTAACCCCTGTACTCTCTGGCCCTTAAGATTCCATGTCTGACAAAAGGTGTTTGATAAGAAAAGCTTATTGTTTTAAACCACTCAGGTCTTCGGGCAAATTTTGTTACACATCAATAGAAAACCATCGACTCCTAGAACTTTAGTTCCTTTGTCTAGAATATGGATGATTGTAGACTTGAGTAAAGTAGTATTTATAAAGTTCCTCACAGTAAAGTCTGTTTTCCCTGCCTGGAAAAGATGTGCAATTTAACGTACAATACTATCTTAATTTCTTGGTGGCTGGAATTCAGAGTCAAAGAAATAAAGTTGAATGAGTGTGCAAGCCCGAAGAAGGGCACCAAGAGCTCAGAGACTCTGAGCCTCTCTGTCAGCACTGCTCTGAACAGCCTCCCTAGGTTGAATCAGGAGCCTTTCAAAGGGGAAAGGCAAAGGGAAAATGATGCTTTTTCAAAGCATGAAGATTACCTTAAAAATTAAAATAAAAGCAATTATAATGAATGACAAATAGCACTACCCTGAAATGTCTAAAAAAATAAATTTTAGAAATCATCATCAATTGTTACTAAGAAAGAAAATAGGTGAAAATCTCAATGATAAAACTTTATAATAATTCTTCTCTGACTACTGAAAACTCACGTTCAATCTGAACAGAATCAAAGAGATAACAACATTGGCCATTTGATCTACTGCTATAAAGAACAACTGATCCTGGAGCTGGAGCGATAGTACTGTGAGAAGGGCACTTGCCTTGCACACAACGACCAGGGTCTGATCCCCAGCACCCCATATGATTCCCCAAGCCTGCCAGGAGTGATTCCTGAGTGCAGAGCCAGCAGTAAGCTCTGCACATCTTTGGGTGTTGCTCAAAAATGAAACAACAAAAAAATCAATTTTAAAAATTCTTATTTTTAGGTTTTATCTAACCACCAGTTTATAAGAAATGTGGGAGGGGCTGGAGATATAGTACAGGGGTTAAGGTTCCTTCCTCACTTGCAACTGACTGTAGACTCCCTAAAACCACTAAGTGTGCCTTCCCTTCACCTCAAAAAAGACTGGAGACAGAGTAACATGTTTAATAAGATTTTTTCCAACTTAAAAAGCAAATTCATAGAATAATTATCAAATTATATTATCAGGTATTGAGACAGAAAGATGTAATATGTGATAACATCAAAACAATGAGGCCGGGGCCAGAGAGATAGTACAAGGGTTAAGCTATTTGCTTTGCACCTCGCCAACCCTGATTTAAATGACCAGTACACTTGGTTCCCCAGCTCTGATGGGGGTCACTCCTGAGTGCAGAGCCAGGAAGAACCTCTGAGCAAAACTAGATTTGGCCCAGCCTCTCCCCAGCCCCCACCTTCCCAAAACAGAGGGAGGTAAAGAGACCTATAGAAGAAGGATGTTTGTACTAATAAAACTACCTCCGTGTTATGTAAAATGAATCCAGTTTATGCCTTAATATGTTGATTGTAATCTCAAAAACAAAAGAAACTGATAAGCAATATAAATAAAAAGAACGTAATTAAAATAATATACAAAACAAAAAACGTAAACTAAAAGAGGTAGCAATGGAGAAACTGAGAACCAAATAAATATATAAGTACAGAAAACGTTTGCAAACCACAGCACCCAAAAGGAGAAAGAGAACAAAGGGGAATGCCCTGCCACAGAGGCAGGGTGGGAGGGATACTGGGATCAGTGGTGGTGGAGAATGGGCACTGGTGGAGGAATGAGTACTCGATCCTTGTATAACTAAAACCCAAGCACAAAAATTTGTAAGTCTACAACTTACCTCATGGTGTTTCACTAATAAAAATTGAAAAAAGAAAATAAGTACAGAAAACGGTGAATTAGCTGAAATAAATTCCTTCCTGTCAGTAACCATTTTAAATGTAAAGAGATCCAACTTGATTTTCAAAGGCAAAGATTGGCAGATGAATAAAACTAAAGGAAAAATATGGTGTATCGATAAACAGTATACAAGATATTTACTTGAATGAATATATTAAGAGGCTAAGTTTATAAAAAGGAAATAAAAAAGATATTCCAAGAAACCCACAATAGAGTCTGTGTGGGCATATAATCAAAATAAATAGATTTGTGGATGTTTGTAGGCCACCAAAGTAGTATTTAGAGGCTCAAGTACACTTGCTATGATTTTTGGTCAGCCAGATTGGTGAGGATTGAGGATGCAGTGCCATGGTGCCCAGGACCACAAGCAGGACCACATTTGGAAGGACCTCACCTGAAGATGCTCAGGGCCTCTGGGCTGCAAACAGTGCTCAGGAGATCATGTGGTGTCAGGGATCCAAGTATGTTCATCTTCATACCGGTATGAGCTTTAACCCATGTACTATCTCTTCAGGTATATATATCTGGTTTTGTTTAGGGGCTATATCTAGCAGAGTTCAGGGTGTATTCCTGGCTCAGTGCTCAGGAATCACTCTGATGCTCAGGTGACCATATGGTCAGTCACATGCAAGGCACCCTATACACTATATTATCTCTTTGGTCCTTAATATATGCTTTTTATTTAATCATATTTGTTTGTTTTTCTTGGTCACGCCTGTGGTGCTCAGGGCTTACTCTTAGCTCTGCAGTCAGGGATTACTTCTAGCAGAGCCTATGGGGACCATACACAGACCTGGGGATTGAACCTAGTTTGGCCAGGTGTAAGGCAAGCACCCTACCCTCTGTACTATTGCTCTGGTCCCAAGACAAAATATATTTATAAATCAAAGAAGTTATGAGGCAAAAATACGTTAAACATTAATAAAATGTATACTTTATCAGAAGACATAATTAAAAAGTTATGCTCACTAAACCACAGAACTCTAAAAACTAAAAGCAAGGCCAGGGTGATAGCAGTGGTTAAAGTGCTTGCCCTGCATGTGGCTGACACAGCTTCAATCCCCAGCACTATGAATGAATGGTCCCTTAAGCCTTGAGCAGAGCCTGAAATAAACCCTGAGTATTTCCAGGTGTGGGTCCCAAACAAACAAACAAACAAAATCTCTGAAGCAAATATTGACAAATTAGCTAAACAACAATAGTAGACTTCAATTCCCAAGTTTTAATAATGGATAGAACATATAGATAGAAAACTAATTAAAAACATCTAACTATAAGAGCGAAATACAAATTCTTTGATTGCACTTAGAATATCACCCAATACAGGGACTGAAGACATGGTTTTATAGGGGTTAAGGTATATACACTGCAACTGGCCAATGCTTGTTCTATCCTCACTATAACATGGTTCCCCAGCATCATTGCTGAAGCACTGCAGGACCCAAACACTGATGAGGTAATCCAGATAATCCCTGGCACTGCAGGGCCTAGCAGCACTGATACTCATGCCCACACGTTGAACTGCCAGTCCCATTAGTGGGGAGGGGTTCATGAGGCTCCTGAGGATCACTAGGGAGAACCCCTTCTCCCACAAAAAAATAAAATATTATCCAGGATACACAAAAAGTCAATAAATTAAAATTACATATGGTATCATCTTCAATGATAATAGAATGAAGCTAGGAACCAATAATAAGAAAAACTGGAAAATAAATATGCATAAATTAATATATTATACTTTTTACTGATATACTTTCTTTTTGTTTTTTTTTTTTTGGTCACACCTGGTGATGCTTAGGGGTTACTCCAGGCTCTGCATTCAGGAATTACTCCTGGCAGTACTCAGGGGACTATATAGGATACCGGAGATCAAACGTGTGTTGGCCATATGCAAGGCAAAAGCCCTACCTGCTGTACCATTGCGCTGGCCCCTGATAGACTATTTAAGAACCAATTGGTTAAGGTTAAAGTCCCAAAGGAATAATGAAGCACTTTGAAATAAATGAAAATGAAAGTACAAAATACCGAAAACTTATAGAATAAAGCAAAACCACTGTTCAGACAGTAATTTACTGGTATAAATGTCTACATTTAAAAAGGTGCCAGAGCAATAGCATAGCAGGTAGGGTATTTGCCTTGCACAAGGCTGACCCAGGTTCGATTCCTCTACCCCTCTCAGAGAGCCCAGCAAGCTACCAAGAGTATCCGTCCATACAGCAAAGCCTGGCAAGCTACCTGTGACATATTTGATATGCCAAAAGCAGTTACAACAAGTCTCACAATGGAGACGTTACTGGTACATGCTCGAGCAAATCAATGAACAGCAGGAAGACAGTGCTACAGTGCTACATTTAAAAAGAGGCCAAAACAATAAACTAATTGTACACTTTTTGAAACATCTTAAAAAGAGAAAACTAAACCCAGTGCCAGCAGAAGAAAATAATTTAGAGTGAAGATAAGCAAAATACATAATAGAAAAAAAATTATACCAAAAATTTATTATTTAAAAAAACAAATTTGACAGACCCATTGCTACACGAAGAACAAAAAAGATTTCAACTACTAAAATTAGCTATAAAGCAGATGTTGCTGCTGACACTGCAGGTAGAAGTGTATAAGAAGCAAAATCCATCAACAACTGTATAACCAATAAATCATATAACCTAGATAAAATGAATATATTCTAAGTAACACAAATGACAAATCTGACTCAGGGAAAAATAAAAATCTCAAACTGGACTTCACAATAAGAAGATTCATAAGCAAACCTTCCAACACAAAAATTCCCAGACCTGATGACCACTTTGAGAAGGTGTAACAATTGAAACCCAAGCACAAAAATTTGTAAATCTACAACTGTACCTCATGGTGTTTCACTAACAAAAATTTTTTAAAAAATGTAAGTGATGGAGAATGGGCACTGGTGAAGGGATGGATACTGGATCATTGTATAACTGAAGCCCAGGCACAAAAGTTTGTAAGTCTACAACTGTACCTCATGGTGTTTCACTAATAAAAATTTATAAAAAACCTTGTTTATCAATTACTTCTTTTTTAAAATTTTTATTAGTGAAACACCATGAGGTACAGTTGTGGACTTACAAATTTTTGTGCTTGGGTTATCAATTACTTCTTATAGGTAATTTTTACTGATACCTTAGTAAAATTTTTTTATTTATTCTTAAAAAAAAAGAAAATGTGTAACACCAAAAATTATTGATATTAATCCTAATTCAAAATCTTCTTGAAAAATGAAGAGGCAGGGGCTGGAGCAAAAGCACAGTGGGCAGGGCATTTGCCTTGCATGTGGCTGACCCGGGTTCAATTCCCAGAATCCCATATGGTCCCCTGACACCCTCAGGAGTAAGTGAGAGCATGAGCCAGGAGTAACCCCTGTGCATCGCCGGGTGTGATGCAAAAAGCAAAAAAAAAAAAAAAAAGAAAAAAGAAGAGACAGGAACAACCCTTCATGCAAGACATGAGGATGATATTACCCTTAAACCAAAACCACAGACACTATAAATCAATGTACAATATATCTGATGGAAATACAGATTAGAATTCAGATTACATTTTCGGGGAATGAAATAAAAAAAAATACTTCAGGGAGTTGGGATGGAATAGCTATGCTAGTTATACCCTCAGACTTTAAGATTCTGATGATGGAAAATGAATGGTCCTCACCGTCCATGAAGTCTGAAATAGGCCAGCTGAAGTGCAAGTTGAACAAATGTGTCAGGGTGAAGCTTGTGCTTCTTGGTTACCTTTTTTCCAAAGGATGTAAAGGCACACGACACAATCTGCAGGTCAGATGCCTAAAAAAAAGAATTACAGGGAAACAGTAATAAATCACTTAAGGAGAACACTCTCCACCAATAACCAATTACCATTAGCATTACAGTAATTGTTTAAATAAAGGTATTGATGCTATAATTTTTAAGATGTTTTAAGCTGTCATACTTGGATGACACTCAAATTTATATTCCTAGTAATAAATATAGCAGCAATAAAGAACTGTTTTCGAGGAGGCAGCTACCAAGCAGACAGATCTCAGGGACTCTGAGGGCCCCCCCCCAGCAGTTCTCAGCTAATTAAGCCTGCTATTCAATGCCAAGAGGAGGGCTGAGGATGAAGTTCCTGGCCACTCTGGTAGTTCTGTATGTGTGGAAGGGGGTGGAAAAGTGGGGGGGACCTCCAGTGCTACACCTGAGAGTTCTCAGAGGCCGCCAGGGTTACACCTTGTGATACTCAGCTGGACCATGTGGTGCCAGAGTTCTAACAGCAGTGAGTGCATGCTAGAGATGTACCTAATCCCTATACTTGCTCCAGCTCTTTAAAGAGAACTTTTGCATCCCAAGAAATATTTGCCATTAGGATTTCCATAAGGGAAATAAAGAGTCTGTGAACAGCAAAAAAATTTTTGGGAGGGAGATTGTGCTTAATATACATAAACATATTTTTACTGTTGTGGGGCCACATCAGGTGGTACTCAAGGGTACTCCTGGGGAAGATAAGGGGACCATATGATCCCTGAAATCAAATCTTTGTTGACTGTGTGCAAGGCAAGTGACCTACCCATTGACCCCAAAGATAATTGTATCTATCAAGTTCACCTGCCCCCACTGCAGAAGCATCCAGGAATGTTTCTGGATGCTTCTGGACACAGCCCATCTTCAAGCAAAGGGCTTCGAATTCCTCATCACCAATTACTATTGGTCACCAGTGACACAAGAAGGTTCAGGATTATTTGTAAGAGCGCACAAAGCCAAAATTATCCTTCCCATTGAAAACTGCGAGAGTGAGAATATTTTAAATAATCTCTCTGTCATATGTAGAATTTAAAGAAATATAGTAAGGGAATAATAAATGGCCAAACGACAATGAAACCTGAAAACTGATCTACAGAGCAGAATTTACAATGGTGGGGATGGGGGGGGTGGTGTTGGTAGGGGGTGGTACCCTGGTGGAAGGTGTGCTGGAACCCTATCATTATCAGAATCAAGGTGCTTAAAATCAGATTTTTTTTTCAAAAAGACTGTAAAGATCCTGCAGTGATCTAATAAAGAAGTACCCCAGCAGGGAACTCTTTCTGTGGCCAAAGCAAAGAGAAGTCCTGTAGCAAAGGGAGAGCAAAGGGCAAACTACAGTCCTGCTGAGAGCTGGATCCTGCTGCCAGTGATAATAGCACTTCCCTGATGAGTGGACCTGGGACTAACCTTTACCCAGCTAGAAGAACTGTCTACTTAAAAATTCTTACATGCATTAATAAAAAGAAGAAAATTAATAAAAAGGGAACTTTCAGCTTCCCCCTTCTGACTTGATACTACAACTGGAACAATTTGTCCCAAACCACGGGTCCAGGAAAGTTGCTGAATAGTCTAGGATTTCTTCTGTCTTGGCCCGCTAGATTCTATAACCTTGACAAGACAGAGATTAGAATTCAATCACTGACCCAGAAGAAGCTAATTTTGGCAAATATCTTTTAGCATTTTCCCTGTTCTGTAAACTCCTCTATCTCTAGTATTTCTCAATCTAGTTTATCTTAAGTTCCTTAGCATGAATTTATAGCTGGTTTTCTGCAACTTCCTATAAGACAATTTTATTCAGTTGGACTTTACAGAGTTATTTTGGAGTGCTTCTTAAACTTACTTATAGAAGATCTCCAAACCTACCCACATCCTTTCTTAGTCTTCTCTGAATCAATGATCTAAACCTTGACAACTTTGAAATCTCATAAGAAATGTTTAACAATTTTCAGAATGTCCTGAGAACACATTTGAACAATTCCACATGAAAAGTTAGGTCTGACAGGTCTTCATATGGTGCCACAGGACCAGAAGACCATGTTGGTACACTCAGTTACATGAGGTGACTACTGGTAATCCTGAACAAGTGTTTAGTAATTTGATTTACATCATCTACAACAGAATAATATAAAACTTTGAACAACACAGAAAACATGCATTCCCTTTGCCCAGGAATGACTATGAAAGGAGCCACATTTGAGGAACACTGTCCTAAATTATCTTCTCCTACCCCTCTCAACTCTTTGAAAATTTAAATATTCCTCATGATGAAATGTGTTCAAGAATTGTAAGATTATGTTAATTTACCACTACAGTTTCTTGTGTGAATTATTCATTTCTTTTCTAATAAAGCAGCACCCATAAATATGAAAAGCAAAAATATACCTGTTTTAAATATTGAGCTTTAGCATTGCTGATATCATTTAATATTTTTCCATCCACAGTGAAAACAAGCTCCTCTGGAAGTGGCATATCCCGCACTTTTTCTGAACCCTGTAAATAGGGAAGACTTAAAAACTGTACATCAAGAAAAAGATTGGGAGGGGGAAAGGTAAAATATTTGTTAAACAGACCTTCCATTTTCCTTCATTCTCCAAAATCCTCTCATCGACATAATGGCTGACATTGACCATAACCATTGCATCATAAGGAGCATGCTAAAATGAAAATACACAAGATTTTGAGTTCTTCATGTCAAGGCAAAACTTGAATCAATACTTTATTTTCATTTTCCCAATAATCACAACACAGAAACACAAACAAATCTTGAAACCAATAGGTTCTTGGTAAAAATCTTTTAGACCCTAATTAAAATTTTAGAATTCCAAGACTGCACGGCCACGTGACATTATATGCTACTCATAACCAGCAATACAATACAAATTGTCTAACATTGCCTTTATGGCAGGTATGAGTGCTAGGTGAAAATTCCAAATGATAATGGTAGAACTGGTGTCTAAATATTGAATGTAATCATGTTAAGCGAAATGAGTCAGAAAGAGAGGTACAGACATAGAAAGATTGCATTCATCTGGGGAACATAAAGTAACAAAATAGGAGACTAACACCCAAGAATAGTTGAGATAAGTACCAGGAGGTTCACTCCATGGTTTGGAGGCCAGCCACACATTCTAGGGGAAAAGGGAGCTCAGATAGAGAAGGGAGCACCAAATAAAGGGTGTTGGGAAGATCCTCCCAGGATGGGAGATGCATGTTGAAAGTAGACTATGGACCGAACGTGATTGCCACTCAATGCCTCTTTTGCAAACCACAGCACACAAAAGGAGAGAGAGAGAACAAAAGGGAATGCCCTGCCACAGAGGCAGGGTGGAGTGGGGGGATGGGGGTGGGAGGGATACTGGGTCCCGTGGTGTTGGAAAATGGGCACTAATGGAGGGATGGGTGTTTGATCATTGTATAACTGAAATCCAAGCACAAAAATTTGTAAATCTACAACTGTACCTCATGGTGTTTCACTAATAAAAAAAAAAGTCAATTCATTTTAAAAGTGAAAAAATAAATAAATATTGAATGTAATCAAAGTGGAGAGAGAGTAATGTGGAAATTACCTGCCACAAAGGCAGGGGTAGGGTTGGGATGGGGGCTATACTGGGGTTTTTGGTGGTAGAAAATGTGCACTGGTGAAGGGAGGGGTGTTTGATGATTTTAGGTGGGATACAGGTAAGTAGGGCTTTTGAATAGTGATGTGCTTACAATAAACATGGTTAGTTAGAAATAATATTATTTTTACTGAAAATTAAAGCAGGTATATAGGGGTGTGTGTGTATGACAGAGAGAGAGAGAGAGAGAGAGAGAGAGACATAGACACCACAATACACAGAAATGATTTTAGCACTGTGGACATGCTGCTAGGGAAGACAAATTATCTGAAAGTTAAACTGATATTGAGCATGAAAATCTTTAGGTAAAGTTACAGGCTACCTGGAAAGTGTTAAAAAGCTAAAAGTTGTGTGTATATATCCACAAATGTATTCAGATGTGGCAGAAATAATTTCCAGTAAGCAATACGGAAAAATAATGGACTGAGTTACAAGGGGACTCCAAGTTTGACAGCAGTGTTTAGAGAATTGCACTAGTGAATTTTTTCATCATTTATCTTGAAGGCTAAACATTTTGCCTATTTTATCGGTGGTTTTTTTTTTTTTGGTGACAATTATATCAGGTGTGTATTTTTCTCTGAGTAGCTGCTATCATTACACAAAACATTATTACCACCCAGCGTAAAAGAGAACCTTAAGATGCAGACTCAGCATACTCAGGTCCTTTTCAATGGGCATAATGTAGGTGTCTTAAATATCACCTCAGTACACCTTATACACACAGCTCTGTGGCCCAATGCCAAGACCTAATGCAAAACTTATACCATAGCACACTCTACTAAGTAGTAGCAACCATGACACCAAGAAAGACTGAGGGACTCAATATACAATATGGGAGGTACACTTCCTACCTGCCTGGCTACTGTTCACAGAACAAGACTTGTGTCCTTAAAAAATGCCTTTTCTAATGGCATCTTAACAGTCTGTGTCTACTTTTGAGCTTTACAAAGAATTTCAGGTATCACATTGGTCATCTCACAAAAGCATATAAGCATGACTGAAGGCTCTAAGTCTATTTGACTATTTTTTTTAGCCCAAAGATCTCCAGCAGAAAGGTATCAATTTTCAAACATGGGGGAAAGGGACTAAAGTAATAGTTCAAAGAACCTTGGATTGATCCCTGGAACCCAATGACCTTTCTAGCACAGTTGGTTTATAATACTGGTGACCCCCAGCAACACTCAAAATTTATAGTAAATATGGAAAATTTAATTGCTGGGCCAGGGAAATAGCTCAAAGGGCTGGAATACACATTTTGCATGCTAGGTTGGATCTCTAATACCACACAGTATCCCAACAGCTCATCAGCAGGAGAACCTAAGCGCTGCCAGGTGTAATCTAAACCCTCCACCTCATCCAAATTTAATTACTCTCCTAATGCTTTATTTGTTGAAACAACATCTTGTTTATTTGCCTATTTTATGGGGTTTTTTTTTGTTGTTGTTGTTAAGCCTCATCTGGAAATGCTCAGGAGTCATTCCTGGTGGTGCCATAGGACTATGTGGTGACAGGGATCAAACACGAATTCCTACATGCAAAGTATGTGCTCTACCCCACTGAACTATCTATCTCTTTGGTTCTATCCACAAAAGTTTTGTTTATTTAATTTTTATATATTTTAATCAAATGACAGTGAGATACACAGTTACAAGGTTGTTCATGATTATATTTCAGTCATATAGTGTTCCAGCACCCATCCCTTCATGAGTGTACATTTCCCACCACCAGTGTTCCAGTGTTTCCACACCCCCCCCCATTCTGCCTGTGTCTGTGGCAGGAACACACACACACACACACTCTCTCTCTCTCTCTCTCTTTCTCTCTCTCCCCCTCTCTCCCTCCCTCTCTTTCCTTCTGATCATTAAGGTTTGCAATATAGTACTGAAATATTACCATGTATATCCCACAAAAGATTTAACTTTCATTTCTTACTTCATATAGAAATAGTATGTTTAATATATAACTTAAAGATGTATTTTGGTTCTAAGTCTAATTCTACCCCTTTCTAGCTATACAACTGTAAGATAGTTACTTCATCCCTTAAACAAATTGCATTATATTTTAGAGAATTTAATAATGCTGTTTTCATATAGCAGTTGTGAAAAATATTTTAATCATGTTAATAAAACACTTATAAAACCTGTCCCACAGCAAAGATAATTAACTGCTATTATTAGATATTGCTAGTTATCACATGCTTCCAATGAGCTTTTCTCAAAGTCCCATATTAAAGTCTGTATAGTGAAGACAATAGATAACAAGACTTTAAATACCAATGGGGAAAAGTGATTAATTAATATAATCACAAAAGTCCCTATTCAAACACCAAAGAGCATCACAGTTTTGGATAAAGGATAGGTTTACTATACATATATTTTGCCAATGGTGTTTCCCAAAGGTTAAACTGAAATTTCTCTAATCACCATCAGTCACTAGGGAAACCTATAATTATAGTAACTATAGGAATTATAGGAACAAATTACTGGACAAGGGAGAAATCTCAAAGGGCCAGAGCATCTGCTATGCATGCCAGAACTCCAAAGCTGCATGGTTCCCCAAGCACGGCTGGGAATCATCCTTGAGTACTGAACCAGGAGTAGCCCCCAGCAATGCAGGGTGAGACCCCAAGAGAATAAATAAATTAAAAAATTTATCAAGTGGAGGGATAAATTTATCAGACTGATTTATAAGTATGCAACTACTGTGTACACATAGAAGTCCAGATCAGGGCCACAGGGATAGCACAGTGGGTAGGGTGCTTACCTTGCATGCAGTCAACCCAAGTTCTATCCTTGGCGTCCCATGTGGGCCCCAAGCCCAGAGGAATTTCTGAGCACAGAGCCAGGAGTAACCCCTGAGCACCACCAGGTGTGGTCCCAAAACAAAAAACAACAAAAAAGAAATTCATTTATCAATGTCTCTCAACGTGGTCCTGCAAGGGGTGTGGCATAGGTGTAATCTATGTGAATTCACAGAGGTATAAACTGTGCGAATAGAGTGAAGGGAAATGGAAGAAGAGACAGATGAGAAGCAATAGGGGCAAGGGGCAAGAGATATAGGTACATTGGCGGTATTAAGGAATAGTAGAGCTAAATATCCAGACCACAGAGTCAACAACACTGAAATCACGAGAGCCAAACTTTAATAACCAATCTTAAAAGATGCCTGTCAAGAGAGCAGGCTGGGGTAGGGGTGCAGGGTAGGAGAGAGACCCTGGAATCACTGGTGGAGGGAAGTTGATACTGGGATTGATGATGGAACACTGTACATCAAAAAACCAAATATGAGTAACTTTGTAACTCACAGTGCTTTAATAAAATAAATTTTGGGAAAAAATTTTAATGCCCCCAAAGAAGTCCATATATTAATTAGTGTTTCTCATTCTGATCCCTGTGAGCCCCCAGGATATTCCAGAGATGGGGCACAGGTGTAAACTGTGTGAATTCGGGGCTGGAGCATCAGATTGGGGGCCAACCTGTGGAATTGGGAGGCAGGCACAGGACAGAAATGAGGTTGGAAGGTGCCATGTCAGAAAAAGGCTTCCACACAGGAGAGCTTCTCAGTTGTGCCGAGACATGTGCTCATCAGTGCCAGCACTTTGTATTCAGAGCAGAAATATCAATGAAGTTATTTGCATCTAGAATTCCAGCAAGCAAAAGGATTTGGGTCTGTCAGTAAATATCAAAGTTGAGGGCCAGGACGAAAACTCAAAGATGGCTGGAACACATGGCAGCTCCAGATTCAAACTCTGGCACAGAATGGTCCCTCAAGCAGCAACAGCATGGGATCCCAAGAAATATAAGGCTGTGACCCACATTCTGCTCCCCCTGCCCCTTACCAAATCAAACTAGTGCAAGATGGTTGTTTGGAGGGTTGGAAATGAGGAGAAACCAGATGGTGATTTCCTCTTGATGAGAAGAATAATTTATCCTCATATAAAATATTCAGTTTGAGCAAAGGAGCATACAGTTAAACAAATTCTCAAAATAAGAGTAAGTGAAAATTGGAAAGGTCCAACTGCTCACTCCTGTATAAAAAGTCAATGAAACTAAAAGAAAGCAGACACAGGGAAGCAGATGAAGTGTGACTAATATTACAGTCGGTTTAAGAACCAGCAGATGACTGCTCAGGGGTGGAATATGTAAGAAGAGAGTGATCAACTGTAACTGGAAGTTCAGGCACAAAGAGGAACAAGCAGTCAGGAGGCAGTGGGCTACTTCTCAAAGGAGAGTTTCCAGGGAATTGTGAGGATAGATCAAACTAACAAGTCAAGAAGAACCAAACTATGAACTAAGGAAAATATAGGCAATTAACAAGAATTGTTTTGTCAACAATGAACTCTAAGGATGAGGAAAAACAAAAAATCTTTAAAATGACTTACAACCTTTAGTTTCAAGGTGCTACTATATAGGCACCTAGTTTCATTAAGAACGCTCATCAGCAACTCCACTTTCCGGGATGATAGCTACTTTATTTTTCTTTAGGCAATCAACTGTACTCCTTCTGCAGTGGTATCTGAAGGATACTTAGTCATTCCCCAACATTCCTAGGTTTGGCATGTGACAAGAAAGCAAGAGCACCTGGTGGCCCAAGTGGGCACAAAATTCGCAGATGCCAATCACAATCAAGGAGCATTATTCTCAGGATTCTTATTGGAACCACTGGGGCAAAAATTCAGGTCTGTCCATGGGGAATGTTACTATATAAAGTGAACTGAAAAGATAAGAGATTATAAGCAATTAAGAAGATATGATATTGTACTATGAGTAGTACAAGTGAGTAACTTGCCTAAAATTGAAGGTAATCATAAGAAAACAAGACCTCAAAAATGAAGGAACAACTCTTACAAAGGCATTTGGAAACTACAAACCAGTCTTATAAAATTTAGTTGTATCCTACATAAATAAATATCCTCTATATTTTAAAAGAAGATACCACATTTACTATTTATTTGGTTTTGCGGTCACACTTGACAGTGCTCAGGAATTACTACTGGCTGTGCTAAGGAATTGTCCTGGCAGGGCTCAGGGGACAATATGTAGTGCCAGGGATTTGAACAGAGGTCAGCTGTGTACAAGGCAAGTGCCTTACCTCCAGTACTATCTGCCCCAAATATCTTTTTGAGCAAATGTCAATTTTACTTAGGTTCCTACCTTCTATAACTTAAAAACATTGATTGATGTAACTATTGAGCCCAAATCATGTAACACATCTCTTTAGTGTTTTAGTCACTAAACACCTTTTGGAGAAGCTAATGAGACAACAACAAAAGGTTATCACACTATACCAAAAAATATACTTTATTAAAATATTATAATGATATTTTAAGTGTGTATTACAACTCTTTTTTAACTTTCTTGGCTTACAGACATCCTGAATATCTCAGAAAATGTTAATGTTGGACTTATATTAAAGAAAACAGAGAAGTTATTTATCTTGTAAGTGAAAGAGAAAAAATAGCAATAAATACAAAACATTTCTATCTCTTTAAATAGTTACAAAGAACACTTGTCATGTTGGGAAAAAAGATATAAAATTACTAGATAAACCTAGAAGTCTATTCATATACATTTATTTCTCTGTGCATAGAACATATACATAATGCTATTATCTTTAAAGGTAAGATAGATTGCTATTAATTCTCAGTATATAACTGTGGGGTTTTCCAGCTTTTACTTCATGGGCTGGGATGTGGTATAAGTAGAGTACATGACCTACACATGCAGGGCTGGGGGAGTGGAGGAGGGGAGGAGGAATGGATGGAAGGGGGAGGGATGGGACGCTGTAGGACTAAAATCCAATCATGAATGACTTTGTAACTGTGTATCTCACTGTGATTCAACTAAAAAATTCCTCAGTACCATGTGGTCTATGAGGAGTAACCAAAAATAAATAGCATGTACTTAGATTAAAACCTAAGCAAATTTCATCAGACAAATATACATCAAACTGCTAGCTGTATTACAGGTGAAAAGAACTTGTCCTATTCACTTTTACTGAGGTTTCATAATGAAATATTTTTACTGTCATAAAAATAAAGAAGTGTTTATGTACTATCACAGCACAGATGTATGTATTATAGTTTGCTGTAATTAAATTAACTACAACAATTAAAGGAGAAAAATAACTTTTGTGATTTACTTACATCACAGCTACAACCAAAAACTCCATTAGAAAAGGAAATCATGTTATAGGATTTGTCACCCCAGCGTACTGTTGGATCTCCAATAAGGGTCATTGCAGTTGCCTAAAAATATTTCACAATTAAAAGGACTTTAATATTGATTTATAACTTAAAAACACATGTTTTTCTTAACTTCTTCAGGTAAGCTGAAGTTAACAAAACGATAACAGTTATAGATAAAAGCAATAACAATGATGATAGTAATTCAGTCCTGACTGTCATGAGTTCTCAAAAATCTTAAGTTAAGAAATGGGCACTTGATCATTGTATAACTGAAACCCAAGCACAAAATTTGTAAGCCTATAACTGTACCTCATGGTGTTTCACTAATAAAAAAATAAAAAAAAAAATAAACAGCTCTTTAAAGAAAAAACAAAACAACAAAAAAAAAGAAATCTTATCAGAAATTATGTACCAGATAGCCCAGAAAAGGTCTATTATTCACTCCTTAATATAGTTTATAGGGCTGGAGAGATAGCACAGCGGGTAGGGCGTTTGCCTAGCAAGTAACAGACCCAGGTTCGATTCCCAGCATCCCATATGGTCCCCTGAGCACCGCCAGGAGTAACTACTGCGTGCAGAGCCAGGAGTAACCCCTGTGCATCACCAGGTGTGACCCAAAAAAGCAAAAAAAATTTAAAAATATATATAGTTTATAATAGGCAGCAATAAGAATGCTGACATAATACTTATGGGAATTTGGAGAATATACAATTAAAAAATAATCAGATTATATCACAAAGAAAGTTCTGTTTTTGTCACATTCTATCATGTATGCCCATGCCCATGTACATGTACGTATTTGTAGTGGGCTCAATATAAACATACATCTAACTATAGATTGCAGTAAAAGAAATTAGTTTGAAGGCTAGTGGAACATTCTTCCAAGAATTTTGGTGATCCCCTAGAAAATATTTACAGATTAAAAAGAATACTTTAGTCCTATACTAAATTTCTCCTCACAGAGTTGTTTCTTTTCCTTTCCCTTCTATTTCCCAGTAAACTATTCTATTATTTTAAGAAAGAGGAAGAGTTGGTTTAGCTACCAGACTTATTGATCTTGTATTCCCTATTAAAAACTTGAGGAATTATTTGTTCCTTATTTAAAACACTTAATGACAGTGTGAAAAAATTTAATTTAATAAATTTGCAAAAGGCCATGAGACATAGATGTAGGTATGAATGACTGTTACCCTTTATTATTTCCCAGGAAAAAGTAATACTAGCCAAGAGGGTGAGCGAGGTGGGTCCAGAGAAAGCAACACATACCCTTAAAGTCAGTGTGTTCAATAAAATTGAATGATAAATTACTTACAAAGTGATAAAATCCTTAAGATGGTCTTCAACAAAGTAAGGTTATAGACACAACTAAATGTGAATTATAAGTAGGCTCTCGTGTCACTTTTGCCATGAGACACTCATTTAACTTAATGTACTCCACACATTTTCTATTTATGCAATCAACAAAAAGGATAGGTAACGTTGACGTGATACAGTCATATGTCTTTAAACAATATATGTACAGATAAATAGACCTAAACAATGTGGCAAAAAATTCAGTATGTACTATTTATTTATAATAAACTTTATGCATACAGAATGATTAATTTTAAAAGTTTTAAGAAGCTGCATATTTTAAAAAATCATCCAATATATGCAGGAGGCCTCCAAACTTTATTTTGAAGGAAATAACAAACAAGATAGTTAAGTACCTGAGAATAGTCTTCTGGTGTTACTTGTGGACTGCTCTCCTCCAAGGAAAACACCAGTAAACTAGTTTGAATTTTTTCTAACTTTGTCAAATTCTCTGGATCAAGACTAATCAAATATTCTCGTGCCTATGGAGAAAAGAGATGATGATGAAATGTTACAAATTAAAGGCAACATAGCAGAAATTTCAAAAACAAGTGAAGAGGGAAAAGATTTACTAAGAAGAGCAGAATCTATTACCTTTGCCCATTGAGTTCGCTCTTCACTAGTTAATGCTGGTATTCCAGGCCCATTAGGTTCACTCTGGCACTTCTGGTAGATATATTTAAATTGCCTTATAGGAGATGAGAGAAATGATTTAAAAAGAGCAAAAGTCTATCGTTCACTCCTTAGTGTAGATAGTAATAGTTAAGCAATAATGCTTGTCAGTAGTGGAATTAAAAAAATTATTTGCTTGTGTTTATATATTTTGATATATTACCAAAAAGAAGAACTTATGATCTCAGCCATAATAGATTTAATTTCTGAAATAGCAGTGTTTCTGGTGTGGTGTGAAAAAGTGAACCATGGACTTCATACATGCAAGACATGCACTCTATCACCAAGTCACTTAGCCCATCACATTTTTTAAAGTAATTATGTGGGAATGCAGAGATAATATAGAGGTTCACGTTTAATTCCCATCTCCACTTGGTGCACCAGCAAGTGCAGCCCTGGAAGCCCCATCAGTTCTGGGTGTGGCCCTGGAGGACCCTGCATCACTGGGGCGGCTCAGGAACCCAGGCAATGCAGGGCTTGAGTGGCATCACATCCGTGGGCCCTTGTACTGAACTTATGGTCTGGTTGGCCAAGAATCACTGGTGGGGTCCCCAGACCTTCTGAACACTGCCTGGGAGCCAAAAAACAAAACCAAAAAAACCCCAAAAAGTAATGACACAGTCTGTTGACATCAAAAAAATATTGACAAGAAAATTATGTGATTTCTTCAAAGTGTATATGCAATTTTGTTATGTAAATAATTTTGGTAAGTAGACACTTATAGTAGATAAGCAGATTTCCTTACAGTGGGAAATAAAAACTATTCTGATAAGTATTCCTGCAAATATCATGCATACTGTATCTAACTAAAATCTAGGACTTAGGTTCAGTATTTGTGTCTGATCTCTACAATGTAAAGAGCATGATGCTAGTTTTAAACATTTTCACATGTCTTTGTTATATATAACCATTATATTATAAATACTATTAGCCAAGGATTATTTCCCCCATATCATTCTGCAATCAAAGTTTGAAGTGTTTCATGTGGTTTAAAACCACAACAGTGTTTCACTAATAATAAAAAAATAAAAAAAAATTAAAACCACAATGTAGGCAAAACCCAAAATTCATCCATTAAAAATACTTTATCAGTCAAATATCAGCAGAGGTTTAATTTCAGCAGTATTTCCTCAGGACACATTGAAAAACAACTTCAATTTTAAATCTCCTAGCTAAAATTATTTCCTCTATTTTCATTTGAGAAAGTAGAATAGATATAATACTTGCCAATCAAAAAGAACTCAAATTGGCAGTGGGAAAAAATAAAGGCTTCCAAGCATTTCTCAGCAAGTGAGCTAATTAACTTAAATGATCAAAAGAAACCATGAGGATCATCCCTTATTTGTGGCTTCATCAACTCTGGAAAGTATTATTCACTCGTATAATTTTCTATTCCTGAATTATTTCTGTAACATTCATAAAGAAATAATTTACTTGCCCTAAGTTCTCCCTCTCTATTAGAACTCTAATGGATCAGAAGAATTTCTTCAACTACAATTCTGAATCTATACTGGGAGCAGCTTGCCTCACTTCTTCCTTCATGATTTTCTTGTCCTTGATAACTATTGTTTTGCTTCAACTACAAGTACGGCTTCCTGATTGTGTAAGTAAATCATGCCTTTTTTAAATAACAATATAGATATATCTGGAGGATATTATATTAAGTAAAATAAGTTCATAGAGAAGGACAAATACTACACAAAATCATAATATGATTAGTCCAACTTGTAAAGCAGAGTACAATGGCGGTTAGTAACGATAAGGGGGAATGGAGGACTATGTCAAGAGTTCCAAGTTTTACTTATACAGGATGAGCAAATCCTAGAGCTCGTCTGAACAACACAGGATTCTGTGTTAAAAATACAACATTGCATACCTAAAATTTTGTTAAAAGGATAGCTTGCCCCAAATAAAGGATGTTGGGAGGACCCCCCAGGATGGGAGAAGCATGCTGAAAGTAGATTATGGACCAAACATGATTGCCACTCAATGCCTCTTTTGCAAACCACAACACCCAAAAGGAGAGAGAGAACAGAGGGGAATGCCCTGCCACAGAGGCAGGGTGGGATGGGGGGATGGGGGGTGGGAGGGATACTGGGATCCGTGGTGGTGGGAAATGGGCACTGGTGGAGGGATGGGTATTTGATCATTGTATAATTGAAACCCAAGCACAAAATTTGTAAGTCTACAACTGTACCTCATGTGTCTCACTAAAAAAAAAAAAAAGGATAGCTTGCACGTTAACCATTCTTATAATGAAATTAATAATCAATAACAGAAAGCATTTAGAGTTGATAAAGTATATATTGTTTCACAAGTATTTATGTAACTTCAAATTCATTGAGTTGCATATAATATATGCAATTTAAATAATCAACAATAGAAAACATTTAGAGGTGACAGAGTATATATAGTTTCACAAGTATTTATGTAACTTCAAATTCATCAAGCTGCATATACTATATACAGTTTGTATGTCATGCCTAAATAAAATAGGTTTATAAAAAATAAACTTTCTTATAAGCCAATTTAATTCAGTAAAAAATTAATCATCTGCTTAATTTTTTAAAAGGTATAGATTTGGTAATAAGCATAGTCCTTCTTGGTTTGGCTATAAATAAACTACTGTTTTTCTTTCTTTTTTTTTCTTTTTGCTTTTTGGGTCACACCCTGCAATGCTCAGGGGTTACTCCTGGCTCTGCACTCAATAATCACTCCTGGCAGTGCTCGGGGGACCATATGGGATGCTGGGAATCTAACCTGCAAGGCAAACACCCTACCCGCTGTGCTATTACTCCAGCCCCAAACTACTATTTTTCTAAATATTCCCAGCATATAAAGAATAAGGAATATGCATCTGTACTAATATGAAAATATCACTGAGTTTTTCTGTGTCAATAAACTGCAGAAAATATCTAAAGTTGTACTTTTTAAAAATGTATACATATTTTTGTATGTGCCTAAATTTGGGCACACGCAAAAATAAATTCCACACAGATTATTATTATAAATGTAAAAGAAAAAACAAACTTGAGAAGACATGAACATTTTTTTTTTTTGCATTGAATAAAGGAAGCACTGTAGCACTGTCCTCATGTTCATCGATTTGCTCAGGCAGGCACCCATAATGTCTCCACTGTGAGACTTGTTACTGTGTTTGGCATATCAAATACATCACGGGGAGCTTGTCAGGCTCTGCCATTTGGGCAAGACACTCTCAGTAGCTTTCCAGGCTCTCTGAGAGTAATTGAGGAATGGAACCCAGGTGGGCCATGTGCAAGGCCCTATCAACTGTGCTATCACTCCAGCCCAAAAAACTGGATAAAGGTAGAAAATTTAAAACAAAGTGGATGAAGTATAATTTAAACAGTAAAAAAAATTAACTGGACTATATTACAATTAAGAACTTTTGATCAAAAAGGCATTTTAGAGAATGAAAGGGTAATTATATAACATCTTCTCTGTATTTCTACACATAAAACAATAAAGAGATTACATACAGAATACATAAGGAACTCATACATAACTCATATGCTAGCGCAAGTGCTTATTAGTATGACAAGTTTGAAAAACAAGAATTACTTCCCAAGTCTACTGAATGTGTCTGTATATACACCCACACTCTTGGACTCAGCAGCTCCTCTCTTGGGTGTGGTTAGAAAGGCCCTCACACTGAGATAATTATTCCCTGGAGAAAGCTAAAGCAGAGCAACTGGGAAAACAATGTGAGAGGCATTTTGAGTACTGAAAATGTTCCTAGGTTAATATGGGTGGTGGCTTACATGAGTTTATTTCTGGCTTCTGCACTTTGTACATATATATAAAACTTAATAGAAATAAACATGTCTAAATAATTCAACATCTAGTTACTAAGAAACTTGAGCAATTGTATAAAAATACTTCTTAAAATCCTGTTACATTTTTAGAAGAAGTAAATCAATGGTTCTGTAACTGTTAAGTTTTTGAGTGTCCTTACTTAAATATTAGAGAAACATACTGAATTATTTGTAAAGTATAGCACTGTAGCACTGTCTTTCCATCGTTCATCGATTTGCTCGAGTGGACACCAGTAACGTCTCACAAGAAATTGTGAGACTTGTTGTTACTGTTTTTGGCATATCAAATACATCACGGTGAGCTTGCCAGGCTTTGCTGTGTGGGCAAGATACTCTCAGTAGCTTGCTGGGCTTTCCAAGAGGGGCGGAGGAATCAAACCTGGGTCTGCCGCGTGCCAGGCAAATGCTCTACCCGCCGTGCTATCGCTCCACCCCATTTATAAAGTATATTATGTTTTATATCTCCTTTAAAATAACCCATGAGAATAGTGGAAGGACACAAAAAATAAATTTGAACTAAAACTATTAGTTTATAATTATTAAAATAAGGAATTGATAATTAAACTAAGAGATAAAATTATGGAGGTTTCATTTTTGAAATACACTTTAAAAACTTAAACCTCAATAATACTGATATGTATTCTATATTTGAAAACTACTTTTATGTAATATTTATAAAATATTAAGTATTTTTAAAATACTAAGGGCTAGGGGCCAGAGCAATAGGACAACAGGGAGAGTGTTTGCCTTGCAAGCAGCCAACCCAAGTTCAATCTCCAGCATCCCATATGGTCCCCTCCGAGCATCACCAGGTGTGACCCCAAAAAAGGCAAAATAAATAAATGAATTTTAAAAAACACTAAGGTCTAGAGATATGGTTCAGTGACAGAGCTGTGTCATATATACGAGGCCTGGCTTTGATCCCTAGCACTGCAAAATATTTTTTAAAAACAACAATATGCGCACATAAATTCCAACAGATCTGGAAGAACAGTATATATCAAACTAGTAAAAGTGACTAATTCTGAAGAAGGAACTAGGAATAGTAATATTCTTTTACTCCAAGAGAATATATTCATATATATAATATTAAAATTGAACTAAAAAACAGATTTTTTTAATCAGCATATATTAAAATCTTTTTTTTTTTTCAGTTTACTGTCAACTTATAAGAAAGGAAAATCTGGAGTTGGAAAGAAGTTAAGGTGTGTGCCTTGTATGTCTTCACCCCAGCACCACCTGGTCCCCTGATCACTACTTGGGAATGACCCTTGAGCACAAAGCCAGGAATAGACTCTAAGCATAGCTGAGTGTAGCCCCAATTCTCCCACCTCTGAAAAAAAAATCAAACATCTTTTAAAAATTGAAGCAAAAATTTCTGATCTAACAAGACTCAAGAAAGGAGTTTGAAAACCTGAGTATCTCTGGTGGGGTGATCAAACTTCCTTCACATAGTACATCAAAGAGGAAAATTCGACCTCGACACAGAATTACAACGTGAGTTGGAGAACGTCCTTCACTCTCTGGAAAAACAAAAGCGAAAAACACAAGACTCAGCTCTATCAAAATTAAATGAGTAAAGTTACATAATTACACCTAAAGAATAAGCATTTCTCTAATAGATTATTTATTCTATTCATGTGACCATAAATATCCAAATAAATAAAATTTTACATTCTCTTGAAATCTGTCATGTCAAACATCTAATAATTTATGGAAATTTCAAATATATGCATATCTTAAAAATCAAAGAGCCAGAGAATTAAAGATGCATGAATTAAGGTGCTTGTCATGCATGCCTTGGATGCTCCTTTAATTCTTAGCACCACATGTGGTGGCCTGAGTCAAGGTTAAGGGGTAATTGCTGAGCACCGCTGGGTATGCCCCCCACCAAACCAAATCAAAACAAAACAAAGTCCTAAAATCCAAACTATTGCACGGTTTTCCACTTTTATTTATGGATAAAACTGGGAAAGAAAAGAAAACGATTAGAATTCAGATTTGTTCCAATTACTTTAATGTGGGCTGGAGCCATAGCGCAGCTGGTAGGGCATTTGCCTAGCATGCAGCAGACCCGGGTTCGATTTCTCTACCCCTTTCGGAGAGCCTAGCAAGCCACTGAGAGTTTCTCTCCCTCACGGCAAAGCCTGACAAGCTACCCATGACGTATTTGATATGTCAAAAACAGTAACAAGTCTCACAATTTGTTGTGAGATGTTCACTTGAGCAAATCAATGAACAACAGGAGGACAGTGACAGTGCAGTGCTACTTTAATGTTGATTGCTCATTCAAGATTAATATTTATTATTTATCAAAAGGGCACTGTATGCTTGAGTGAAAAGGAGAAAAATTTCCCAGTCTGTGGTTATACTACAGACTGACTTGGTTGTAATAATTCTTGAGCCGTTGAAGGCAGATTCTTTCAGCACACCTTAGTTTACAGAAATTCGTGCCCTATAATCCCTCAGACAATTCTGACTCAGCCTCATTTTCAAATAGGACTAGTCCTGTCTGACTAGGCTTTTCATATATCAACCCTACCCCTTCTGTCTAAAAAAGGGAAAATAATGGGGAAGAAAGATAAAGAAAATTCACAGGAAGGAAATTTACTGTCTGACATCATGTACAAGGAACTGAGCAAAATGTTTTCTACATATTATATTACAAAATCTCATCAACTAGGAGGCTGATCATCTGGCAGCGCCATTTATTTTCCCTCTTCTACTTCCTCAATACCTAGGAGCTAAAGCAGTACTACTTCCAAACAATTTATTCTTGCTTCTCCTTCAAAGACTCCATAACATCAATGGATCAAAATCTTACTTTGATATTTACTACAACTGCCCTTTATTGCTATTATAAATATTTATGTCTCAGGGATGAATAGAATAACATAATTCTGATGCCAAATTAATCGCCAGAAGTTTAGGAGGATGGCAGGAGGATTCTAAGGTGTCATACATGAGCAAGAGAAGTAAGTGAAGGGAAAGCATAAATGACAGAATTATCTACAGGAAGAGATTTCCAAGCAAAGGAAACAGCAATTAGGACAAAAATGAAATGGTTTGAAGAAAACAAGGTTTGTGCAACTGCAGCAGTGAAAAAGACAGAATAGTAGATAAGGTTGGAGCCAGATGATACTGGCCTCAAAAAGCTCTTTCAGCTTCAAGAATCTTCCCATATACATTTCTTAGGAACACCTTTCTCCATCTTCAAAGCCAGAAAGGGAGGACATTGCTATTCTCCTGTTGCCCTACCTTTGATTCTCTCTTCTGAATTTTCTCTGTGTTTATAAAAACTCATAATTACTCTGATCCAGCTCGAATAAACCAGAATAACCTTCCAATCTCAAAGTCATTGATTAATAACCTTAATCATCCTTTTCCATGTAACCTAACATGATAGAAAGGTTACAAGTATTAGAAAATGCACGTATATGGTTAAGGATGACAATCTATCACATACAGGCTGGTAACTTTGATCATGAAAAGACTGCATTGTACCTGTTGTGAATAATAGAAGTTCATTAGCTGAGACCAAGGAAGGAAAAAGTTATGAGAGTCTGCTCCAAAACTAAGTAAATAACCTCACTAAAGAACAATCAGGGATGTAGGCCAAGGGTAGAGCACTTGCCATCCATTTAAAAGTTCTGACACCCACCACAAAAACAAAACAAGAATATAGGAAGATATAGGACCACTTGAGCTGCAACCAAGATCAATGGTAAGGTTTTAAAATTTTCTCTGGCCAAGTGAATCTAGTGTAGGTATCTTTGAATTATAAAGGTTAAAATTTAGAATGTGCTTCAAGTGGATAGTCACAGTAAAGAACAAAAGAAAAAAAGTGAAGACTAGGTACGGGGAGGCAAAAGTCAAAACATGAAGAACCAGTGAGACAGCATACAGCAGCTAAGATAACCAGATGGCGGGCTCCACAACTCCTGGAGAATTCTCCGGGTCCCATACTAAGCCGATATCACCGAGAGGTCCCAGATGGGGTAGGTGCTGTCTCCCCGCCTTCTCCAGATGGAATCCCAGTGAACATGAGCTTCTACAAGCATAGCTCCGTTATGTGGGTACCAGGACTATTTTCCGAAACTTGCGGCCACTTACGTGGCCACGTGACATTTCCTGATATGCAAAGTGATCAATGGAAAGTAAATGATCTAGCGTTTGTTCCTGAAAAACAGGCTTGAATGGTGGTAGGAAAATCTGAGCAAAATATAATGCCCAACCAAAATGCATCTGGACTGTGCATTTAACTACGGTGCTATGCCTCCCTGGGAGGGGAAGGGTGTCTGTCCCTCTGCCTGTCCTCCCCTTGCAGCAGCAGCATGGTGGCCTGCATGTTTCTGAGCCTAATGAATAGCAAGGTATGAGACTGCATTGACAAGGCACATGGGGCCTCATGGGATGGGGCTGGAATCGGCCGTGCTCCCCACCATGACAATGCTCTGGGTTGCCACACCTCCTCTGGCTTCTGAACGACCATGATCCCAGAGCCACACATACCAATTTCAAAACCCAGGGGCTTCTGGCAGTAATTCCTCTAGGTTTATTATTAAAATATCAGAAATCCAAATTCGCGGGGCTGCTATTGTGGCCACATGGCATCATATGCTCTTCAAAATCAGCAATAGAAAACAAATTACCTAATGATGTCTTTGTGACAAGTCTGAATGTTGGGGAAAATTCCAAATAATAATGTTGGGTCTTTTGTCATAATATTGAATGTGATCGACGTAGAGAGAGAATAAATTGGAAATCTGCCACACAGGTTGGGGGTGGTTGGGAGGGGGGGTATACTGGGGTTCTTGGTGGTGGAAAATGTGCATTGGTGAAGGGACGGGTGTTTGATCATTGTATGACCAACCGAGACTTGAATTGAAAGGCTTTGTGACTGTTTTCATGGTGATTCAATAAATTTTTAAAAAAAGAAAGAAAAATTGAACTAAAAAAAAAGAAACCAATGATAAGTAACTGAATTTTAAGTCACAGTATAGTCAAAGAATCAGGCAAGGTAGAGCAGTAAAGGAAGTAGAGAAGAAAGATGCTTATTACTTTGTCAAAGGTAAAGGAGTATTTGGGAACAAGATCAAGGACAGGCATGACTTGGGGTTAGGTGTACCGAATCTTACAGGAAGGGAGTGAAGGAGAGAAGAGGCAGCAAATTACCTACAATGGAAAGCTAAAATCTTCAAGAATGTGACTAAGGGACTAAATGCAAATGAAGGGGAAAGATCTAGAGGAAAGTCACTGTGGCAAGCAATGATAATTTAACCTAATGATATGCTTTTTTCCAAGCGTTCACAATGTGAAGGGAAAAATGAAAAGGCAATGAAAAATTAAGGGGACACCAAGATCTCTTTCATGCCTCCAAATACCAAGCAAAAGAGAAGAAAAAAGAAGAAAAAGAACATCCCTGCTTGAGATGCTTATAGGGAAAGTTCAAAGAATAACTAGGCTTTTTTCCACAACAGTACTTTCTAGAAAAAAAAGTAAATATTCACAAAGATTTAAAATAGGATGAATTTTTCTGACTATAATTTTCAAAAAGTACAGCAGAAGTGGTTCGGGAGGAATGGGCATGAGTCACATTAGTTCAAAATCTAGAACCAATTAGGCTAAGAACAAGTCCATGAACCCAGACAACAAGAGTAATCACAGAAAGGCTGACCTTCCTGGGTAAAATGGGGATGAATGGCATGAGTTCTAACTATGACACTAACCTCTCAGCCACAGAAGCTGGCAAATTGCCTACTGGATCAACGCATTTCTTCAATTTTCTCTTTATTCAGCATAGATTCCATGGTTCAACATAAATTCTCCCCCATTAAAAAAAATAGCACCTAATAAATCCTTTACTGCCTCACTTTTTCTTTGTTTCTGACTATTGCTGAAGAAAACAACACACCAGATAATCAAACTTTAAAACACATAAACCTAACTTAAATGGGTACTTAGCTCTCCTCAGCTACACTATATTTCCACAGCAGGTCTCCTTTTCCACTTTCCAAAAATGACTATTTCAAACCTCTTTTGTCCTCTCACCTTCCAACCCAGCTGATGACCTCAGCCCTTACTTCACCTAAGAAGAAACAAGTAGTACACAGGACCTTCTCTCTTCTACAAAATTGGCCAAGTTTGCATCTAGATTAATTTCCCAAAATTCCTTGGTCTACTCTCCCCTTTCCAGAAAAAAAAAAAATTACTCCATGCTCCTGGAAATCTACCTTTAAAAAAACAAACAGAAAATCTGTCTCAGTGAACCAGAGCTACTACCACCACTCCTGGACGGCTCTAGTGCACCCCTGAGAGGGGATCACCTACCCCAGATGCATACTTTTTAAAATCCTCTCAACTGTGTACCTCCCCCACCTCTGTTCTTGACCTTCTCAATGATTTTTGGTTCATTATCCTTGCTCGGGCAAGATTATTTTTTTCTTCTCATTATTTGTATGGTATAATATAACCCATCTTTTTTCTTTCTTTCTTTATTCTTATTTTTGTTATCTTTATTATTTTCATTATAATTTTTCATAATTTTTTCTTCTCTTATTTGTATGGTATAACAACACCCCAACATTGTATGGTATACATGCCATTTTAGGGAAAAAACAAAACAGCATATCAGCACTTTTTTCCCCCCCAAGTATTATTTCATTGCTGAAACAATATCTTCATCTTGTCTTTCAGAGGCTCCAATTGAGCTCCCTTCCTTAACTTTCATTTAGGCCACTCTTGTCAAAGGCAGCCTCTCTACATATCATGCTGATGAATCTAATGGTTACTCTCAATTTTTGTCTCGTTTGACCTCTCGGAAACTTTAGATGAAATACCTCACTTAGTTTTTTAGGAGACCACTGTTCTTATTTCATTCCTACCTTTCTTCATTTATTTTGCTAACTTTTCTACCCCTAGCCACCAAATACTGCATTTAATTATGATAAAGATGAATATAAGGCAGGGGGTTGAGAGAGCTCAAAGGGCTAGAACACATGCTTTGCAAGAAGTCACCACAGGTTCAATTAGGTTCAGTAATAAACCATAGACTAGAGAGCTGTGATTACAAAAAGGGGAAGTGTTGGGGGTTTTGTCCACGAGGCTGTGGTGGAGGGATGTGGGTGGTGGTTGTGGTATGGCAATACACCCTTAAGGAGGAGTGAAACTACACCCCAAAATACACAGTTACATAAAATATTATCTCAACAAAAAAGTTTAGAAAATCCATTCCCATACATTATTTCATTACTATGAAAGTTCATAAAGACTTTGTTTAGTCAAAATTCAGTAGTAAATATTGTTTAAAATAGCATACTCCAGTAAGCCTTAGTGAGTTCATGCATGTGCCCGCCCACACACACACACACACACACACACACACACGCACAATGCCCCCCCCCCATACAAATCCTAATGTCTTTAAAAGTATTCTCATTTTCTACTTACCTGTCTTAAAATAATTCTCAACGGAATCTCTAGTTATTCCTGGTATCTTGCAGGTGGAAAACAGCATACGGAATTGATTCATATCCAGAGGAGTACTTCCAACTTTGTGAATAGGTATTTTTTCTCTATTAAAAGAAAGTATTTTAATCAAGAAATCATTACAAAACTTAAAATCAAGCGGTCACAACTGTAGCATTCATTCCCAAATAAATAACGCTTTTCAAAATTTTGCCATCTGAGTCTTTGGGTAAATCAGTTATTAAATTCACATAAGTAGCCTTACGTTCTTAGTAGTTGCCAATAGTTCAAGTTGTGCCAAAGACATATACTTCCTCTTTCTAACTGAGTGCCTTCTTTTGGAGACCAATAATGTTCAATATGGGCAGCAGGACCCGCAAAGTTGACATTCAGTTGTGAAGGCATGCGAACATCCAGGTAGGCAACATTCAGCCACCATTCTTCCAGCTAAAAGCAATTAAAAACATCAGGTTACGGCTTCTTTTAATACTTGAATGCATTACTGCTGGCCACAAAAAAAATGTGAAAGACTACATCGCTCTTTCTAAAGTTATTCTTCAGCACTTAAAACACATTTTCTTGTTAAACCAGTGGTTTTCAACTTTTTTACAACTGTTGACCAGAGTTGAAAATCCACTTTTAAAAATCACAGATGCCAAAAAGTGTAGTAATTGTAATAATTTGTTTTTAGACAAAGATACTAAATTCTATTCAGTTTACATATACTATCAAAAACATGGAAATGAAAGAAATGAAAGGTACTGTCAGAATAATCATTTTAAAGTCACAAATGTAACAACATTGATATGTTTTCTCAGAATTTCTGAATTACAATAAATATTCTACAAATTCTCATCTGATAACAATGATCAAGATTCACACAAATTTTCTTTTATGGTAGTATTACATAATATTGTAGCAGAAACATAGAAACTTTTAAGTATGCTTAAAGTTAGCTGACTTAGATTTTCACATATTTTCTCTGTGACCATATTTCATAATATGCAATTGAAGTACTTATACATTAGTAGGCAGATATCAACCCATTACCTAGAGATCTTTTGTAGGAAATTAATGTTATAAATCAGCATTCTTCAACTATTTTACACCTGTAGACTAGCACCTGTCTTGAATAATAGTTAATGTACTGGCAATTTTAACCAAGACAACAGACCAGTGGTTCACACCCTGGGCAATGGACCGTGAAAACCATTGGTTGAAGATCATATAAGTTATATCTATAAGTAACCACTGAAAAGTTATGTGAAAAGGAATGCAGAGAACAATTCCATTGCCTTCACCATGAGTTAATTGCAATCATTTAAGACTCAAAACCTTAAAAGAATCTATAAAGAAACCTGGAGAATAAAATTTCATTGTCTGTATAATCTCTGAGGTGGCTAGAGCAGACCCCGGTGGCTCTCCCTCTCAACATCCGGGTTGGGTGGTATCAAGCCACTCCCCCACCCAGGGCGGCCCAAATCATGGAGCAGACGGAGGAGGAAACAAGGGCCAAGCCAGTTGTCCCAGTCTTACTAAGATCCCCATTCCAGTCTCACACTGCCCCTCAAGACCGTCTCCTCCTGTCTCTCCCGCTCATCAATCTGTGCTCCATCTCACAGACTGGGCTCCCTCTCTCCATGTGCCTGCTCCTTCTCTCTCTGTCCGCTTTGCTAGTCTCTCTGCGCCCATCTTGTAGCCCTGCTCTCTCTCTCTCTCTCTCTCTCTCTCTCTCTCTCTCTCTCTCTCTCTCTCTCTCTCTCTCTCTCTCATATCTCTCTCCAACTCCCTTGTCTCTCCCCAACTCCCCAGCTACACCCAGTCCAGTAGCAAAATCAACATAAGAAAGCCCTTTCTGTGCTCACAGGGCAAAATACCACTTAAGGCGTTTTTCTCCTCTCTTCAGTTCAATAACTTAATTAACATCATAATTAACATCTTAATTCTATTTCTTAATATTAGTTATTTTGGATGGACACAGTAAGAAATACATTGAGCTTGTAGGGTGGCTCTCCTGGGAAAATCTCACCACAGACTCAGACAACAGTGTTCAGGCCAGATTAATCATTCCTAATTCTAGCAGGATCTGAATCTAGTTACTACTTTTTGGATCATGGCGGAACTTGTCCACGACCATGCTCTTAACTTATAGTTAAGTACTATGGTGCTTTGGCCAGGCCCATTTCTATGTCAGGGTAGCACATAGCTCACAGCTTGCCCTGGGTCCATCCAGTCCCTCATTGGGACCCTGCTTTGGGGGTGCTAGGAAGTAAGGGCAATTGAGGCTTAAGTTGAGAGAACAGATGTCCAGGAGGTAAATATTATTAGAGTCAATTAACTCCCCAGTTATAAAAGTATAGCATTAACTGTCTTCTTGCGTCCATACAAAAAGAACTTTGCTCTCAATTAACTATGCAAAGGACTTAAGGAGAAGAGAAAAACAATATTTACAAGTCAACAGAGCACAAAGAAAGAGGTTACAAATACAGAGGAATGGGAGCACTGTGATGGGAGTAACCCAATAAACCGAAGCTCCCTTTGGCAAGGCAGAAAGGACAAACCAATGTTATCCTACAATTGTCCCTTCATAAATATTACTGGCTGATGTAAAGATCAATTTTCTTTTTATATCTAAAATTAAAATATATTTACAATAATTATTTTTACACTAAGGCAACGTCTTTTAATTATGAAAACTTATCCTCTGGTCCATTTTGAGCTGATTAAGTCAAGAAAAATGTGAAAAATTAAGACCCTCAATATTAAAATGAAAAATTAAGACCCCTCAATCTAACTGAAACTCATAATTATTCTCCACGCCATTTCTTCTCAGGCATTAATTACTCAACACCACCTGTATGATGTAGCTAGTGTTTTGCGTTTTTCCTGATTATAATGGCATGGACAAAATGTTTCCTTTAAGTGTTATTTACAAAGGACCCAGAACATAAAAGTGTAGGGCAGCTGTGAAAATAGAAATTTCTGTGCTCCCATTCTAGAGATACTGAATCAAAATAACTGGAACCAAGAAATCTGCATTTTAACAAGTTCCCTTGTAAGAGAGGAGCCTGTCCATAAAACTCAGAGTTAAGAGACTGATTCCTTTCAATGATGATCATGACAAACCACTGTGAAGATTCTTACAGTAATAATTTAAAGCTGAACACCATGTACAATTTCATCATTCTTTAAACATCATCAATTTTATAACTAAAGTACAATCAGATAAATACCCAATTTCTTTTTCCTTTTGCCTTTTCAAGTAATTTCTGATGCAATTTTCTTCCAATCCCATTTTGAAATTTTTTGACAATTTCTTCAGTTTTCTTAAATTCTTCTTCACTTGAAAATGGCTTTACTAAAGAAAAAAATGCATGAAAGAATTTTTGCATCAAGTACTACTAATTTCCCTCAATTATTACACAAATAATAGTAACCACTGTGCTATTTTTCTAGTCAAAAACACAACTTTTTAAACTAAAAGAAAGAACCTCTCAAGTGTTCAAGAATAAAAATGAAAAGGTCTATAAATCAAGGACATCAGTGAGAAATTCAGAATGGCTGGGATATAAAGAAAAAGGGTTCAAAACAATGAAAAATAGCAGGTGATAAAGAATCAGACAAAGCATGGAATGAGACTTCAAGAGAAACAAACAGGGTCTTCAGACTCTTAAGACAGTAGTTATTAGAAGGAGGGGGAAAAAGGCTGGAGGACCAGAGAGTAGTAATGATGGTGTAAATCAAGGTAAAGAGAATGCACATGTTGATTTTCAATCAAGTACATCTGAAGCTTAAGTGGCATAATAAAATGATTCATCGATGAAAAGGAGAATTTTTTAATTTTCAACTTTGAATTCTATATGCAGTCAAAATTATGGAAGAGTAGAATTACTGCATGTTTAGATTTCTGTTACCCCAGATATTCTTTCTCTCCCACATATTCTTTCTCAAGTACCTACTAAAGATGTACTGAACCAATATGAGAGGAAGAGGATAGAAAGACACAGAATATAGGAACCAGGAAACCCAATACAGAGAGGTGAAGAAATTATGGCTGAAGAAAGTCCCAGAATAACAACTGTGCATCCAGATAAAAAACACTGACCACTATTTGGAGAAGGATAGAAGATTCCAAGAGAAACATACCCAAGAAGAGATACAACTTCATTTTTTGAATTTCAAACAAAAACGTGTTTCATATACACTTAAATATAATCAGAGATTTTTAGAGTATACTAGAAGTAAATTAGTTATAAATATAAACTAGGGAAAAATGAGATCCATTTTATTTACTGGATTAAATTAAATTAAATTAAATTAAATCTTCGATTCCACTGTTCTTCCTGCATTAACATACACCTCAGAGACCTGAACCCTACGAAAACAGGATGAGAACGCTATTTGGGTCTCCCAAAGAGGAATCGAAAGAGCTATGCTTGGAGTATCACGCTTCACTCAAATCAGAGAAAGAATCCGGAGTTCTGACCTTCGTCAATGCTCAAGAATCAGGGACGCTGTCTCTTTTGCCAAGACATCAAAAATCAGATGGGGGGGGGGGGTTGGAGAGATAGCACAGCGGGTAGGGTGTTTGCCTTGCACGTGGCCGACCCAGGTTTGATTCTTAGCATCCCTTATGGTTCCCTAAGCACCGCCAGGAGTAACTCCTGAGTGCAGAGCCAGGAGTAACCCCTGTGCATCGCCAGGTGTGACCCAAAAAGCAAAAAAAAAAAAAACCAGATGGGCTGGACACATAATGAGATTTAGAGATGACCGCTGGACTAGTGGACTAGAGCCATTATGGACTGGATTCCATGGGACGTCAAAAGATCGCATGGACGCCCACCTACAAGATGGTCAGACTGCTTCGTCAAGACCCTGAACGATCTGTTTGAGGCTCTCCATGCTCCTAGAACGAGCAGATGCCATTGGGCTATGCTAGCACGCAACAGGGATGAATGGAGATGTTACTGGCACCCACTCAAGCAAATCGATAAGTAACGGGATATCAAGTGATCAAGTGATCAAGGGAAAAATGAAAATATGCAGCAGGGCTGGGATAGCCTATCACATGGGAGATATTGAGTTTTATTCCCAGCACTGTGTGTGTGGTGCCTAGCGCAAGTGGGTATGGTTCTGGTTGGCCTCAAACTCTGCTGGGAGAGGTCACGATCACGATCACGACCACCCTGTTGTTCGTCGATTGCCTCGAGCAGGTGCCAGTAACGTCTTCTTCGTCCTAGCCCTGAGATTTTTTTTTTTTAAGTGCCATATTCAAGGCTTTTTCAGGGTTAGGAGAATGAGACCCATCATTGTTACTGGTATTTGGCATATTGGGTATACCACGGGGAGTTTGCCAGACTCTGCCGTGTGGGCATGTTACATTTGGTAGCCTGCCAGTTTGACCGAATTAGGAATGAGATGATAAGATGTCATTCACGGCCGCGCGCTTCCGGGAGCTGAGTGTGATAATCTCCGGATCCTGGCCGTTGTTGGAGTTACACGGCAGTTGGTGGGTGTAACTGTCTAGTTACTGGCAGGTCCAGTCCCAAACTGTACAGGCTTGGAGATCTCAGCCCCGGGTCCCACACACCTGGGTTCCTCTGTCAGTTCTTTTATGCGTGAGGCTCATCCAAGTGTGTGGAGAGTGCTCCCAGCATGGCCTTGGCTGGGCCTCGGTGGTCTTCAGCTGTTGGGCCCATGCTGGGAGAGGCTCTTATAAAAATTTTAAAATTTTAAAAACAATAATAGCATGGGGCTGGAGAGATAGCTTAACAGGCCGGAGTGAATGCTTTGCATATAGATGGCCCAGGTTCAATCCCTGGCACCATATGGTCTCCCAATCACAGAACTGAGAGTTGTCCCCAAACACTGCTTGGGCATGGCCCAGAAACCAAAACAAATGATAATAAAATTAAAATTATGCAGCAAAAAGTCATCAAAGTAGATTGCATTGGTTTCCTCTAAGTAACTGCACAACCAGAAACCCTCAGTGGCCAGGTATTTTAATTCAGGTGAAAAATAATTAAAATCAGGTGAAACCCTGAATGAAATCAGATGAACAGTATTTCATTTTATTTTTTAATTTAAAAAAAACCCTTTTCTTGTTTTTAAGCCACATTTGGAAGGTGTTCAGGGTTTCTATGCTCAGAAATCACTCACCGCTGGTGGGACTCAGGGGCTTATATGAGGCACCTGAGATCGAAGCCGGGTCAGCCACATATAAAGAAGGTGCCCTTCCTGCTGTACTACATCTCCAGGTCAAAACCAGGTGAATACAATTTAATCCCAAATGGTGACATTGTACAACCATATGAGAGAATGAGAGAGAAAACATGGATCGTATATACATAGAGGGGGAAGATTATATGGAGTAAGAGAGCTAAATCCATTACCATTTTAGAAACTAATTTTAGTATCTTCTACCTCAAAAATCCAAAAACATTGTAACATAGGAATGGCAGTTTAAATTCAGAAGTAGGGGCCAAAATTATACCTCAATGGGCTGGGCACATGCTTTGCATGGAAGAGGCCTACATTTGATCCTCAGCACCATGTATGGTTCCCTGAGCATCACTTGGAGCAACTACTGAGCACAGAGAAGGGGGTAGGTTCTCAGCGTCACCAGCTATGTCCCTCCCCAAGCCCAAAAATAAGTTAGTAAATTCCAGAATAAACAACAGAAGAAACACGTTAAATATTGTAAAACTCCAGAAGTGTTGAGGAGGAAAAGGAATATTCCTTTTATTATAAGCCTCTTAGTATTGTGACTTTCAAACTATGGAAAGAGCAACACAGGAGAGAAAAGGAAAAAGTTTGGGGTATTTTAGGGCACTTTAGTTATCATAAAATTTGAAGATGAAGCAGTTATCTTCTAATGGTTCCATATTTTCCTAAGTTTCTTATATATTTATGCTAAAAAATTATAAAAACATACCAGCTTCTAGGTACTTCCTTAATGATTCTTCAAGTGAAGGAACAGGCAGAGGTGGAAGAGAATCCTGGTACTGAAAAGTTCGCTCTTCAGTTGATTTTGCCAAATTGTTTTCCATGATGCAATCACAATAAAAAACTAAAAGGGGGGGAGGGTAAACAGTTCTCACAATTTTTATTTCATATTATATTTCAAACTGAAATTCATTATGTTAATATGCAATGATCACAACATATCTAGGCCTTTGTCCCAATTCTTTCTCCCGCCTCCATCCCCAGGGTAAGGAGTGCTGAGGATTTTTATATTTACTTTTTGGTTTTGGTTTTGAGGCCACACCCAGCAGTGTTGACTCCTGGCTCTGCACACAAGAGATCACTTCTGGTGGAGCTTGGGGACCAGATCTGGACTGCTGTGTGCAACAAGCACCTTACCTGCTGTACTATCTCTCTGTCCCACCATCTAACTCGGGGTCTAACTCGGGATCTAACTCATATCTATTACATACAAAACATGCACTTTACCACTAAGCTACATCCAAAGACTTAGTCCTAATTCTTAAGGATTTTTTTTTAAATCAGAAAAAAAAACTAGTTTTAAAACCTCATGGGAAGGGGGGCGTTTTGGTCCGCCCTTCACGCCCTACCGAGGCCACCAGTTGCCCCCCACGAGCGGCTCTCCAGCACGGCCACAACTCCAGAACACAGAAACCAATTTCTTAACTATCTGACTTTCAGTAGAAATACTTCCAGGGTCAATAGGTAAAATAACAGAAATCCAAAACCAACATTTAATTCTTGAACCCAGCTGTAGAAAGCAAATCACTTCACAATGCTTTTTCAGCATGTCTGATTGGGGGGGGGGGGGGGTAAACTCTAAATAATAGTGGTGAATCTTTTATTGAAACAATGAATCTAATCAAAGCAGATAGAGTGTTAACTAGAATTCATCTGCCTCACAGGGACGGGGAGGGGTGGGGGGTGGGGTTTTATTGGGGTTCTTCATGGTAAAAAATAAGTATTGGTAAAGGGAAATGTGTTTGATATTTGCATGACTGAGACCTAAGCCTGAAAGCTTTGTAACCTTTCCCACAGTGATTCAATAAAAAAAAAAAAGTATCCCCAGAGCAATCTTGAACATTCTCCACAGATGTATTAATTTTCAGAGCAATCAAATTTAAAATGTAAATGAGGTATATGAATGCTAAGTGAAAAATAAAATTTTTCAGGGTCTAGAGAAATAGAATAGAGGGTAGGGTGCTTGCCTGACATATGTACCACCTGTTTCTGTCCTCAGCATCCTATTTGTTCCTCAAGCACCACCAGGAATAATTCCTGAGTGCAAAGCCAGGAGTAACCCCTAAACATCGCTGGTGTGATACAAAACTAAACTAAATAAATAAGATAATATTTCTCAAAGAACTCTTTAGGGGCTGAGGAAAGAGTACAGTCGGTAAGATACTTGCCTTGCATATGGCTGAATTGATTTAAATCCCAGGCACCCCATAGGTTCCCCAAGCTCTGCCAGGAGTAATCATATATATATATATATATATGTGTGTGTGTGTGTGTGTGTGTGTGTGTGTGTGCGTGTGTGTATACATATATATATGCCTATCAGAGAGCCCAGCAAGTTACCAAGAGTATCGCGCCCACGCGGGCAGAGCTTGGCAAGCTTCCCGTGGCATATCTGATATGCCAAAAACAGTAACGATAACAGGTTTCATTCCCCTGACCCTGAAAGAGCCTCCAATATGCCATCGGGCTACACAAGCACGCAACAGGGACAAATGGAGATGATACTGGCATCCACTCAAGCAAATCGATGAACAACAGGATGACAGTGATATAGTGATATATAAGGCACTGTTAGAACTTTATAAGAAAAAAAGTCCAACTCCCTCAAAGAACGGGGAGAAGAAATGAACAGAAACTTCCCCAAAGAAGAAATTCAAATAGCCAAAGGCACATGTAAAAATGCTGTACATTGTTAATCAACAGGGAGACACAAATCAAACTCACACTGCAGAGATTGGCACACATCAAAAAGAACAAGAACAACCAGTGCTGGCATGGATGTGGATAAAGGGACTCTATAAATGTTTTTAAAACTAATAAAATATGTGAAATAGTAACCCTAAAACATAGTCTTATAAACTATTATCTCAATAAAAAAATAAAATACCAAATTCAAACAAAATATTTCACTCATATTTTACAAAATGATGTATTATCAAAACAAGTGTTCTGTAGAAGCTGCTTTTACTCAACATAATGTAATAATAATCTCCTTCACAGAATCCTAAATTGATACGAGTTGTACAGTCATGTAGTGGTACCTTCTTGGTGATATATATGTCACCTCCAAGCAGTGCCCCTATATTGGCTAAATGTGTTCTTCCCCCACCACACCTCTTATCTCCTCCCCTCATTGGCTAGCAAAGTAACACAACTACAAAGGTGCTCAGATCCATTTACAATAATACATGTACTAAGGATGTCAAAATCTTCCCACTAGACCCACATTCCTCCCTTTAAGATTTTTTTCTTTCCATATTTCTTGTTTTCGTTTTGGGGTCACACTGGTTAGTCCTCAGGGCATATAACTGGTTCTGTGCTCAGGGATCACTCCTGATGAGACATGGGAGACCACACAGGGTTCCTGGAATCAAGCCTACTACTCTGGCCCCTGAGATATTTTTAATTTACTTCATTCATGGCATTCTATTTTTTAATCTCTGTGTTAGAGTACAAAAACTCAGTCCGTATCATTAATACAAAGATACACCAAAAAAATGAGGTCTATGAAAGATTTCATAATCCCTCTCTTTCATTTCTAATGACTTTGATTGCACTTCACTGCAACCATTTGCAAACATGTTTTTGAACCCAAGGAAAATATAGACCTGGAGCCAAAGAGCAACTGTGCCAACTACTTGTTATGTGTTCCTGGACTTGTCACTTCCACAAAATTATCTATAGAAATAATAAATAATCAGAGCATTCAAATGGTTAGAATTATTTTTCTAATGCCTACAAAAAAGCATGTTAGAAAGTAAAAAAGTAAAGTTAATACAACCACATTATACTAGGTAGAATTTCCTTTCTTTTTTGCTAAATTAAAGAGCTATTTCATTAAATAGAAAGGAGTGGGGATACATATTTTCACTCATGTACAGGCAGGCAAACTGGTCTGGGAAGGGTGTCCTAAACAGGATTTCTACTATGAATAACCCTCTAGAGTCCACAAACTCAATCTGTGAATATAAAATGATCACTTCCGTGATTGGGATTGTGTTTTCTTATGTAACGCAAATGAGTTTAAAAATAAAACGATTATCAAGTAGTTTTAATCTGACCACTTGAGCCTTTCGGAGTAGAATACTTCTGCTGGTGGCAGAAGATTAGTCAGAAAGACTAGAAGGGCTGGAGTTGTTATTTGGCACTGAAGACGCTCTGGTCTCAGAAAACTGGGAAAGGTTTCTGCTGACAGTTCCGTAGGAAACGCAAACCTTCTTGCCAAAGCTGCACCAAACTGAATTCTGTCCAGAACTGCACCAGTCTAGAGGGAGATTCACCCCCAGAAGTTTACAAAAGTGATGCCAGACCGATAGAAAACCTAATTTCAGCTTTGTGAGATCCTAAGCAGAATAACCAGTCAAACCATCTGAGCCCCAGATCACTAAAAGCTGTAAGACAGGCATGAGTTGTTTTAAACTGTTAAGTTTATAACACAGTTACGGCAACAACAGGAAATTAACGAGCACAGAAAAGAAAAGCTTATTCTCTCTGCACTTCTTTGCCAATTAAGAGATTGTCAAAATGACCAGGTTGACAAATTTAATACCTGCTACAGTCTTACCTCACCAAGACCTACAAATTAAAAGTAAGAATAATCAGACACCTCCATGGGGAATTTACTTTAGCTTCTTAGTCACAAAGCTTAAATTCCATAAGATCATTCCAATAACTTACATAAGCCTTCAGAAGAAACCGATTGTTCTGGGTGCATTTACGGTGGGCTTACTGGGGACCATAAGATACAGGCTCCAAAGTGGAAAAGAGAAACCAGTAGCCATACGTCCATCACACACCAGTACACCAAGCTTTTTTCAACAATTCTGTTTTAAGACCGCAAGAATTAAAACTAGGCTGGTGAGTGTGAGAAGGAAGAAACAAACTTAACAGGAAGAGTGAAGAATGAGCAAAAACTGATGAAAGAATTTGAAAGCAGAAACATCTCAGGGCTGGGAGGCCTCACACTCAGAAATCACAGAGAACACACGCAGACAGTTCATTTGCTAGACAACTGGATACAAACAACGAAATGATTAAATAACAGGTTTCCATTTCAGTTAGGACCACTGAACACAATGTACCTCCCCGGTGCAAGGGTATCGGGATTGGCGGTCAGTGCTAGGGCGACACGGAGTTCAAGTTGAGGAGCAGAGGGCTAAGAGACTTCGGAGATTCCGACAACCAACCAAGGGCAACTCTGCTCACTCGAGACAACCGAGTGTTTGCAAAATCCAACCCAGTACTACTACGGGCCAGCCCAGCGGCCCAAACTCAGTGCGATCCCTGCAGGCGAGATGCCCGATGACACTCTACCAGTGAATTCGGGTCTGTAAGGCTTAACGTTCCCCCGCCCGGGAGTTGGAGGGTTAGGGGAGGGAACGAGCTCTGCTGGGGTCGGCCCGAGTGTCCTCACCGCCTGCGCTTTGCCGACTCCGCAGTGGCTGACAGCCGCGCCCGCCAGCTTCCTCCCCGCAGCGGTGGAGCGGGAATTGAACCAAAAGCCTCGAAGGTCCCACCCCCCGGATCGTGAGGAACCAGTGATTGGACAGAAAGTCACTAGGCTCCCGCCTCTATGGCCCAAAGGCACTCAGGATTGGACAAGAAACCACTAGGGTTCCGCCCCCTCCAGTCCTTACGCCCGGGACGGACCGGGCCTGCGCTCTCATAGAACCCGGCCTCGCCTCCTGCAAGCGTCCTCAGCCAGAGGTTCCATTGTGTGGTGCAGACCTTGGAAAAAGTCCTGTACACTGCCCTTTGAACAGTCCAAACCATACCCAGGGAGCGGAACGCTCAAGCCTGGCACACAGCAGGGCTTTCATGCCGCGGAGCTCCTCCTAACAAGTGCCTCTGATGCTTTGGAACTGATGCGGGAACTGATCGCTCAGATCCATTTTCATCCAAGTAGTGCAAGACTTAGCCTGTTTCTCTGACGCTCTTTCCACTTCCCGTTGTGACACGTTTTGCAAGAACCAATCTTCCTTTATAATCTTAAGTAAATGTTTCATTTTAAAATTTGAATTCACTGCTTTACTTTGGAGGGGGGGGAGTTGAAATGGGGGAGGGAGATAGTTAAGTACTTGCTCCTTGTTCTGTTCTCAGGCATCAGTCCTGGTGGTGCTTACGGGACCATATGTGGTGCGGGGAATCAAACCAGGATGGAGAGTGTGCAAGGCAAGCGCCTTATTTCCCGTGCTAACTCTCCAGCCCCACTGTTTTACTTTTGTGTTGGAAAAGACCAATAGTTTGCAATGACCCTCAACTAAATATCAAATATAAAGAACTAGATTTCAAATTAACGTAGTCATTAATAGAATAATAGATGCTGATTCTTTATCTTCCTTTCCTAACTCCTTTTGTAATAAGAGCTGAACTTTATGGAACTAAGATGACAAGTAACTGGATATCCCTTGGTGTGAACAATTACACATTTTCCACATAAACTAACATTCAGTTAGTGTAGCTAGAGCCTTTGTTGAAGTATTGTTTTAATGCGATCCTGAATCCTGAAACGGATCTGTCCAAGAAGTCTTCAGCATAGGATTGGAAATGCTTAATTGTAATATCTGAAAGTGACATAAAGAGCTTTTGATCTCATAGTATGTAAGTGACTAATGGATAATGTTAAAATTGATTTACCCTCTGATCCTGAAATTCCAGTCCTAGTTATTGATCAGTACTCTCAACTAAACCTTGTTCAATTTAACTTCCAGGATGTTCTACATTATTATCTTTCTTGTAGGACCTGAAGCAACCATTTATACCAAGAATCTGAAGTCAGTCAATATTTAATCAACCTCAAAATCTGATCAAATCATCCCCCACCCTTCATGTTTAATCAATCTGTCTTTAGTAAGAATCTTAGATCAAATGAACCAAAAGCTCCCTAGTCCCCAACTACACCTCTGACATATTTTCTTTCTTGTTTTTGTTTGCAGACCACACCAGTTGAATTTAGGCTTACCCTTGGCTCTGAGCCCAGGGATCACTGCTGCTGGAACCATATGTGATGAAGGGAATCAAACCTGGGTTGATAGGAAAGCACCTTACCACCCCTGCCACGATCTCTCTCGACTTGATATTTATTTTAAGATACTTCTATTCATGTGTTCTGTCATGATGCCTTTTTGTTTCATGTGTGATGTTTTCTGTTTTTGGTCTAGATAGTGTTGACTGCATAGAAACTAGTTGGAAATTTTCTGTTTCTTCTCTCTCTCTCTCTCTCTCTTTTTTGCCAGTTTTTCTGGCAACATAACTTGTGTGACAAGAGAGAAAAGCAAGGGTGCTGCCAGCAGGTCAATCTGTACCTGTGAGGCAAGTGCATCAGCAGCCTGATGCCACCGTCAGACTTTCAGGTACCCCAAAATTGCTGCTGTGCCTTTGGCCAGACCCCAAAAACTTGGGGCAAAGTTTACCAAGAAAGTAAACGGCCAAAAGTTAGGTATGTGGGAGACACACCCACAAGCCACCTCCGGCTCAGCTATACAATTGGAGGCATGGCCTCTCTGGTTCCTGATCAAACTGCTTAATGGCCATGATCCCAGAGACTCAGAAATGAACCTCAGAACCCAATGGCTTTTGGCAGAAATGTGTCCTGTCCTGTTCCTGCCTTAGGTTACTGGCGCTGGGCCACTCCAGGTGGGAATAGGTTTTGCACCTTGGACTATTCCCCCTGGCGGCTGGGTGACCGCCATCCTCCAGAGGTCACTGGACAGTCAGGTTTGGGCCTGCAGTGGCGAGACATGCGGGACCTCACCAGATGGAGGTGGAACCGGCCCTTTCCTCCCCATCCCAACGAGACACCGAGTCACCACCTACAAATGGCTTCTCTAGCTCCTAATCAAGCAGATTAACAGCAATGTTCCCAGAGAATCAGAAACAAATCTTGAAACTCAGCGGCTTTTGGCAGAAATGCATCTGGACCGCATACAAGGTGGCCACCACCTCAGAGCTTATTGGAAAGCCAGGTATGAGGCGGCGGTGACGGGGCAACTGCAGTCTCATGGGAAGAGGGACAGTACCGGCTCGTCCCTCGCACCCTACCGAGGTCACAAGTTACCCCCACAAGCGGTTCTCTGGCACAGCCATGGCTTCAAAGGCAAAAGAACTTAATCCAGAACCTGGCAGCTAGTGGCAGAAAAGTGAATGGATCATGCGTTCAACTATGATGCCATGCCTCCCCAAGAGGGAAGGGATGTTGTTCCCTTCCACCTTTCCCCCCAACCCTGGCAGCAAGGTGACTGCCGCCTCAGAGCTTATAGGAAAGCCAGGTATGTGCCAGCAGTGACAGGGCAACTGCAGTCTCATGGGAAGGGGAGCGGTACCGGCTCGTCCTTCACACCCTACCGAGGTCACGAGTTGCCCCCCACAAGCGGCTCTGTGGCACGACCATGGCTCCAGAGGCAAAAGGACTTAGTCTAGAGCCCGACAGCGTGCAGCAAAAAAGTGAATGGATGAAGCGTTAAACTATAGCGCCATGCTTCCTGTGGAGGGAAAGGGTGTTGCTCCCTTCCACCTTTTTTCCCCCAACAGCAGGGCGGCCGCCACCTCAGAACTTATAGGGAAGCCAATTATGAGCAGGCAGTGATGGGGCAACTGCAGTCTCATGGGAAGGGGGGCAGTACCATCTCATCCTTCACGCCCTACCCAGGTCACGAGTTTCCCCCCACGAGTGGCTCTCCGGCACAACCATAACGCCAGACACAATTTCATAATGATCTGGCTCTTTGCAGGAATCCAAAATCATTATATGACATTATATGATTCTCATACCAGCTATGGAAAACAAAGTATTTCACAATGCCTTTTCAGCAATTCTGATTGTTGGGGGGGGGGGGGAATTCTAAACAATAATGGTGCATCTTTTGTAGAAATAATAAATGAAATCAATGTAGAGAAGACTTAAGTAGAAATCATCTGCCTCACAGGCATTGGGAGTGGTGGAAGGGGGGTATATTGGGGTTCTTGGTGGTGAAAAATCAGTACTGGTGAAGGAAAAGGTGTTTGATCATTGTATGACCGAGACTTAAACCTGAAAGCTTTGTAACTTTTCCCACAGTGATTCAATAAATAAATATAAGAAGAAAAATAAATAAATAAATAAAATTATGAAAAAAGAGAGAAAAGCAAAAGAAAGGAGTTTTTTGATTGGTTGCATCATAACAATACATTGAGGTACATAGGAGCATTTCGCACCACTTAACTAACACATCATGATAAAGCATTTCCTTTTATTTTTAATTTTTTCTTTTATTTTTAATTGAATCACAATGAGATACATAGTTACAAAGCTGTTCATGGTTGGGTTTCAGTCATACAATATTCCAACACCCATCCCTCCACCAGTTACACATCCCACAACTAATGTTCTCAGTTTCCTTCCCACCACCCACCACCACAACCCCCAACCTGATTCTATGTGGGCACTTTCCTTCTTCCCCCTCCCTCTTCTTTTGGGCATTATGGTTTGCAATACACATACTGAGAAGTCATCATGTTTATTCCTTTACCAACTTTCAGCACTCAGTTCTTATTCAGAATCATCATTTCAAGCTATCATTTTCATAGTGTTCCCTTCTCTATCCCAACTGCCTTCTCTCCCAGTGTTTGAGGCAAGTTTCCAACCATGGACCAATCCTCAGACCCTTGTTTCTACTATCCTTGGGTATTAGTCTCATACTATGTTTTCTCTTTTTTTTTGGAAAATATAAAAATGTTTATTTAGAATTCAATGCCAGCTTAAATAAACAGTTGAAAATGAAAGTACTGGTCTATAAGAACGAGTTGAAGAAATTGTACAGAATGAACTCACATATTCTCTGCCTAGATTATGTATATTCCCATGGTCACATGGAACTGTCCTACACATCTTCCAGATTTCTGTCTAATCACATCTTATCTGGGAAGAATTTCTGACCATTTTTTGAAAGGATCATCCCTGTTTCTGGATTTTGGCCTTTATTCTCATGCTTTATCTTTCTTTATGGTATTTGTTACCCAGTGATAACTGTTTATTACCTTGTAACATTTTTTTAAAATTTTATTGAATCACCATGAGATGGCTATAAGCTTTCATGTTTGGGTTACAATCACAGAATGATTAAACACCCATCCCTCCACCGGTACACATTCCCTACCACCAATATCCCCGGTATACCCCTCCTTTCCCACCCTCCCTCTGCCTCCATAACAGACATGATTCCCCATAATCTCTCTCTCTACTTTTGGGCATTATGGTTTGCAATACAGATCCTGAGAAGTTATCATGTTTGGTCCTTTATCTACTTTCTGCACACATCCCGACCAATTCCTCCAGCCATCTTTTTCTTAGTGATCCCTCCTCCTCCAACTGCCTTCTCCCCTTTGCTCAT